ATATTACTAACTTGTTATAGCTTAACTTTGTTACTATATCTACCCTGCTAAGGATTTAAGGTTATTAGGTTCCTTGTGCTATCTGCGCTTGCAATTATCCTAGCTATAGTAAGTTATTTATAACATGTTGTTAACCTATTCCTAACGTGTTTTAAGACTATTACTTTAATGCTAGTGTGGACCTTACTAATTCCTGCTAGAATGCCGCCTAGTTCCACTTGCAGTATGCTTTTGTAGAGCCTAGGGAGGATAGGGAGGATAGAGAAGATACTAGAGAGGGGGAGGGAGATAATAATAGTAACAAGTAGGAACACGTTAAGAACGTGTTAAGAATAGGTTCTAATAAATAATGTATAATAGCACATAACCTAAAGGGGTAGTAGTAATTACTAAAATAAACTCTCTACTCTTCTCTTTTTTTTTCTATCTACTAAAAGTAAAGTACTATTTACTTTTATAGGGTCCTTTAATAGTATATAACTTTTTCTTTTAACTTTTACAGGTATTATAAAGCTCTAGTAGTCCCTTAGATTAAAGAAGAATCTAGTATTTATAGGTGTCTAGCTATAACGTATTATTAATATATTCTAAATATATTTTAAGAGACTAGACTTATATCTCCTTTTTACTACTTTTGCCAAATATTATTCATAGTGTAAAGGGGAGCAACTATTTGCTCCTCTTCTTTACTCTCTGCTTCCTCTTTAGCCTCTACTCTAGCTACCACTTCTTGTTATAGACTAGCTATCTTAGAGGGTTCTTAAACCTTAGAGGAGGCACTTAGTGCAGTCTGCTCTACTAGCGGAGAACGTATTGTTAACGTGTTTAGAACACGTTCTTAAGCATTTACTATTAAGCTCCTATAGAAGATCCTTGCTTCTATAATGCCTTGTATTATAGTTCTACTACAGTTTACTAGGGCTATTTAAACCTTAGGATAATACCTCTTAAGGTGGTAGATAAGATTGCCTCTATTAGAGAAGCGACGCTAAAATAGTTATTAACATGTTGTAAACGTGTTCTAACTCGCATGCATACATACTCTACAAAGTTCCTATACCCCTAATCTAGCCTAAATAGCCTAGTAGAAAAGCTCGCCAGGAAATACTATACACCTATTATTTAGGTAGGATATTATAGGAGAGAATGCCCTAGTATTAGATAGAAGTAACTTAAGCTTAATATATTACTAGTATAAATCCTACTTAGTGTTAGAACAAGTTTATAACGTGTTCCTAACGCGTTCTATTACATACTAACTTTAAAAGATCTTTATAGACTATATTAACTAGTTATATCTAATAATATTAGGAAAGATAGATAGTAAAATAGTATTAAACTCTTAAATATAAAAAGTTCTTATAGAGTGTAAGAAGAAAGAAGAAGAAAGAGAAGAAGAAAGAATATATATTTATCTGCTTATATATACTTATATAATAGACTAGAATATATTAAAAACTAGTTAGGAACTAGTTACTATATTTATAGACTAACCCTGCCTTATATAAAAAGCAGCTATCTCTTTCTTAAGTTTAAACTGTGCCTTTTATAATTTAAATAGTGCCTTTTTCTATGCAAGTTCTTCCTTATCTACCTCTAGCTTTTCTTTTCTCTCCTTTAGAGCCTAATTACTAAGAAGAGCCTTTTATTATAAAGTTTATAGTTACAGACTAATAATAAGTTAGGAACGTGTTATAAACGTGTTTCGCGAAGCATACCTTTAGGTTGCTATTAGTAGAGGAGAAGAGCCTAGTAGTAGAGAAGATAGAAAAGGGGCTAGTAAACTTCTTTCTAATACTACTCTACTACTTGCCCTCTAGCTTTAGGCTTTTAAGCGTGCTCTTTTATTTCTTATTAGGACTAAGATATATCTAGTTAAGTTAGATATAGCAAGACTTGCTTTATTGTTATCTAGAGTGTTGTTATTATTACAGGACGCGTTCTAAACACGTTCTAAACATGTTTTAATTAGTAAATATATATAACGCTAGCGTAAGACTTACTTTCTCCCCTCTAAAGCTTTTTAAGGTACCTTTACTTAAGCCTATTAGGAGTTCTATAGTTATAGCGTATTCTAAACTTACTCTAGGCTTTAAACTCTTTTATATCCTATAGATCTATCTAGTGTGCACTATATAATATTACTTATATAATTCTAATAGGTTAAGAACAGGTTGTAAACTTACTTCTAAGTAGCCTTAAGAATACTTACATGCTTACTAGTTTTATATCCTTTCTAGCCTGCTTGCTTAGCTATATTTAAATAAGATTCTAGTTTTTCCTATACCTCTTTTAATATTTTACTACAGCATTACACAATCCTAGTAGTAATTACTAGGTTTTTCTTATAGATTGCCTAGTTTTAGGTATCTTTAGAGGGTTTGTGTTCTAATTATATAAGAATAAGTTAGGAACACGTTTAGAATAGGTTTAGAATATATTTACTTACGTAAGAGGAGGTTAGCAAGCTAAAAGTATTCCTCTACTATTAATGCCTATAGTAATTCACTTAGACGTAAAGAGGTAGTATTATCTAGCTCTCTTTTATATGCTTTGTAAATACTTCTTTGTAGATATACTTAACAAAATCTTATACAAGATTAAAGTTGCTAGCGCTAGTTACGCTTATAGGGATTAATTAACTAGAGATAGCGCCCAAGTCCTAGAAACAAGTTAGAAACACGTTATAAATATATTGCAGTGCGCTGTAAAACTTGCCTATTATCTACTTGTTGTATATATTAATAGTAGTCCTATAGAATCCCTATAAGTAAATATACCTCTATAACACTTATCTTTTTGTAAGTGCTTTACACTTCTAAAAGAAGTTAGTAATAGCAACTTAATATATCTTAGTTATGTCCTTATCTATAATAATTTAGCTAAGTGTAATAACTACAACGTGTTAGAAACATGTTATAAACCTGTTCTTAATACGTACGCTTCTTTTCCTGCAGGTAGAAGATTACTATTAGAATCTCTACCTATGCCCTATACAACCTCTTATATAACATATCTATCTAGAACGTGTCTTAATCTAATAGAATTAATGCCTACTCTTTAAAAAGGTAAATAATTAAGTTGCCTAAGCTTAATATAAAGATTTGCTGTATATACGCCTGTAGTAACGTGTTAGTAACGTGTTCTAAACCTGTTCTCTTATACTACGTACAGTTTTAGGATCCTAATACTTTATCCTCTACTTATAGTATACTCCTCTAAGGCTACTCTTAAATAGGAACTATAGAAGCTTTTTACACTTTATAATACGTAAGATTTTATCTTTATTTGCAAAGCTAATATATATTTCTTTAATAGAATAGAAACCTTTAAGTTAGAGATAGGTTTAGAGCTAGGTTAAGTTTAGGAACTAGGCTATAACAAGTTAGGAACACATTTATAATAGGTTACAAACAACTTATATTGCGTAAGCTATAGAGTAAGTATAGGCTATAATACCTTTACTACTTCCTTAATATTACTATTAGATAGTGTTAAGGGAGGAGGAGGTATATATGTATGTATACTAAAAGAAATAATAGTAAAAAAAGGTATTGCTACTATATCTATTAGTATAATTACTTAGAAGGTAACTTTACACAGGATTTTAAATAGAGATCCTTGCCCTTATAGATAATTAACGCCTAGAACATGTTAGGAACGTGTTAGGAATAGGTTGCAATATACCTACCACACTTCTTTATCTAGCTTAACTGTGGCTTAACCACAGAATATAAAGCAGGACTACTAGAAAGATTTAATATCTCCCTAGTTAGAAGACCTTATAGATATATAGAGTCTACCTCTAGTAGTACCTAACTAAAATAATGTTTTTTCCTAGTAGCAGATATTAGGCTATAGTTCTAATAGCTAATGTATAGTTAAGCCTGTTCCACAATTTGCTAACTTATTATTAACACGTTTTAAACATGTTTAAGTTTTGCTCCCTACCTAATTTACTATAGTCCTTATTATAGGATAATAAGACACCTAGTAGTCCTTATAAATCCTTAAAGAGAAGCGCTTAATAAGGCTATAATAATAGCTTCTTATTTATAGTTCTCTTTATAGAATTTTCTTAGGTACTACACTTTTTAAGGTTTAGATCTAATTATATAATGCGTTATTAACAACGTAATAAGAACACATTTATAACATATTCTTAAGATACTTACACGCTTTTACCCTAGAGTATTAGTATTTATACTAGCTTGCTAGCTGGCTATTAAAGAATAGTAAAGTTATAGGCCTGTTAAGATAGATAGACTAGCGGGAGTATTATACCTGCTAGAATTAGAATAATTTAAGAACGTGTTCTTAATATGTTACCTATGTAGCCTGCACAAGCACCTCTTCTCTTATTAGGTAAGAGCTATCTTTATATTGCTAAACTAGTATTATATACCTATACCCTTAGCTATATAATTAAGGGTATGCTAGGAGAATAGCTGCATGCTTAATAATTGCTAGTGTAAGTAGTAGTCCTTAACTATTACTACAAGTAAGGTATATATTATGCCCCTATAACATATTACTAACCTGTTCTAAACTTGTTCTATTTACTTTCACTTACTTCCTTAACGCTACTGCTACTATCCTCCTCTAGCACTTTATACAGTTGCCTAAATTTATCTCTAATATTACTATCTAGTTTAGATACGTTGTCTAGTACTACTATACTAAACTCTAGTATAGTATTTAGGAACGCCTGTATATTATTAAGAACAGGTTTAGAACACGTTTAAAAAAGATAGTAATAAAAACTGCGTTTACTTGCTTAAATTACCCTAATTTATACTTAACTATAGGCTAGTTTATATAACTATGAAAATTTGCCGCTGTGACGTGGACTTGAACCTACAGGGATATTCTAACCACTCGGAGTAAAGCCCAAGTCGCCCAACGCTAAACCCATGGTCATATGACATGCCACCACACCGTAACCCTTGCATGAGCGCGCCACGCTCCCCGGCAACGCCACCGTACTTTGCTACCGTCCTTTAGTTGTGGGGTTGACGGAGCCACTCACGAACAGCAAGGCGATCCACGCGGTGCAGTAGCGAGCGCGGTAATTCCTCGACGACATGAATAGCCGTTGGGACCAAGGCGGGAGAAAGCCTGGACAGCGCCCACGCAGAGAGGTGCTCACGACAGACGCGTGTACTGTGCTCGGGAAGCCTTGCCAGCACCTTGTCGCTCGGCAGACGGCGATCGGCCAGACATACAACGGCCACTAGTTGGGTTCTTCCCGCCGCTATTCTCGTGCTAACGACGACATCTCTCAACCGACTACCGGCATGGGGACAGGCGAGCAGGACGCGCTCGATTTGTTCAAGCTGGATGGGCTGCCCGCCCAGCTTCACCCGGTTGCTCACTCGGCCGACCGGGGAGAGGCTGCCATCAGCATTGTTCTTGGCCAGGACGCGCGTGCGCCAGTATTGGCTGCTCCCTTGACCTGTCCCAGAGGCGCTGCGGCAAGGCGCCCAGGTCGGGGGGCTGACTAAGGCTGTATGGCCAGATACCCATGCCGGTACCGGGACTGGTAACGTGACTACCCCGCTCGCGCTGCCGGCCTCAATCACGACTTCACCAACACCACCCAGTGCAACCAGGTCGTCGGTGTTCTCTGGGTTGACGATCCAGGCCACACAGCCCACGGGGTTGCCCATGCTGTCTGGATACGGTGGATCGGGGCTGACTTGGGCCACCGTCATCAGCAACGAAGCTTCGCCGATTACCCATGCTCTGAAGAAGCAAACTCGACCGGACCATGTCTTGCCCGTGTCCTGGTCGGCAAAGGCTTCTCCGCCCACAGAGGCCAAGAAGCGCAAGCCTGGAACTTGGGTCGGCGACATGGTACGGATCACGCTGGGAGGTAGCAGAGCGCCGTTTGCGTTGGCCGAATCGATGAAGGCTGGCAGATTGCTCTCATCCACGTGGGGCACGCAGACACAGCCTCCAGCAAGAAGGGTGCCGAGAATCTCAAGCGCGCTTTGGCTCGAGGGGTATCGGCTAAACTGGACAATACGACACTCTGGCTGCCAGTCGAATGCATGCACGTACCGGGTCAATGCAGAGACGAGGTGGCCGTGACTTAGCATCACCGGTGCCTGGCGCTCTTCTGACTCCTCGGTTGTGAACAAGATGTACGCCAAGTCCTGCCCCGAGCTCTTCATCGTCACAGCATCGCCGTCTGGCAGAGACTCCGACTCGGGCTTGACAACCGCCGGCTTCTCCCTGGAATCTGGATCAACCACAAACACATTTGGCCCGAGGCTCGGGACAAGCGCGTAGCAGGCAGGCGACGTGACCAGTAGCTCCACTCCTACACTGGACAGCAGAGCTTCATCATACTTCTCAATCGGAACACAGATGCCCCCCGCTTTGAGCAGCCCCAACAAGGCCACAATCGCCGAGAGTGACTTCTCAAACAAGAAGCCTACCGGCTTTCCTGGCGATACTCCTCTCTCTCGAAGCTCCTCTGAAATTCGATTCGACATGGAGTGTAAAGCTGCATGGGTTGCGCTGCCATCGACAGCTTCCACCGCTAAATTCTCAGATCGAGCCCATGGATGGAGAGCTTCAATCAAGGTCCTGTTCGCAATCTCCGGGAGCGCGTGATTCCATTCAAAGATTTCTGCTCGAGCCTGGGGGGCGAGAAGCGGCAAGTCGGCCAGCCTAGTTTGCAGCGGGACCTCCGTCAGTACACGCAGCGTGTGTTCAAACTGGTTGAGTATCCGATCTAGCTGTCCATCACTAACGACGGCCGAGTCAGTTCTGGCCCAGACCGTGACACCATCGTTCATGATGCTGAAGATGAACTGTAGCGGATAGTATCCCTGCAGCCAGACCATACGCAGCTTGATGTGGTTGCCGTTGGCGGTATTCCCAGCTTCCTTGTCCGAGAACACGGCCGGGCGGATATTGATCAGGGTCTGGAAGCCTGCTGCCTTCCTCGCTGATTCACTCAATGCCCCGATATTCTCCACACCGTACTGCACTTCCCTAGCGTGCTGTTGAAGTTGGCGTAACGCTGTCGCTCGGTCTTTGATCAGACTGTCTACCGTCATCGTCTGACGCCGTACATTCACCTGGACTGGGACTTCGGCGACTGTAGGCCCGAGCGTGTTCTCGATGCCATTCATAGTCATGGAACGGCCAGATAGTACTAGGCCATACGCAATGCTTTCGCTGTTTGTGTAGATGGCCGTGGTCAATGCCCAGGCGGCCTCAATGTACAAGGGCATGTGAGAGGAAGCTAGTCCACCCCGGCCCGTCATACGATGCAATGGCATGTGACGAACAGTCTTCTCGCTAACCCGTGGTGGAGTTGACTGCTCAGACCTAGGTTCCGGGAAAACAGTCGGAGCGCCCTTGAAACGCTGCATCCAGAAAGCCGTCGCTGCATCCTTGTCCAGATCTAGACAATGTCTCACAAACTCCTTGAAAGGCGGTCGCTGTATCGGCGGCTGACCAGCATAGACCACAGACAAATCGAGCTGAATCAGCTTATCAATGGACCAATAATCCATCACGGCATGATGCAGCGTAAGAACCGCATGACCCCCCACATACGCAGACCGAAACAGTAACCCGCCCTCCTCAAACCGATGTTGCGCTGCATTTTGATCCCCCCGTAGAAACTCCTCAATACTCTCATACCCCGTATCCCGATCCGTAACATGCTCTTCATCCGTAACAACATTCACATCCACACTCTCATCCCCCAACCCAACACCCTTGACAATCCGCGTCCGCAATATCTCGTTACACGCCACAACCCGCGCCACCGCCGCACAAAACGGATCCGGATCCACGGGTCTCGCGGGCGATAATACGAAATGAAACATTTCGTTCCGGTTGCTGGCGATCATGGAGGATTGGAGTGGTGTACAGGGGTAGATGTCGAGGATTCTGGTGGCGGGTATGCGGCATGTGGTTGCGACTGAGGAGAGCGTGGGTAAGGGGATGGAGGATAGGGGACGGATCTTGGTTTGGTGGGAAGAGTGGGTGGGTAGGTTGGGTTTCATTTTTTGGGTGGGGAGGGTAGTTTGACGGCGTTGATAGAAAGCAACGCTGTAGTCTTGGAGAGTGTGTTACTCTAGAAATGGTAAGGATCAAGGAAGAAGAAGAAGAAGAAGAAGAAGATAAACAGCTGATTCCATGGCAAGTGCGTAAGTCTTTGTACAAAAGCGAAGTAAAATCATGTCAGCGTACCAGACTCCATCCATATCCAAATCCTACCTGGGAGTCACATCTGACGCAGGGTAGGGCAACACAGCATGGTCTCAGCCTCGGGACTGGGCTGGCTTGTTACTTTACTTCGTATCTGCTTTTTCGTCGAATTCCTCCAATTGCGATTGCAGAATACAGAAAGATAGAATGCAGATAAGACATGCAAACCAGACATGCAGAATAGACTTGTGCGGTTATCGAGATACTACACAGCGCCCGGCTACCGTACCAGTAAATCACGCACTATCCCAGCGTGTACACACACGCATGCACATATGCGGTACAGGTAGGTCGGATGGGGTGGGTGGTACAACATGCGCGTCAGTGGCGTGAACCGAACTCATCTGGAGTGAACTAGACTGCACTGCACCGGGCCGAGCATCCCTGCTTCCCAGTAGAACACGGGCATGGATATCAGAAAGGTACGTACCTATGCTGCCTTATGTCGTCTTACACGCAGCGCGCGTACCGGCTCAAGCTGCCGGCTCGCGCAGCCTGCACGACTTGCAGGGATTACCGTACGGTGGGGTGATACGGTAAGGCAGCAGTATTTGGGGGCGGGCGAATGCTTGGCGGGAAGGAAACGGAGCAGAAGTGGAGGTGGGTGGCGGGGATTACCGGAATCGTTGGAAGACAGTAGGTATGCATGCTGTGTGGGGTGATGAGGGTGTGCGGGCTCGGGTGGGGTGCGAGGTTGGCCTTGGTGATGCTACGGTACTATCGAGAGAGGGTTGAGTAGGAAGGAAGCGCTTCTTGGATCTTGAATTGGGCTTTCTGGTGTGGCGAGGGAGGGAGGAGTTTTGTTTGGATTAAAGCTTGTGTATGTGAGGGATGTATGCCTGTGATGAGTATGGGAACGGAGGAAAATGCTGGGGATGAATATCGCGACATGGGCTGGCAGCGTTACCGTACCGTACGGCTTGTTGATGTGTGATTGCGAAGAGGTTGCTGTAGTCTGTTTCCCTGAGCGTTGTAGCTTTTACCTAGGTACTGCGCGAGATTTATATTTGCAAGTGTTGCGATTGCAGCGATGATGAGTCTTACCAAATGCATCTAGTGGTGATTAGCCATACAGTATTAGAAACAGATATATACAATTTTTGTACTTTTACAGAAAACACTCACCCGTACTACCGTAATGAACGAGCTTGTCTTCTCTATCACAACCCTCGTCTATGCCTTTGCATGAATTAGCCATAGCATCCTACCAACGACACTTCTTAGCCATCTTCTCGCACTCATCGTTTGCGCCGACAAAGTAAATGTCAACGCAAACTTCTCTCGTAATCGATAATCAAGACCAATATAATGACTGCGGCGAAGACGGGACCAATTTCTTTCTCCGTCTACCATTAGTTCCAGACATTCGAGAATATGACGACGAATCAGACGAGGATGTGACATCCGACGATTGGAAGGGACATGCTGACGAGGCATACTAAGCACTTCATAATGCAGCACGCTTGGAAAAGCAAGTGAATTCCCTGGTTGATGAGCAGGCCCGGAGAAGCTGATCAATCTCACTTATCTCGATATGCATGCAAATACGATCTGGTACATGATGATTGCACCTGAACACATTGAGTGGTATGAAGCCCACCATTCCGCAGACGACAAGTTGTACTGCATGAAAGAGTTTAATAACAATAACGAACCTCTCACGAGACCCCGTGCACTGCTTCAGGGCAAAGAAGTATGGTTTTCTCCATGTATACATTCAAGTCGTTGATTAAACTACAGGATTGTCTATGAGAAGAAAGTTTTATAAATCAAAGTCAGATGACATATTTCCATCTTCTCTATCAGTCTCAAATATTGGTTGCATCAGGATCCCGAGAGATACTTTACTGTGCAGTGTTTGCAATATCCTGCGGTGTGATTGACGCTCTTGGGATCACAATAGTCGGTGATTGACTTACCGCTGGCGGTGAGGCATGCTGTATCGCGCGCCTACTTGATAGGCGCAAGCAACGGAGGTACTGACACCAGTTGACCGTCTCCCAAGTATCTTGTTGTCCCACACTGCGTATTGATATTGTTGGTACAGGAGTTCATAGAGCTTGAACATGTCGAGTTGCAGTATCATTCCAGAAATGCACAATCGGATTAACCGTCATTGATAGCATGCTGGGGTTAAATGATCTGGGACCACAAGCGATATCCGTAGCCATATTGGCTTTGCATGTTGTCAGTAGTTCTGTTGGTAGCTCTGCTGGTGCCGACCGGAGCTTGATACTGGCGCCAGCTTGAACAGAGTCCGATTGTTATGGTGTGTTTAGGCAACATGGCGTCCAATTGCTTGCATGTCCAGTCGGTCTTACTTGATCATCTCGAAAACAAAAAGCATAGACTTTGAGTTTTGGGGGATTCTGGCCAGTCATGTTGCAATACATGATTGTAAAAATACCCCTGGGCAGCGCAGCATTAGCCTCGTTGAATATTCACTGACATGCGTCATGGCAAGCATTATGCGTTCCATCTCGATTCTGCCCCAGATTTGCGCCCGTGTAAGCTTCATGTATTGTATATCAAAGGCTCAAGAACTTCGTTGCACGACACATCAAGCTTCCACAAATCCTGGCAATGAGAACGATTGGTAGTTAGTAAGGGGTAAAGCCACCAGACCGCCAACTTACGTCCCATGGATAGTCTGAAGTGATACTTTCACCGCGACCCATCCAAGCAACCGGATACTAGCAGAGCGTGAAATACCAGAAATATTAATACTAAGAGGGGGCAAAATGCCTTATGTCACAGTGCAGGTGAGTGTGGATCTGATCTAGACTAAGTGGGGGGCCACGGCCTACATAACCGTTGTGGGCATGCACGCGCCATGTCGGTAACCGCAAATCATACCCATTTCCAGTCCACACCATTTCCTCAATCTTGGATTGCGTGTCTAATATTGCATCGAGGTTATTGTTCCTGCAGGTACACGAAAGAGGCGGTCAGGGCGGGTAGGTGCAAGGATCTCCAAGCAGTGAGCATGCTTTTGTCTGCATGTGGGATCATAGCCAACACCTTTGTGACTTTGCTGCAGACGGACGATTACCGACATCTTATGGGGTGAATCACTATTTGATAATTTTCAAAAACTCACTTTCTCTTCCATTGTTGACATACTTTCAGGCTGTCTTTACTTCTAATGCTTGAATAATTGTCACTCCTTTTGCCCATCTTTTTACTTGCCCATCGTGAGGAGGTCAGAGTGGCTGGATTGGTGATCCACTGCCCATATTGGTTTTCTTATGACTCGCTATCATCTTAAATTTATCGGCCGCACAACAAAGTTCGACGTGCAGCAAATTACAACCTTTCAAAGTTGGCTGCTGCAGCTCTGCCTGTATGCGGATACGGCTGTCATATCTCTCTTGAATGATGTATTAAATCTTCGAAAAGGCTGCTGCGAAATTGGACCAGACTTTTGCGGCCAGGGATGAGTGATGTTTTCACCTTTTATGAATTGTACTCATGTTACATAGATGCCAAGGTTCATGCAACGGTACGAGACGGGCTTTGAATTTGCTCAAAGTGCGGGAATGACCGCTCCTCTATCCTTCCAGTTACAGCAGAGTGTGGTCAGTATGCTAGACCAAAAAACATTGATTGCCCGCTTGCCAGTATGCCACAGGTACGACACCCATCGACCCATCAGCATACACGACGTCAGAAGAAGCCGTAGACGCAACTATCTCTGCCCTAGACTTACTCCATGCGTCTCAGCAGGGAACAGCGTGAATGGCGATGCGGCAGAAGAAAGAGGCAAGGTAGTAAATGCGATCGTCACGGTATCACACTGCATCGAAAACCTGGAAAAGCACCGGGAGAAACTGCACAGAATAAGCCGGCGGGCACCTCATCTGCGCTATGGCGGTAGCACCATAGCCCGCGAAGCCGGCGACCTGATAATCGTTAAGATGGCACTGCTCAACGCTTTCGCATCCACGGAAATTAGATAGGCCATGCTTACCCACTCCTGCTAGTTAACACATACCTAATAAGGACATCGCCGTTTCATCTAACAAATTTAACCAGCTGTGTATCATTACTTAATCAAATACCTCGACAGAATGTGCATCTTGTGGTAGTTGATATCTAAATTTGCCTATCCAAACTGCCCATCACCCAACGGGCGCACTAAGCCGGCAACGAAATGGCGATCAAACTGCTATACCCCTTCATATGTATGAACTTTTTCAACCAAAAAAATTCTATCTATATATGGAGCACTAGTACTGATGGTTCAAAAAAGCCTCAATGGTGAACTCAAACAATCAAACATCCCATAACTAGAGATGATGTTCATGTGATTCCTCAACGCCAACTCTCATCTCAAAGAAGTCCATGTTGTAGAAGCCGCGATCCGCCAGCCAGCCAGTGGGGATGTCTGATTCGAAGCTGGTCATCCAAGGTTCAGCAGTGTCCTTCTTGAAGACGATGTGGATGTAAGCCCCATTGCCTGCAAGAGGATGCTGTGCAGCACGACGCTGTGCAAGTTGAGGCAAAGCCCTAGTAGGTTCTGTGCTGAGAGCAAGAGGACTTGTTGGTGCACGGTGAACGAAGACTGCTGCAACAGCACGAGTACGCAGAATAGTGCGCCACAGTGTGTTCATGTCGGAGCATGATCGGGTAGGTAGGACCCTGCGGCCAAAGAGACGGTAACTGCACAGGACGTATTAACATTTTTATCTTGTGCCTCGGAAAGAGCAACTTTACAGATCTTTGGCTTCGCCATCCGCCTCGGGATAATAGCGAGCTTTCATGTAGCGACCAAATCCGGCCTCGATCTTCCAACTGTTAGCCCAAATGTCCAAAAGGGGGAAGATGTCAATTCCGTGAGCACCACGCTCCATCATATTCGGCCTGTCACTGACGGCGATGGTGAGGTTGCCAGTGTATGACAGATCTTGCTTCCGAACTCCAGGGGCTGCAATGGTAGCCAACTTTTGCGGTGCATCGGCGTAGAAGGTTCTCAGATACTTGACAATCTCAGTGAGGTCCATACCAATCTCCTGGTATCGTAGGTAGATAGGTCTGAACTCTTGGCGAATGGCCTTGCACACCTGCGTGAGGCCAAAGAACGGACGGTGAGACTCTCTAGATAGACCGCCTGTATTTTTCTTCGTATGCATCGATCGAAATGATTTGACGAGCTCAAGTTGCTTATCGTGCTCGTGGCCTGCGACCTCCGATGCTAGCGGACGGGACCGGTCGACCCGGGTGCGAGAACGGAGCGATGCCAGTCGAGGGCGGTGCACAAGCAGTGCCTGTCTTGTATCATCTTGAGTATGATCATAGATCAAGTTTCGTATCTCTAGATATTTTCCGTCAGTGTCCGCAAGTCGCTCTGGCTTAATTATAGTCAGTCTTCCACGTACCACCTGGCAACGCCAAGAACCGGAATGGTCTGCGCTGCTCCGCACGAGTGTGCTTGATTCCAGCTCCCGTGTTGGCTCGCAGTTTTGTTGTAGCTTGATCCAAGCCATGATCTGAGGTCGTGAAGGTCGTGGCACCCGGAGATGGCGGCACTTGTGTATTCTGAGGGCCGGTAATCACGCTGCCTTCTTTGACGAGGTTCGAAAATGCCGTGAATGAAGTCTGAAATTCATTGATAAATTGTGCACGATTCTCTAGAAGTGGTGGAGTTATAGGGCGTGTTGTCCTGCAAAAGTTAGTTTCTTTACTCACGACCATGACACAATCGATGCAGTATTCGCTTGAATCAGCGAGCATGATCACATGGGATTGAACTCACGACATCATGAAAAGGATAACCTTCGGAATGCTGGAGGTAACCGAACTGAAGGAGCTGTATAATGGTTTGAAGGAAGGAGCAGGCGTAGTGAGGCACAAGGCTTGATATACTACCAGAGGCTCACGTAAAGTCGCAGTGACCCTCGAATACCCTCATGGTAATCTTGACCAGCCTAAAGAACATGGTGCACCTGTGAGTTATCTGTAGCACTCTCATTATCACTTGCCCCTTCACTCTCTCACCTCATCTGTCCAGCTTCTGGCGAAAGTAGGTTGCACGTTTGTCCCAATTGTCGCGTCTCGCAGGCAACCATACGCTGATAGTAGCATTCCCCTGTGATTTCGATCGTAAAACAGTTTGTAACCCTACTCAATCTTCAATCTCACAGGTAAACCACGACGACGTAACGAAACAAAGATAATCTTGTAGATGCGACCACCAGTCGGTTGCCAATCAGGTATAGTATTGCTGAGCGAGTGATGGAACGGGGCAAGAAACTCTGTATTGAGAGTGAAACTAGAATTGGCTGGGGTAAAGTAGCTAATTGGCCTACTAGCTGCCAGGTAACGGGAATTCGTGGTAAAGGCACAGCGTTGAAACTGAGAGATGAAAATCTTGGCAGCGCACCTTGGCGAAGCCTTTGCTATGCATTGTCTCTGCCACATTGGTGTGGCGGAGCATTGGAGTTTACATAGTGAATACATTTCATCTGATAAGGTCGTTATAACTCATAGTAATCATACCATTTCGCGAAGAGTAACTATGTATTGGTCAGTCTTAGCGAGGCTCTACATCGATCCATGTCACAAGCAGATTGGCGGGGGTATATTGCACCGTAAATCTGAGCCGGTGGGATAGAGACTTACTGGTTTTCTTGCGTTATGGCGATGTCACAACTTCGGAAACCACGGGCTGATCCTGAGTAAGGTTGATGGCCCATGCCCCTCATCGAATGTTCACAGACTGTTCACCTTTTTCGTTCATGATGTGCTCATCTATGCAGACTCCAATGATCTTGTACTTATCGACAACATGATCGCGGGATATAAGAAGATTGCCCGCCCCTCCCGAGTCCACGTAGCCGTAGTCGCGCATTTGATCCAGTATACCATGTGTAAATTCTTCTTTGACCAGTGCTCTTCCAGTAGGCCAAGACTGAGTGGTAACGAGTGCTTTGCCGATTTTCGTGCGCCTGCAGCGAGAGGCAATGAGGCTATGTGCGTTGACATCGCCCCCGAAAGCTATGAGATTGAACGTCTTCCCGACATCGCCAATCTGTACCAATCCAAGCCCATCGTTCACGATAGGTCGATCATCTTCGTCTCCGTGTGCGGTTTGGTTACCTAAAGAACTTCCCTGGACAGCGGTAATGCCTTCAAATATAAATGCAAACGGAGCGATGATCGTACAACCGCAGTTCACACGAACTTCGCATATCAAATTCGCAGTGCTCTTGTTCCAGAGTCTGGATTCGCAGTTGGTAATAGCCGTCAGATGATAATTCACGGACATGTTGTGTGTTCGGAGAAACGCGAGCGATGGATTCTCCCAACCTGTTCCACTTACGCATCGGTCTTCCCATTTCGGAGGCTTTGCACTGGGGTCGCTAGGCCTCCAATACGGACGCAGGTTTTTGAGCAGCCTCTGTCTATAACTGACAATACCACCGCCCGGATCAATGAGACTTCCTAGTAAGGTTGCACACTGGACGAGAATCTTGCCTGTCTCGTCTTGGAGTACCTCTCGGGACTGGTCATTTGTCGGAATCGGCTCGCTTCCGAATAGTCTTTTCGTTTTGACCTTCTTGCCATAATTACATCCTCGCAATCTGAAATTGAACGCGGTATCAGTGCTTTCTTTCTGCTTGAGACTAATAGTCATGTATTTTCGTGGAGTCCCTTTGATGCCAACCATCGCAGGAGTTTTTGCCTGGCCATTACGCTTGAGCCTCCCGAGCTGTACGACACCTGCGAAGCAGTCGGTAGTCATTTGTCCGCTGTAGTTCTCAACAACTGGAATCCAATCCCACTCTCCTCGCTCTCTGCTGCTGATAGCCAGTTTGGTCCAAGCGAAATCCGTCTTGATCGACAGTTGCTTAAAGAAGTTGAACGATGTTTTCTCGATGTCGTAGTCAGACATGTCTCGTTCTATTTCTTCAGGAGTGAAAAGATCGCTGAATATACCAAGCAAGCCTTTGAAGATATCAGCCTTATTCTTGCACTCCCTGGGTGTCAAGGAGACAGCGGAGAATATGTTGCTGATGCCTTTATGGTTCTCGCGCCACCAGTGTGGACCACCGTTGATGATGTCAATTCGCGCGCAGCTGATTCCCTTGACCTGCAATAGCAAATCGTCAAGTATCAACTTATCTTCGATGATGCGGCCAAGAATAGCATTGATCGACTCTGTATTTAATGTCCTGGAATTCAAGATCCACTCAAACAGTTTGTACGCCTTATCCTTCGAATCGGTAGCGAGGTCCATCCAAGTCGCGAGCTCGCCGATCCGAGCTATTCTTTCATGATCAACCGCCCACATGAGCACATTCTTTCCAAGAATCATCTCTTGAAAAGTCCATACTCTCGTGAAGTATTTGTTGCAGAAAAGCGCTTGAACATGGCGGATGCAGGTTGAATAGCAGTTGAGCACACCTAGGTCGACTGCGGCAGATCGGACTATCGACTGCTGGACAGGAAATTTCCATGTGGCTGTTGCCCAGTTGTTTAAACGATTAATTGCGTTTGCTGACAGACTAGGAGCGTCTGCAGCCATAGCTGCCCCGCCCATGTGCAGTATGATATGGTCCAGGAACTTCAAGTCGTCGACGATTGCTTGTGGATCCCAAACCTCCGGTAGTTCGAGTAGTATGTGGCATGAGCGCGCCGTCTTGTAATATTGAAACATTTTGGCTATTTCCCGGGACTTTTCAACTTCGTCTTCTTGCTTGATACATATGCAATCCACCCATAGATATTGTACACCGGAAGCAACCATGAAGCTCTTGATATCATTCAGCTTCGATCTTTTTATTTGTACTTTCCAGTCAACACCGGGGATCTCGCAGTCGTATGCTTGTTCTTCTAAGTCGCCCCAGCAGTAAGACATGATATCATATTGTTCCACGTTTTCATATCGAGGGTCAATGACTGCAAAGCTGCCATTTAATTGTCGAAGCAGCCGCAAGGGTAAATAGTCAGTCATGGTAATATTGCCCAAGAATCGCGTAATGGTAGGGGAAGCGTGAAAGTTAAAACGAATGGCACGATTTGACTGTTGGCAAGAGCAAGACAGCGAGGCTCATATCTACCGGTGGCATCCCATTCAACTTCAGATTGCGTTCCCAGCCTCTTGGGCTGATAATGCAGGTGAGCGGTCATGATGTGAATGGACAGCGCTTGTGGGTCATGTAATACTGCGAGGTAGGGAATTTGGGTGCCAGATAGTCACTCTTGGTGTCATGGGTTAGCGAACAAGGGTTGGCGAGGACGTCGATCTGCAAGTTCTCGTAACGGTGAATACTATGTTAATTTTTGCCTGTATACCTAGGCAACAATCTCACGAAAAGGGCCGAGGAGGTGCCAAGACGCACCTGTAGGTAGGTTATGGTATGTGCAGAATGCAGGGTGCTAGATCATGCCACGAGGCTACGAGCAGATATTTTCAAAAGCCAATTAAGCAAAGACAAGGTAGTGCGACAGGAGAGAAGGGGGGCTGAAAGGATAGTTGCATATATGGAAGAGTTGTGGACATTGTGCACAAAGACTGTACAGCTTCACCCCCGGCTGGGTGCCCGATGTGAATTTCCGTATCTTTGACAGCTAAGTGGCTCGACCGCTGCCTACAGGCCACAGCACGGCTTTCTTAGTAAATAAAGCCTTACGGAGGTGACTTTCAAAAGTTCTTGCTGACAGGGGTGTCTATATTACCGCCGTGATACCACCAAAGCTTAGACTACTTGGTCGCGCCGCCCCTCCTTATACTTATTACTACCTTTAAGTCTAATAATCTCCTAGATATAAAACTATATACGCTCTATCTAAGCCTTTAACTATACTTTTATACCCTCTACTTAATTCTTAAGAACGCCCTTCCTAGTAGTTCTTAACTTAAGCTATTAGCGCTAATATAGGTAGTAGATTTACTACTAAAAGGTAACTTTAAAATTATAATAAGTATATAGGTATAGGGATTAGTATTAGGAGCTATAGTAGAGTAAAAATATTAAAAGATTAAGTATATAGACTATTACTACTACTATCTACAGCTTTAAAAATAAGTGTGTAGGCTAAGAAAGTCAGACTGATAGATTAGCCGCTAACAAATACGCTAGCAAGAACTTATGAAAGTCACCTCCGTATTTAGAACCATTTTAAAGATTGTCACTCTCCTCTCGACTCAGCCAAAAATTCACACGCTTGGCACTCGAGTAGGGGGTGAGGTTGTAGTTATTATGTATTAGATGCTGTATGATTTACATCCATTCCTTCCAAATCATACAATGTCTATGAAGGAGTAAATAAAAGCTAGAGCAACCGAATTTTGTACAAGCTGATTGGTAGTGGTTAGCAAAATAAGAGTAGATGAAGCGGCCCAACAGTACCTATGTAAACATGTCCAAGATTCTGGCCCTCGGGTGCTTCTGTAAGTATTTGAACTTGAATTCTGCCAAGAATGCTGTACCAGTATAGCATTAATAATAGCTATAAGAGGCACTCTGCAGGCTTCACCAGCTGTGACAGTGTTGGTGCCGAGGATAGGCACTTGGACGGGACCATATCGCATCAGTCCAGCATTGTGTAGCGGTTCGGTGCCAGTGGACTACTAATCACTAATTTCTCAACTTAGAAGTCTCTCATATATTTCTACAGTACTACAAAACAGAATCTGTCCTTTTCAATTTGTACTCGATCTATTTAAAACAAACAAAGAACAATGTGTAATTTTTGGAGGAATCTAATGGCGTCCTCGCGTACATTTTGAGTCCTATCTAACAGCCTGTTATGCAAATTTTCCAGGATTGCTCTACCATACTATGTTGCGCATGGGTATTTTAAAGGTGGCTCCTCGTGGGAACTGAATAGAGCAGTGCAGCTATTACATATAAGACTTGGCCTGTGAGAGATAGAACACAAAGTGGTGGCATGTCATATGACCATGGGTTTAGCGTCGGGCGACTTGGGCTTTACTCCGAGTGGTTAGAATATCCCTGTAGGTTCAAGTCCACGTCACAGCGGCAAATTTTCATGGTTATATAAACTAGCCTATGGTTAAGTATAAATTAGGGTAATTTAAGCAAGTAAACGCAGTTTTTGTTACTATCTTTTTTAAACGTGTTCTAAACCTATTCTTAATAATATGCAGGCGTTCCTAAATACTATACTAGAGTTTAGTACAGCAGTACTAGATAACGTATCTAAACTAGATAGTAATATTAGAGATAAATTTAGGCAACTGTATAAAGTGCTAGAGGAGGATAGTAGTAGTAGTGTTAAGGAAGTAAGTAAAAGTAAATAGAACGAGTTTAGAACAGGTTAGTAACACATTACAGGGGCACAATGTATACCTTACTTGTAGTAATAGTTAAGGACCACCACTTACACCAGTAATTATTAAGCATGCAGCTATTCTCCTAGCATACCCTTAATTACACAGCCAAGGGTATAGGTATATAATACTAGTTTAGCAACATAAAGATGGCTCTTACCTAATAAGAGAAGAGGTGCTTATGCAGGCTACACAGGTAACACGTTAAGAACACGTTCTTAAATTGTTCTAATTCTAGCAGGTACAATACTCCCGCTAGTCTGTCTATCTTAATAGGCCTATAACTTTACTATTCTTTAATAGCTAGCTAGCAAGCTAGTATAAATACTAATGCTCTAGGGTAAAAGCGTGTAAGTATCTTAAGAACACGTTACAAACGTGTTCTTATTATATTGTTAATAACGTATTATATAATTAGATCTAAACCTTAAAAAGTGTAGTACCTAAGAAAATTCTACAAAGAGAACTACGAACAAGAAGCTATTATTATAGCCTTATTAAGCGCTTCTCTTTAAGGATTTATAAGGACTACTAGGTGTCTTGTTGTCCTGTAATAAGGACTACAGTAAATTAGGTAGGGAGTGAAACTTAAACATGTTTAAAACATGTTAATAATAAGTTAGCAAATTGTAGAACAGGCTTAACCATACATTGGCTATTAGAACTACAGCCTAATATCTGCTACTAGGAAAAAACATTATTTTAGTTAGGTACCACTAGAGGTAGACTCCACATATCTACAAGGTCTTCTAACTAGGGAGATATTAAATCTTTCTAGTAGTCCTGCTTTATATTCTGTGGTTAAGCCACAGTTAAGCTAGATAAAGAAGTGTGGTAGGCATATTGCAACCTATTCCTAACACGTTCCTAACATGTTCTAGGCGTTGATTATCTATAAGGGCAAGGATCTCTATTTAAAATCCTGTGTAAAGTTACCTTCTAAGTAATTATACTAATAGATATAGTAGCAATACCTTTTTTTACTATTATTTCTTTTAGTATATATATATATATACCTCCTCCTCCCTTAATACTATCTAATAGTAATATTAAGGAAGTAGTAAAGGTGTTGCGGCCTATGCTTACTCTGTAGCTTACGTGATATAAGTTGTTTGCAACCTGTTACAAACGTGTTCCTAACTTGTTACAGCCTAGTTCCTAAACTTAACCTAGCTCTAAACCTATCTCTAACTTAAAGGTTTCTATTCTATTAAAGAAATGTATATTAGCTTCGCAAATAAAGATAAAATCTTGCGTATTATAAAGCGTGAAAAGCTTCTACAGTTCCTATTTAAGAGTAGCCTTAGAGGAGTATACTATAAGTAGAGGATAAAGCATTAGGATCCCAAAACTGTACGTGGTGTAAGAGAACAGGTTTAGAACACGTTGTTAACACGTTACTATAGGCGTACATACAGCAAATCTTTATATTAAGCTTAGGCAACTTAATTATTTGCCTTTTTAAAGAGCAGGCATTAATTCTATTAGATCTAAGCACACGTTCTAGATGGATATGTTATATAAGAGGTTGTATAGGGCATGGGCAGAGATTCTAATAGTAATCTTCTACCTGTAGGAAAAGAAGCGTACGTATTAAGAACAGGTTTATAACATATTTCTAACACGTTGTAGTTATTACACTTAGCTAAATTATTATAGATAAGGACACAACTAAGATATATTAAGTTGCTATTACTAACTTCTTTTAGAAGTGTAAAGCACTTATAAAAAGATAAGTGTTATAGAGGTATATTTACTTACAGGGATTCTATGGGACTACTGTTAATATATGTAACAAGCAGATAACAGGCAAGTTTCACGGCGCACCGCAATATGTTTGTAACGTGTTTCTAACTTGTTTCTAGGACTTGGGCGCTATCTCTAGTTAATTGATCCCTACAAGCGTGACTAGCGCTAGTAACTTTAATCTTGCATAAGATTTTATTAAGTATATCTATAAAGAAGTATTTACAAAGTATGTAAAAGAGAGCTAGATAATACTACCTCTTTACGTCTAAGTGAATTACTACAGGCATTAATAGTAGAGGAATACTTTTAGCTTGCTAACCTCCTCTTACGTAAGTAAACACATTCTGAACCTGTTCTAAACGTGTTCCTAACTTGTTCTTATATAATTAGAACACGAACCCTCTAAAGATGCCTAAAACTAGGCAATCTATAAGAAAAACCTAGTAATTGCTACTAGGATTGTGCAATACTGTAGTAAAATATTAAAAGAGGTATAGGAAAAACTAGAATCTTATTTAAATACAGCTAAGCAAGCAGGCTAGAAAGGATATAAAACTAGTAAGCATGTAAGTATTCTTAAGGCTACTTAGAAGTAAGTTTATAACCTATTCTTAACCTGTTAGAATTGTATAAGTAACATTGTGTAGTGCACACTAGATAGATCTACAGGATATAAAAGAGTTTGAAGCCTAGAGTAAGTTTGGAATACGCTATAACTATAGAACTCCTAATAGGCTTAAGCAAAGGTACCTTAAAAAGCTTTAGAGGGGAGAAAGTAAGTCTTACGCTAGCGTTATGCACATTCGCTAATTAAAACGTGTTTAGAACGTGTTTGGAACGCGTCCTGTAATAATAATAACACTCTAGATAATAATAAAGCAAGTCTTGCTATATCTAACTTAACTAGATATGTCTTAGTCCTAATAAGAAATAAAAGAGCACGCTTAAAAGCCTAAAGCTAGAGGGTAAGTAGTAGAGCGGTATTAGAAAGAAGTTCACTAGCCCCTTTTCTATCTTCTCTACTACTAGGCTCTTCTCCTTTACTAACAGCAACCTAAAGGTATGCTTTGCGAAACACGTTTACAACACGTTCCTAACTTGTTATTAGTCTGTAACTATAAACTTTGCAATAAAAGGCTCTTCTTAGTAATTAGGCTCTAAAGGAGAGAAAAGAAAAGCTAGAGGTAGATAAGGAAGAACTTGCATAGAAAAAGGCACTATTTGAATTGCAAAAGGCACAGTTTAAACTTAAGAAAGAGATAGCTGCTTTTTATACGAGGCAGGGTTAGTCTACAAATATAGTAACTAGTTCCTAACTAGTTCTTAATATATTCTAGTCTATCACGTAAGCATATATAAGCGGATAAATATATATTCTTTCTTCTTCTCTTTCTTCTTCTTTCTTCTTACACTCTACAAGAACTTTTTATATTTAAGAGTTTAATACTGTTTTACTATCTATCTTTCCTAATATTATTGGATATAACTAGTTAATATAGTCCACAAAGATCTTTTGAAGTTAGTATGTGATAGAACGCGTTAGGAACACGTTATAAACTTGTTCTAATACTAAGTAGGATTTATACCAGCGATATATTAAGCTTAAGTCACTTCTATCTAATGCTAGGGCATTCTCTCCTGCAACATCCTACCTAAATAATGGGTGTATAGTATTTCCTAGCGAGCTTTTCTGCTAGGCTATTTGGGCTAGATTAGGGGTACAGGAACTTTATGGAGTATGTATGCATACGAGTTAGAACACGTTTACAACATGTTAATAACTATTTTAGCGTCGCTTCTCTAATAGAGGCAATCTTATCCACTACCTTAAGAGGTATTATCCTAAGGTTTAAATAGCCCTAGTAAACTGTGGCAGAACCACAATACAAGGCACTACGGAAGCAAGGATCTTCTATAGGAGCTTAATAGTGAATGCTTAAGAACGTGTTCTAAACACGTTAATAATACGTTCTCTGCTAGTAGAGCAGACTGCACTAAGTGCCTCCTCTAAGGTTTAAGAACCCTCTAAGATAGCTAGTCCACAATAAGAAGTGGTAGCTAGAGTAGAGGCTAAAGAGGAAGCAGAGAGTAAAGAAGAGGAGCAAATAGTTGCTCCCCTTTACACTGTGAATAATATTTAGCGAAAGCAGCAAAAAGGAGATATAAGTCTAGTCTCTTAAAACACGTTTGGAACATATTAACAATACGTTATAGCTAGACACCCATAAATGCTAGATTCTTCTTTAATCTAAGGGACTGCCAGAGCTTTACAATACCTGTAAAAGTTAAAAGAAAAAGTTATATACTATTAAAGGACCCTATAAAAGTAAATAGTACTTTACTTTTAGTAGATAGAAAAAAAAAGAGAAGAGTAGAGGGGGTTTATTTTAGTAAATAATTATTACCCCTTTAGGGTTATATGGCTTTATTATATTGTTTATTAGAACCATGTTTTTAACACGTTCTTAACGTGTTCCAACTTGTCGATGTTATTATCTGCCTCCCCCTCTGTAGTATCTTCTCTATCCTCCCTAGGCTCTACAAAAGCATACCGCAAGTAGAACTAGGCGGCATTCTAGCAGGAATTGGCAAGGTCCACACTAGCATTAAAGTGACAGTCTTGAAACACGTTAGGAACAGGTTAACAACATGTTGTGAACGACTTACTATAGCTAGGATAATTGCGAGCGCAGATAGCATAAGGAACCTAATAACCTTAAATCCTTAGTAGGGTAGACATAGCAACGAAGTTAAGCTGTAATAAGTTAGCAACGTGTTTTTAACAGGTTCTTGCAGGCTGTACCTTATTGCTATTGCGGCTACTGCGAGTCTTCTTCTAAATTACATTTAGGAGGGTATTAGTATTTACAGGGGGGCCTATAGTAGCTGCTAGCTAGGCTTAGAGAACTTCTGCAAAATACGTTAGCAACAAGTTTTAAATATATTCTAAATAACTTATAGTAAGGAGCGTTCTAGTAATCGCGTATAACCTTTGTGTAGAAGTCTACATGTATTAGCATAACAAGTTAAGAATAGGTTAACAACATGTTTACTCTTTGCCTTGCGGACCTCTATTATAGAGGGCTAGCTAGTTTTCTTAACCCTACTAACCTTATAGTAGGCTATGTTAAGCCTATGATCTTTTTTAGCATAGGTACATAGAGTGCCCCTAGTACCTAGAATAGCCTAAGAATATTAGAACCTGTTTAGAACACGTTTAGAACCTGTTCTTACTCTATATAAGGTGCCCTTGTTGTTAATCTTAGTATAGTAGTAGCGCTCTCCACTCTCTATCTTAACTGCCCTATTAGGGCTAACCACAGGCTATGCCCTAATATTGTCTAGGACGTAGCTAAGGGCGAGGTACTGTTAATAGTGCTTCTGTAACCTATTAAGAACACGTTCTAAACACGTTTTAATCTGCTTACGTAGGATAAGAGGGATGCGTTAGTGATAGGCATGGCGGCGGCGGCTTGTGGTGTTACTAGTATGGAATGTGTTTAGAATAGGTTTGGAACGCGTTGCAAAATCTTACGGCATAATGTTTGGTTAACCTCGCTTAGCTAGCTAGTGGAGCTTGGCACAGCCTAACCCTATGCCAAATACGAGTTCACGCAGCGCTAATTCTATGGTTATATGAACTGCGCCCTCGAACACAAACTTGCACAGACTCGCCAGGTCTTACAATAATGGGCCCAGAGGATACATCCTCATCGCCACGTCCGCCCCTGCCCACGAGCTTCCCTGCAATCTAGTACCAGAGTCATTCGGGTGCGAATGTCGTAAAGTTCGTCCTTATCCAGGACATCAGTTACCAAGTCCATGCTTATCTCGTACTAAGAAGGGTTGATAAACCCGGCACTGCAATTATGATAGGCCAGGCCCTTTTCCTCGGCTTTGTTGACTTCTGCAATATCCGACGATAAGGAGGGCCTAAATACAGTGTGTAATGTGATTATATTGTCCTATTCTAGGAGGATAGGAGCTATCTATAGGCAAGCACTACTAAGAGGCTAAGCCTAGTTACACGTAACCTAGGTGTGGAAATTTGGATCACTAAGCTCAGGAATGATTTGGGAAATGGATCATTGGATTGTATCTACTACGATAGGACTCATAAATAGAGCTTTAGCTACCCATACCAGAAGGTGTATAATCGGTAAACCTTCCTTACTAGAGCTCCTTTTTCTGTTGGGCACTTGGCAGTGAGCTGGCAGTGGATCAGATTACAGATCAGGTAGGGGTATGGATCAAGGATATTAAACAGGGATCAGGTCAGTTGATCGGATCAAGATGCTCCGTGATCCGATTGATATCCCTCCTGCAACACTAGGTATTTATAATATAGTATCTACCCCCTTGTATAAGGTAAATATCCTTATAAGAAAACCCGTAGATAGTAACTAGTCTAACTATAATAGCACTCTTAGACCATATATACTTAGATTCTTCCCTAGTAGTAGTAGTATACTTAGACCCCTCTATAATAGTAGTAGCTATAAACTTAAACTTCTTTATAGTAGTAGTAGTGTGACGTGACACGGGGTGAATGATTGAAAACGAGGCTTGGCCTGAAAGGGAAGGGTTAGAGGTATAAAGGAGTGAAGGATTGAAGGGTAGAACGAGACACCTCTCGATACTCCATTACATCTTATCAATGAAATTTCTTCTCCTGAATCCATCTTTCAAATCCAGTTGATTACCATGAGTTATCTACCACCGAGTCTTACTTCTCCTCCTCCTTCTCCTTGTTTGAATTGGTTACTCTCCCTAACGGTTTAGTAGTAGTAGTCTTAAGCCTCTTGAGATTATTATTATCCTTTAAATATAAATTTATAGTGGCTTAGATAGTTATTTATAAGGTAGTAGAATACTTAGTAGTAATAGTTTTATAGTAGATATCTATTAGTGCCTTAAAGGGTTTATATAAAATCGTCTTAATATAATATTTATTAATAGTAAAGGCTATATACACTATGGGATATTAAGTACAACTATTCTAGTATAGTATGTTAACTTATACAATATATTATCTTAAAGCTTACTATTTATAGAATAAATACTTAAAGTAGTTAAACTAGAAGCGTAGGCTTATAGTAATATTATATTTTAGTACTATAATTACTAGTAAGGGCTTAGCTTAGGTTCTAGTAACTACTATTTAAGGTTATTTTTAGAAGAATTCTTCTAGATATCTAGATGAGGTTCGCCTCAAGACCATCCTCGTAACAAGTGACTTTGTATCTGGTTGTTCCCGGCCGCGTACAGCTGCTTTCCATATAGTACCAGGCCTTTCCGGGTCTTTGGCCGGGTTTGTGCGTTGCGCAAAAGTGAACTGCCTCTTAGATCTCTCTTCTCAATGCTCCTGAGCGAAATATCTGTCGTAGAGGAATCGGCGCCTTCGTTGCGAGGATGGTGCTGATTATGCTCATGTCCTACAAATTCCGATACAAAGACTGGTGTATCCCTCGGTTCATGTGCGTTCTTGACGCTGGTATCGACGGAACTATCGAGAGCAACAGGGGATGAAGAGCAAAATGTAGTGATAAATACGAGGAGCGTACCAAGCTGTGCTAAAGGGGTTTGCATGGCTAACAAGAAGCAACCCAGAATGTATCTGAGAATAAGGATGTATCAGTGGTAGCGGAGTGTATTTGTTACACCCTGGCTGTAATGTTGTGCTATACCGTTAGTGCACATGTTCCTCACCCCTTATCCTACTGGACATAACCTCTACCTCTGTTTGTGTCTTTACCAATATATTGTAGATATTTTTCAGCTAGAAATACATAGAATCAAGCATAATCTTGCTAGATAACCAAAGTACCCGAGACTATGCTTTAATTGGAGAGAAGAGCAGCGGCAATTACCAACAATACTTACTAGTAGGGACATGGGCTCGATGTTCTCGTGCCGTTATCTGACAGTATCATATCTCACGAAATGATTTGTATCCGGGATGGTAGTAGGAACCATATACACTCGAAGCATCGCCAGTCTTGTGCATAGGTAGTCGCGACATAGATTCCAGTGTGTCTGTTACCATTCAAGGATTGCTTTAGCTGCTAGACCAGTGCCTAACCTTACCACCGTTTTCGGTTCGTATAAGATGAGAGGGATTAGGGATGAGATGGGTCCTAAAACGTTGGTTGATGGTGTGCATCCATTGGTGTGAGTCTGTCTCACCTGCCGTGCTAAGTTCCTTAGGGCGCTGGCGTGACCTGAGGGCGTGGGCCAGCGCCAACCAAGCAGGGTGCAACCTTGAACTTGTACACAGGTACTATATAAGTGTGGTTATAGTGAAGATGTCGTCCATCAGATCATCGCCCAAGGGCCAAGTGGGACGTGCTGGTACCTCTAGGTAAGCTAGGTACTAGTAGGTACCGGTACGGTATGGATATGCTGACTTCCCTAGTAACAACCAATGGTAAGTTAGTGCTGACATACCGGTACAATATATCTAAGGAACGCCAGAAATTCACACCATGCGCCGTCCTTGAACGAGTGCTACCAAACCGAGGTAGTATTATAACCATGTATACAACCATGATCCAAGAGTGCCATATGCAGCAGCATAAGCCTCCCCGTCTTTGAGCTTGGCCCCCTTAAGCTCTCAATCAACGTATTGGCAGAGCCTTAAGACCTTACGTTAGCTAACCGAAACCTCAATTAATTGCTTATGCAAACACGGTCCACGATTAGCGTTAGCAACGGCGCAGCAGTACCAGTAAAATGGCAAGAAATCGACACTTGCAACACTACTTTTTTGGGTACCTACTCCTACAGGCGCGCTACAAGATTTACCTACCTATGCCTCGGTTCCCGATAGGTACGTATATCGTTTGTAAGACGTAGTTTCATAACTCGGGAATACAGCACTATGTACCTATCTAACTTGTCCGCGCATCTTTTCCAAATGTATCTAAACCATATCGTATTGCAGCATTACCGTACAATCACGCAGAGACTGGATCTTGATCTCCCTCATTTCGTTGATCAGCCTGACTTCACTAGTGATAGTATCATTGTCGGTATGGATAAGGTACCTACACGGTTAAGAATCAGCCTTTTGCAGTTGAAGCGATCGCCGTGACGGCTGCCAGTTGCAGCTTTGGTTTGGACCTTCAGGAAGTATTTTCTGGCGAATGGTGCCATAATAATGAAGTCAATTGTGAGTAGCAATGTCTGTCATAACTCCAGGCAAATTACAATGGCAGCAAATCAGTAACTAGGTATATAAGCCTCTAAATTTCCAGGTAAAAGGCCCCTAGTACCATAACTATACAATCGCCAGACAAACCCAAGCTGCTATAATTCCTCAAAACACAAACTACACAATTACCCAGCAACATCAACCATTGTATTAGCAAGACACACGCCCAATTTAACATTCTCCCGCTTGCAGCAGACCGCGTCTACTCAAACCTCTACGATACACAACCCACTTCAGCATTACCAATTAGAAATACACAGAAAATTCTAAATCTCCAGAATCTTTTTTTACAAAACTACACGCAATAAACCTCTCCATAGGAAAACCATTCTCACCATCCCCACCCACTCACACTACGGTAAAAAATTGTTTACTGTAGAATGGTACGCTAGGGGTTTACTATATATGTGTAAACTAACCTTATATATACCTGTAAATAGGTTTAAAGTAGTAGTTTACTTTTATAGTAGGGGTTTAAATTAAGTATAAAAAGTAGTTTTATTTCTATTATATACTATAATACCTAACTAAGACTAAAAGGGGTAGAAAAGATTAGCTTTACGCTATATATATATATAATATAATAATAAGTTATAATATTTTTACTAATAGGAGGTAGTAATAATAGAGGTAGTAGTAATAGAGGTGGTAGAGGTGGTAATAATAGAGGTGGTGGAGGCAGTAGAGGTGGTAGAGGTGGTAATAATAGAGGTGGTGGAGGTAGTGGTGGTGATAGAGGTAGTGGAGGTGGTGATAATAGAGGTGGTGGAGGTAGTAGAGGTAGTAGAGGTAGTGGTAGTAGAGGTAGTAGTAGTAATAGAGGTAGTAGAGGTAGTAGTAGTAATAGAGGTAGTAATAGAGGTAGTAAAGAAGATTAAAGAAAGGAGGGGTAAAATACTTAAATAGTAGGAAACTAGGTATTACTATATAATACTAGTAGATTAATAGAAGTAGAAATAAAAGTAGTTTACTTTTATAGAATACATAGTATAATAAACCCTATTTAGGTTTACTTCTTCTACCTAAACCACTTCTTAGTCTACTTTAGATAAATATGGCTACTGTAAACCGGTTTTGTACCGTAGTGTCACCCGTACGACCAAGAGCCTCTCTAAAAAGGCTAAGATATTGGTCCATATTCAAACACTCCAAAATATTCCCCCATAATCCAAAAAACGCCGCACATCCACTCATTTAAACACATTTGCTATCCCATGTACCATACCTCACCCAACATCCCCACCTACATGGACACAACAGCGTCGTCGCTATTCACCATTTAATACCCCATACCAGCACTATTACTAGCCCGAACACGAAAAGATCACACAGAGTGCTTAATACGTATAATAATAAGTACGCGGAGTTTCTAAACCCTTTTTCCATCAAACTGTATTGCTAGAGCGTAGCCACAGCATACAAAGTGTACAACAAAGTAACCATGGATCTCACTCTAGCCCTGTAACACTCAAAAGGATCACTGGACTCTTTTTTGGACTATTTTCCCCCCACAACATTACACCGCGCCAAGAACAGAGGGAGGTATGTGGATTAATCCCTGCTGTGTAGACGGGGACGCATGTATCCGATTTTAAATCGTGCCGTGATTGAACCTCGGCGTGGAAAGACAGAGCCTACGAAATGGAAGGAGCAAGTACGAAGAAGAAAGAGACAAGCGAGTTGCTACAACAAGACGATAAATCATGCATCATCATTCATTTCCAAAATAAAGAGAGAAGTATAATATATTTAACCACGCTTCATTGACATCATGTCAACATCCGCTAAACGCCAAAAAAAATCATGCTTCCTTTTCCACGTTTCGAACACAGTCCAACCCAAATCTTCCTCAGAACAAAAGTCTAAAACTCGCCTCCACCACCGCCGAGGGCAGAAGCGCCCCAGACACCCACCAGCCCCCAGACACCGACTCTCCATCCCCTCCAGAGCCCATGTACACCCTGGCCCTTCCTCGTCTTGATCGGTCGCGAGAAGCCAAGAGCCTTTGCACTGGCCGCCTTGGCGGCGTTGGGACCAATGACTGTGACACCCTCGTCACGGGCAATATACCACATGGTGCCTAGGATGCCCCTATAGGGGCCTGGCTGGACGATAGTAGCGAAACTCGTGTCGTCTTCCTGGGCATATTGGGGGAGGTCCTGTGAATGAGCATGTGGATGCGAAGGTAGCGTGTTGTAGGATTCTGCGACACGTTGGCTTTCCAAGTCCTGCAAGACGGCGACTTGGCCTCTCCGCAGGACGGTTTCGAGGGGAAGACGGACGAAGAGCTCGCCAATGGAAGAGGCGAAGGTGCCCATGGAGTAGGTTGTTGGTGTGAGAATGGGGTCTATGCTGAGCATGGAGCGAAGGAAGAGAGGGGTGGAGGTCGAGATCATGGTTGGTATGCATGCATGTAGCAGCGTTGCAGGGAGAAGAGATGGAGAGATCGTGAGAGTGGGGAGGAGTGAGAGACAGGGGTATATTGAGCGCGGTTGGGATGTTATGGGGGATATGATGAGACGAGTGCGGATCAAGTCCAAGGGAGCGAAGAGTATGGCGGCGATTGCTGTTGCGGCTACTGCAACGCCGAGGGACGTGATGGGACTAGGGCTGTCGAGTATGTCGAGGCCGCCGATTCCGCTTGCAGAGCCGAGAAGGCTCGGGTCTGGCACATTGAGGACGGCGGAAATGAGGCTGCGAAACCAGCCTTCGGTGGTTTTGAGGAGGAAGTTGTAGATGAAGGTGCTGTTGGTGGCTTTCCAGACGCCCCATGCGGATTCCTTCTGCCAAAGTTGGGCGATGACTTCGAGGAGGGCATCTGAGCGCTTGAGCTCGAGTTTCTTGACGGCCGAGGGTGGGGGGCGGGTAGGTGTCGAGGATGGCGAGCGACTTTGTACATTTTTTCTCCGTCTCTGTGGAGAATGTGAGGTTGAGGACGGGGCGGGCGAGTAGGGCGATGGCGGGGCTTCATTCAGTCGTGTTGAAGGGGCAGTTGACGTGAAGTAGCTGGGCGAATCCTCATCCGACTCTTCGTCCGAGGGAAAGTCAACAAACTTTCCACTCGCAAAGCTTTCTGGCCTGCTCTTGTGTCCCCACTCCTTGCCCTCTAATGGCAGTCCTTGTATTTGGCTGCTGGCTTCATGGACCTGCAATATCGTCTTTGCCACCTCGAACGGCTGAGCCAGCAGCACGCTCGTGTAGTTCCAGAGGGCGTGATCCAGCAATTTCTTCGCATGGCCGGCTACTGTAGGCGAGTCGTTGGGGAAGTAGGCATCGTAATCGAGATCTGACAAGATGTCGCGTGCCTGCGTGCCAAAACTGGGTTTGATTCTGCCTGAGCGTGGGGCCGGCAATGCTGGGGAAGCCGTCTGCTGGCTTTGTGGGACGTCTGGTGGCAGGCCAATCGAGGGTGGGATATAGTATGGTCGTAGAGGATTTGGGGCGTCACGTGAAGTCGCCATGATATCAACGCCTTTCCTTTATCTGGCGGTGGGGGGGTGTCAATGCGAGAAGGAGGGGGAGAGAGAAAAGAGTGAAATATCACAGTTGTTGTCGTTGTTGTCGTTGTTGTCGTCGTCGTCTTGCCCTAGTAGCAGGAACCCTGTTAGTTATCCGAGAAAGTGCTGGCGGTGATGATGCGCTGCGCTTTCGGCGGGCCCAGTCATTTGGTCTGTGCGCATCATTTGATAATTGTTTCTCGACGTCTCACAGGCGTCGGAATAATCGACAGGACGACTAGACGACGAACACTCTGCCTTTCCCGTCACTGCTGCACACCTGCTCTCTCGCGACTCGCTATCCTGCCTGCCTCCTTAATCCCTCTCACCGGGTACGTACCTTGGATCAAAGCAGCGAAAAGTCATCATCATGGCGGCGCCTCGCACGTGTCTGAAGGCACTGCGCATTTCACAAGAATGCGTGGCAGTGGCATCATCGAGAGGCGCATTACCGAGTCGCCGGGGATTTTCTTCGAGTCGGTCGAGCAATTGGGTGTCTGCGATGAGTCGAGATGCCAATAACAGGGAGAAGGGGGCCGCTGGAGTCATATCGCAACAAGCATCCAAGATTGTCACAGCAAGTAGTCCCTCATGGCTGCCGTCGCATCGGCGACCATTTTCCTCGACTCCGGTGGCCCACCACGGACATTTGGATCCGCCGAAACCTGGTGAGGAGTGAGTGCTCTCGCTCGTCGCAAGTCTGCAGAAGAATGGACGCAACGCTGACAAACACAGACGTCGCGTTACATTTATAGACAAAGACGGCCAATCCAACACCTTTGTGGTAGCCGATGGTGACAACTTGCTCGACATTGCCCTCGCCAACGACATCGAGATGGAGGGTGCTTGTGGCGGATCATGCGCCTGCTCGACATGTCACGTCATTGTCGAGGACGAAGCCATGTATGACAAGATGGACGAACCAGACGATGACGAAAACGACATGTTGGATCTTGCCTTTGGATTGACCGAGACTTCGAGGTTGGGATGCCAGGTCAAGATGACCAAAGAGCTGGATGGCTTGGTCGTTAGACTACCGAGCATGACGAGAAACTTGCAAGCCAGTGACTTCAAGTAGTGTTTCGAAGAGTCGAAGCGTCTGGGTATTGCAAAATAGGGCCTACTGGGATCTAGGTGGGAGACATCTCTTGTACATTTGAGGAATGCGATGAACCGGGCATGGGTAGCGCCTAGCACCAATTGTATGATACACGCATTATGGATCATGTATAGTATATGGTATCACGAAACTATCACATACTGACTCTTCTTTTATACGCCCGCAACGCCACACATGCATGCCTCACAAAGGATACTCAGGCCTCCATACTCCCTTCTTTCTGCGCCTTGCCTCCAGTGATCATGTCCAGGAATCCTTGTTTGCTCATCTCTTTCACCATTGTTTCTCTTGTGCCCATGCCCACATGGCCTCCCTCCTTGGCTTCGCGCTCTGCTTGTTCACCCTTGACCTGAGCCGCTCGCACTGCGTTGAAAAGTTTGATAACACCCTTTTGTGCAGTACGCCTCAGTTCCTTCTCCTTTGCCGACGTTGTCGCCGTGCTGATTATGGGGTCATTCAGGCCTAGCACGTCCTTGACGCGACCCTTGTCCTGCGCCGCTTTCCTCTCTGCCACAACCTGTCTCCGTGCCTTCTCTGTCAACTTGCTGTCCGCCAGTTCTCGATTGGCTGTCGCCGCGTCTTTTGATCGTGCAAGAATCGGCTCTGAGCGTTTTGTGGTAGTGAGCTTCGTGTTGAGAATCTTGGAGATGGACGTGGCAAAGGCTTCGGGATCGTTGCGTTTCTTCACTTTGCGGGCGGCGGCTGTCGAGGTTTCTGAGACAGACGACGCGTCCGAGTCCGAGTCGTTGATATCAAACTCGTCATCTTCGGGCTCAGAATCTTCGGTATCTGCATCCTCGTCATCGTCGCTTGGGAGGGGTGCTTCATGGTCGACGGGCGCAGTCTTCTTCAACACAGACTTGGCGGGTATTTGCGCCTTAAACTTGGGCTCTGGCTTCTTCGGTTGTTCGACCAATGCGGTGGCAGCCTCATCGTCGCCCGAAGCTGGGTCTTCGTTGAGTGGCGCTGCTGCTGCCGTCTTCTGTTGCTCGAATTTCGCTTTTTTCCGCAATTGTTGCTTAGACAGTTCCGTCTTTCCTGGAAGAGTCGCATTGACACCAGTCGGTTGAAACTCTTCCTCTGGCTCCTCGCTGCTGCCTCTTGCGGGCGCATCTCTGGCGCCACCCTCGTCCTCACTCGAACTGTGATAGAACTTTTGCTTCTTGACCTTCTTCTTCTCCTTCTTCGGGACTTTTCCCCGCAGTAGCTCTTCCGTCCGTCTTCTTTTGAGCGATGTGTTGACCATTGTAGTGTGTGGGTGGAAATAATTGTGTTGGTTATGTGCGACGTTGAACTACGGTTGTAGGCGCGAAAAAAAGTTGAGACGCGGTCGGCGGTTCAGTTCACCAATCGCCGACGCCGAGCATCTGCCCCCCACACTTGACACTACCACTACCACCACCCTTTACCTTTCCCCACCGACCACCATAGCGGATCATCACCACCGCCACTACCACCACTCCACACTGACGCAACCCCTCTACCGCCGCCATGGTGCTTCAAGATCTCGGACGGCGCATCAATGCCGCCGTCACTGACCTCACGAGGTCGCCCAACCTCGACGAGAAGGTGCGCATGTCCGCCAGCGAGACCTCACAGTAGCAGTGGCTAACATGCGCCAGGCCTTCGATGCTATGGTCAAGGAAATATCCAACGCCCTGGTCGAAGCCGACGTCAATGTCAAACTGGTTATGAACTTGCGACAGTCGATCAAACGCACCGTCGACTTCAAGCACCTTGCCCCCGGCGTCAACAAGAAGCGCCTCATCCAAAAGGCCGTCTACGACGAACTTGTGAAGCTAGTAGATCCGCACGCCGAACCATTCAAGCCGCGCAAAGGCAAAAGCAATGTCATCATGTTCGTGGGCCTGCAGGGTGCGGGAAAGACGACTACTTGTACAAAGTTGGCGCGCTGGTATCAGGCACGAGGCTTCAAGGCGTGTTTGGTCTGCGCGGATACCTTCCGTGCTGGTGCTTTCGATCAGTTGAAGCAGAACGCAACCAAGGCGAAGATTCCATACTACGGTAGCCACACCCAAACGGATCCAGTAGTGGTAGCTGGTGAAGGTGTGGAAAAGTTCAAGAAGGAGCGCTTCGAGATTATCATTGTAGATACATCGGGTCGTCACAGGCAAGAAAAAGATCTCTTCGACGAAATGGTGCAGATTCAGAATGCAGTGCAGCCAGATCAAACCATCATGGTTCTCGACGGAACCATTGGTCAAGCCGCCGAGTCGCAGGCACGTGCTTTCAAAGAGGCTGCGGACTTTGGAGCCATCGTCATCACCAAAACGGACGGTGCGGCAGCAGGAGGTGGAGCCATTTCCGCTGTCGCAGCAACACATACACCCATTGTCTTCATCGGTAATGGAGAACACCTACTTGATCTCGAACGCTTTGCACCGCAAGCCTTCGTATCGAAGCTGCTTGGAATGGGTGATGTACAGGGCTTGGTCGAGCACGTCCAGTCACTGAAGCTGGATCAAAAAGACACTATGAAACATATTACCCAGGGCATTTTCACCATCAAAGATCTCCGCGACCAACTATCGAACATCATGAAGATGGGACCCTTGTCGAAAATGGCCGGCATGATTCCCGGTCTAAGCAACATGATGGGTGGCATGGACGATGAAGAAGGCGGCTTAAAGCTTAAGCGGATGATCTACATTTGCGACAGCATGACAGAGAAAGAATTAGAATCTGATGGGAAGATGTTTGTCGACCAGCCAACACGTATGACGCGTGTAGCACGTGGCTCAGGCACATCAGTCCGTGAAGTTGAGGAACTGCTCACGCAACATCGCATGATGGCTGGCATGGCAAAGAAGATGAAGGGTGGTATGGCCAATATGCAGAAAGCTCAAGGTGCAATGGGTGGTGGCAACAAGCAACAACAAATGGCGGCCATGCAGAAGCGCTTGGCAAGTATGGGTGGCGCCAATGGCATGGGCGGTGGTGGCGGAGGTATGCCAGACATTGGTGCCATGATGAAGATGCTAGGTGGTGGAGGCGGCATGCCTGATATGTCTGCACTTGGAGGCATGGGTGGCATGGGTGGCATGGGTGGCATGGATATGGGCGCGATGATGAAGATGATGGGCGGCATGGGTGGTGGTACACCGCCACCAAAAGCACGACGGTAGTCTCGAACATACGTGAATTGGATTGGGACATTGGGTTTGTGCTTCTTCATGCATAGCCGCGGCGTTCTGGGAGAGAGGCCTGGATGTACTATTATGTCGTCTATGTAAAGACTTGTAGTTCCAACACATCCGCATTTGTCGGACCTGAGGAGACGTCAGAACGATAGTTGGAAGTCTAATCGATGATATGAGAGTAGCCTAGGTTAAGACATGCCGATAGGACACTCGCACAAGGTATCATCAAGCACGAGCAATTGACTGTCGGGCTTATCATAATCGCAGAGCCAGGATCTGTGATGTCTTTTTAAAGGGCGGCTGCGCCCTTGGTTGTCGCTGGCCCGGCGGAAATAAGGGCTACATCTGCCTTGTCCGTATCCCAAACTATACCGGTAATCAACCCCACAACGAGTTCATGAAGCATTCATTACTTCCAACCTCGCAAGAATCCCACGATCCAGAACAGCAAACCCCAACACCTATTCAGGCTATCCAGGGACAAGTTGAATCTCTCTTCTACCATCCCGATTCGACATTTTCACCAAACCTCATGGCCAACCACCAAGTCGTCATCGTAACCGGCTCGAATCGAGGCATAGGCAAAGGAATCGTCTCACTCCTTGCCCAGCAAAACTTCCCACAGCCCCTGATAATCTACGCCACCTCGCGGAGTGGCGCTGAATCCAACCCCCAACCCTCCAACCACAACCAAATCATCCACGCTCAACTCGACATCACCTCCACCACATCAATCGCCTCCCTCTTCGCCCTCCTCCACACCAACAACCATAACCCCTCCATCCTAATCAACAACGCCGCAATCTCAAACGACTACCGCGAGAACCCCCAATTCGCCGCAGAAACAATCTCCACAAACTATCTCGGCACGAGGAATATGTGTCTTGCTTTTCTCTCCCAACCAAACCTCGGACCTAATCCGCGCATCGTCAATTTATCAAGTGGCTATAATGCACTCAGCACCTACCCGCCACCCCTCCAAGCCCAATTCCGCTCCGCATCCTGCATCGCCGACGTCGACACACTATCGCAGTCCTACCTCTCCAGTCTGACCCCCGCCTCCCCGGCCCAAGAAACAGCACAGTGGGTCGCAACACGTAGTTACAAAGTCAGCAAAGCGCTCATCAACGCACTGACAATCGTCTTGGCAAATACATACCCGGACGTCCTGGTGAATTGCTGTTGCCCTGGGTGGGTGGATACGCAGATGGGGCGGCAGGGGACTGGGACGCCGCCGAAGACGGTGGAGGAGGGGGCGCGGACGGCGGTGCGGTGTGTGGTGGGGGATTTGGGGGAGAGTGGGGATGGGGATGGGGGGTTGGGGCGGGAGACGGAGAGGCTGAGTGGGATATTTTTTGAGAATGAGGGGATTATGAGTAAGGGGTGGGGGAGGGGGAAGGTGTGGTTGGATACGTAGGTTTGGCTTGTTGGAGGTAGAGCTAATTTTTTAGACATGTAAGCATTTTGGAAGAGCGATACCCTAGTTGCTCTGCAGTTCCCGTGGCAAAGTTTGTAGATGTCGCGATTTTTGTTGTCTGGGATGTATAGAAGATGGAGATTGTGGTTTGTTTTGTTCTTTGAATAGTTAGTGAGAATTTTGGAAGAAATGCTTCTACACTGCTCAGCTCCAGGGCCAGTCAAGCTTACAGTGTTCATCTCGATTTACTAGCAGTATTTACTCTCTGATTCTCGTCCTCTCCAGCCAGTCCGCTCGACACAACATATAGGACGCTATATATCTCTCTTCACGCCGAAAACACTCTTTGACCCGCAAACCACGTCTCCACCACCTTGGCCTGCAACAACTCGTCATCCTTCCACCGCATATCCACGATACAAAAGTCCGCAAGCATACCCACCTCCAAGCTGCCCATACGCTCCTCTGCGAAACAAGAAACAGCCGCGCCCTTGGTGACCGCACTCACAGCCTGCGTCAACTCTAAGCGAAAGTTCGCATTGACAGGCTCGTCACCAGCCTGCGGCTGTCGTGCTGACTTGCGGGTTGTCGCTACGTAGAGATTGGGAAGTGGTGCGTAGGGTGCAGTTGGAGTGTCGGAACCAATAGCCAAAGGCGCACCGTGGTCTGCGAATTCAGAGTACGCAAAGGCACGCTTGACGCGCTCGGGGCCAAGGAGTCTAGGCCACGCACGTAGTATCGCTGGATCGGAGTGGACGGGCTGGATACTAGCTGTGATGCCCAGTTGGCCGAGCCTCTTCGCATCTTCTGGCGCAGTGAGTTCGAGATGCTCGATGCGGTGTCGTTGGCCTGGTTTTCCGTACTTTTCCAGCACGTTGACGGCGTTGTGGGCTGCTTGGTCGCCAATGGCATGAAGGGCGCACTGTAGGCCGGCTTCGCATGTCTTTTTTACTACGGGGTCCAGCATCTCGGGTGTCCAGATTGGGCCTTCAAAGTGGCCATTTGAAGTGTAGGGCTCGGCCAGGGCAGCAGTACAAGCGTCAATGACTCCATCACAGATGATTTTGATACCAACGATTCTCAAGTCTGGACTGGTCTCGCTGTTGAATTTCCGGCTTAATTCAATAGCGCGGTCCACTTGCTGTAATCGATGTGCCTCCCCGTCTCCGGGAAGTATGCACCAGTGTGCAGCTATTCGAAGTGGAAGATGCCCTCCCTCATCGTTTTGTAGTGCAAGAATTGCTTCCCACGCATTCTCATCCATTGCCATATCGATACACCCCGTGCAGCCAGCCTCGTGATACGCCTTGATTGCAGATCTCAGTGCCGCCATCTTTTCCTCCACTGGAAGTACCTTGGCGAGATGCGGCCAGACAATCAACAAGACACAAGCCTCACTCAAGAGTCCTGATGCCTTGCCAGATGCATCGCGCTCAATGGTACCACCTGCGGGGTCTTTCATATCTTGGACTTTCATCTCTTCTAGCGCCGCGGTATTACACCAGCAGGAATGGATGTCCTTGGAGTCAATATATATTGGCCTTGGATCCAGATCATCTAGCATACTGGCTTTCGCCTCGCCATTAGTCATGCTATGCATCCAACCTTTGCATAGTATGCGCTGCTTGTCTGGATTCTCTTTCGCATACTTGGTAATGCGCGCTCGAATCTCCTCGAGATCTTTTGCGTGGTCCAAATCGACTTTATGCAGCGATTGGCCTAGCATGAGAAAATGCATGTGTGCATCAATGAAGCCCGGAAGGATAAATTTCCCATTCAGGTCTTGGGACGGAATCCCTGAGTTGAGGAGGGATGTAATCTCAGGCGCTTCGGCATGGCCGACAAAAGTGATTTTGCCATTCTGTATGACAAGTGAAGATTGGAAGTCTGCTTCTGCGGTGGATGTATCGCCTTGGAAGATGCGAGCATTGGTGAAGATAGTAGGAGCCGAGATCCGGGACATTGTTGTGGCTGTTTGATGTGAGGAGGGGTTGGTTGGTGGGGTTATCAGATGGAAGAACTGGCTTATCAGATGGAAGAACTGGCTTAAGTTATCAGATGGAAGTCAAAGCCGACGTCGGGCTTCATCAGTTTGACTAGCACCAATACGCCTTACACCGGACGACTGGCAATCCATAGCGTACGATAATCGCTATACCTTCCACACGAAATGCGTGGATTGGCCACAAGGGGATGGAAACATAACAGGAGTGCAGTTAATGCTCATTCCTAGCCTGGTGTACCGGTACTACCACACCACCTACAGGACCTGCGATAGATCATAGTAGGTACAGGCAGTTGGGTCGTCATCAATGCCACTGTCACATTTACTGATACGATCCATTTTCCACATTGGAAAAGAACCTATACTTTCCGATTAGAAGGCTACAAAGTTTAGGAACTTCCATCAGTCTATAATACTAGCACATTCCGGAGTAGCTTTGGAGAGCCGTGTACGGGTCGCCATCAGCATCCTGCTTACCTTGACAATCAGCCTGGAAGCGCATTGAACAAGACAATCAGCGCTAGTTACAAGTCAAGCTGGGTTGTTTCTGCGCACCTGAAGCCCCTTCTCATGGCGTGCCTTGCGTCACTACACAGTAGTCCATGGGCTCTACAACGCCTTCATCCACAAGCGTGAACGCCCGCACATAATAACGGGCCTTGCTCGCCATCCACATATCATATATCATTTATTACATCGAAGCCAAGGAACAAATAGAGCCATCAAAGCCAACGTTCATCGTCTCAGTGAAATGCCTTAGCCGCCAAGGCGTGACAGCTGTGGCTTCGTGCAACCCACGTTTCAAAATCGCAGTCGATACCCGACGTCAGCAAATTCGGCATACTGTCCAGCTGTGCTGACACAGAGTGTGCCACAAAAGCGCCCTCAGGCGCGGATGCTTCGTGGCCCGCAAAAGACTATATCTTGGTGTGAAATCCGAAGAGCTGTTGTTGGAAGGTTCATTTCACCAAGAATTATTTCAATTCAAAAATCAACCGGCATGTACTTCTCTAGATCGTTACTCGCAGCGGCTCTGATGGCTGCTGCGCAGGCGCAAACACCCCCAGGATTCGTTCCAGAGGTCAGCACAAAGTTAGAGGTCATGTTCAACTCGACCACGGTGGAAACACCAGGACAATTGCTTTCGAAAGCAGGTATGTCACCCAAAACCTTTCATCGCAAAATATTGTGCTAAGTTATTGTAGCTACAGCAAATCAACCACGCTTCGCATTATCAAGCGATCTCCTAGACTCAAGCGATACCTACATGCTTGTCATGCTGGATCTAGACCTCCCACCACTCAATGGCACCACAGAGCGACGAGTCCTCTTGCATGCCATGATTACAGATTTCAAAGCTACACAACAACAAGTCGCTGGATCAGCCGCACTCCTCGCATCAACGGCATCAGGCCCTGCATCCTACCTACCACCTGGCCCACCAGCGACAGATACCCAAGCACATCGCTACGTAGAATTGTTGTTTGAACAACCAGATGGCTTCAATGTCGAGGCATCTGTATTTGCAAATGTGCAGGACAGGCTCAACTTTGACATTGAGTCATTTGCCGCAGAGAATAACGTCGATGCGCCGATCGCTGCGAACTTTTTTACCGTGGATGGACGTGCATCTGCGGCTGCGTCTGGCACGCCTTCGAGTAGTGCAGGTTTTCCTAGAAATACCCTGCAGCCTTTCGAGGGCGCTGCTGGGAGAATGCTGTTACCGTGTGGGTGGGCGGCTTCGCTTGGAGCAGTTATGCTGTTGACAATGTAGATTCAGGCAATGAATGAAGTTCATGTATTTCCGGTTCTAGCACATAGGCTTATAGCAAATTCACGAATACGATAGACCCTGCATTCCAAGAATCTTGCCTGTTAGACCAGACTGAAAGTGATGCACTGTGCTACATCTTCGTCTTCTCCTCATTGACGATGGCCCAATACTCCTCAGTCGTACGCAGGCGCAATGATTTGCCGTACTTGATCATGATCAAAAACACAGCTGAAGCCGCCATACCAATAAATGCTGCAGACAGGAAGCAGTTCTGATATCCCAAGTTTGTCAACCATGGAGTGAGTCTGGCTACAATTAGCAATCGCAGAGTTTACTTGAAGTAATGACATACCCATAGCTGATGGCGAAAGACATGGTATTCCGAATCAGAATGACCGTCACAATCGCATCCCCACTAATATCATGATAGCTGTCAATCATGTAGTTTACACTGAGCGTGAGGCCCACGCAACTCGTAAACGCAAGGCAGCCCATTGCAAAGACAAGACCAAACCAATGTATACCATTTGCTGCGCCAACACCCCAGAGAAGTAGGGATCCTGGAACCATGATGAGGCAGACTACAAATGGCCATAATCTGTGCTCGGCCTCCATGATACCGCCGTTGCGACGAGCAAGTCTGACGGTCAACCGATCACTGAACTGGCCAGACAAGAGCATGCCAAGTGCGACCCCTATGCAACACGAGACATAGCTCAGTCCCACCATCGAAGGCTTAAAGTTATATCCAGGACCGCTGAGAATAATGGATGAAGTACCGTTGAGCACATTAAACCAGATTAGATATGAGCCATAGCTGAATCCCGAATAGAAGATGACCGGCCAGCTGAGATACTTCAAACTGCGTTTGGCGTGAATCAACATGCTCTGTCCTGGACAAGGCTGCCAGATGGAGAGTTTTTGAACGAATGACTTGGCCGAGGTTCCAATTGTGTCGCTTACTACGCTTTGAGCAGTGCTTGTCACACGAGGACCAGCCTTTTCTAAATCCTGTGGGGTTTTTGGGCTCGGTCCCTTGAGTACGCTTGCGATACCAGGTGTGATCTCAGGGAAACTACGAGCGTAATTTGTCTCTTCTAGGAAAAAGAATAGGAAGACGAATGTGAATGCGTTGAAAATGGCAGGCCAGTAGAACACCCACTGAGAAGTTGGGTAGATGGGTTAACAGAGGTCCATCAGATTCACAACGATGATTGCGACATACCTGCCATCCCTGTCCGTCGGCGATGAAGCCGGAAATTATGGGAGCAAAGTAGTTACTTCCTGCCAACGATAGGGCATACAGGCCCATGTAGGATCCGCGCTGTTATCGTGTCTCAGCAAACCACTGTTAAGTCAACAAATAAGTGAATTACCTGGTGAGTGAAGTAGAGATCCGTAACCGCAATCTCGGGCAATGCCTCGATAGGCGCAACGAAGAACCCCATGATAATGCATCGGGCTATCCATTCTCCGTCGCTCTTGACATAAGCACTGCAAAATATCAGTCAGAACAGAAAGTTAATCTTCGAAGATGATACCTGCCTCCATATAGATGTACCAATGGCGCCAAGGACTGATATGAGAAATGTCAAGCGTTTGCCATATCTCAAGGCAAATGGTTGCCAGAATAGGAGTCCCCAACCCAAGAAGAGAAACATATATCCCGAGCCCTCATTCAAGGTCTTGATTGCCACCCCTGATTGAGCGGAAAGTGGGACAAGAACTGAATAAACTGTCGACAATGCAATGCCGGTCATCCATGTGTAGCTGGTTGAGTCAACGATGGGATCATCCAGGAAATTCTGCTAACATACAGGTTGACGCATATAGTTGATAGTAGCTTGCGTCGAGGGGTCCAGTTTAGGGGGTCGTCTGGGTCCTTGGAAGGTGCTGGGTTCAGAATGATATCTCCATCCCCAGAGTGTCGAGCATTCAAGCTATGATTAATGTCGACGAGATGGACGGTGCCAGGAATGACTCCTGACATGGTGCTGGGGTCTCCCGTCATGACGTTGTTGCTCAGGTAGGGTTTGACGATTGATTATTGATAAATGGAGTCGTATGTATGCAAAAAGAAACCGGGAATCTGGCACCATATGAGTACCTGAGTACAACAGTGGTGTCGTGATGATCATCCACTTAGTGGGTAACCTACTCGTCCTTATACTCATCGCCAATAGCAGCAACACCATCTCAACTCTTCCCCGCAATAGCTTTCTTGAACGCAGCCATCAGATTTTCGACTGATAGCCATTCCACCGAATTGATAACGTTCTCGGTTAAGTGATAGGGGTTGTTAGATATCCGCCACTACCCCTCTTCCATCAAAGACATGTATCTCACATCTTCGACCGAATGCGGTATTTCACGAAACTGCCACAAGATTCGTCCATTGGAGAGTTCCAAGCGACGCACAGAGTGGAAGATGGGGTTGGCATGTGGGGACGGTGATTTTAGCGTACTTAGTAGTGAAGACATCATGGTTGATTATTGGGCGTAGATGAGCACGCTACACAGGTCGAGTAAAGATGTGGAGGCCTGTTCGAGTTAGCGTTGCGCGGATGGCGAACCACAACGGCACCTCCTTTCGTTATCGGCAACTTCACGGTACTTTGTGATACAGAATATTTCCAGGTGGTCTCCGCTGGTCCGATGAGGAGGGCCTTACAGTACGTATCTATTGCCGCGTTGTGCAATACTCGGACCGCGGTGTATAGATACTCGGATCGCGGTCAAACGTGTTACCAGTGTGGTTAGTATGCAACTAGCGAATGTAGATAAGACTGCTGGGTCGCTTATAATGAGACGGTGTAAAGGCTGCAGGTAATCTACAAAGGCTTTATACCTTGCTGACCTGATCTGTCATTCGAAATCATTCACTGCTGTACCAAATACATAGTCATGGCTATTGCCTTCTCGAACTCGGTTCTCACCGTCATACAGCCCAAAGCATTGCCCAAGGGCACTCCTCAATTCGAAGAAAAGCGCACTTCACTGCTTGAAGCGTTTGCAAAGAAAGTGCCATCGGAACTTCGCCTCCCGTCGGATTTCTTCGTCAACCCACCCATCGATGTATCAAAGGTCCCTACCACCTGTGGCATTTTAAGCCGATCCGAAGTTGATATCACAGAGAACTACGATGCCGTTGGACTCGCAGAAGCAATCGCAGCTCGGAAATTTACTTCCCTCGAGGTGACAACCGCGTTTTGCAAACGTTCAATCATCGCACATCAGCTCACATGTTGTCTAACGCAATGGTTTATGCCCGAGGCACTGGAGCAGGCGAAAGAGCTGGACTCCTATCTTGAGAAGCACGGCAAGACCAAGGGGCCTTTCCATGGTGTGCCGATAAGTATCAAAGAGCATCTACCCATGGCAGGAACATATTCATCTTATGGATCCTTTGCAAGTACCCAGTTTGATGAGAAAGACTGCTTGATGGTATCACTGCTGCGCGACATGGGCGCGGTCTTCTATTGCAAAACAAACCAGCCACAGCTGATCATGCACTTGGAGTCGACATCACACTATGGCCGAACGCTCAACCCATTCAACACCAATCTCAGTGCAGGTGGATCGTCGGGTGGTGAAGGGGCACTTGTAGCCATGAAGGGATCCGTGTTAGGCGTTGGCACTGATATTGGAGGTAGCATACGTGGTCCTAGTGCCTTCAATGGCATATACGGATTCAAGCCAACAAGTTATACTTTACCAGCAAAGGGATTTATTTCCCACGCCTTCTCGGCGGAACTCAACATTCTCGCGACAGGTGGCAGTATGTGCCGAAGTCTACGAGACACGGATTTCTTCATGTCGACAATTTTGGGCACAAAACCATACATACATGACCAGAAGCTAGTACCAATGACCTGGACAGGTCTAAAGACAGCAACCAGGAAGCCTCTAAAGATAGGTATCATCTACAACGATGGATACATTTATCCACAACCACCGGTCAAACGCGCCATCGCCTGGGCTTGCAATCAGCTCGAAGACCCCAAGTACTCGGACATCTTTCAAGTCAAATCCTTTAAGCCGTACAATGCTGCAGAAGCTTGGTCCAAGGCCCGCCGTATGTATTGGCCTAGCGGTGGCAAGCTCGCCCGGGCCGACGTCGAATCAACTGGCGAACCGGTTCTACCCTTGAGCGAATGGACCTGGGCTGACGCTGCACCTCATGGTATGCTCGATGCGGAACAAGTCAACGAAATGCGGGGTGAGCGAGATGCTTTCCGCTATGCGTTTGCGGATAGCTGGAATGAACAAGATGTTGATATTGTGATTGGGCCAGCCTTTGTGGGTCCGGCTTGTTCGCATGATACAGCATTCTACTGGACATATACGAGCTTGTGGAACTTTGTGGATTATCCGGGGATTGTTGTACCCACGCCGATCAAAGCGAAGAAGGGAGAGCAGTATGATGCTGATTATAAGCCGTTGGGTGATGCGTGTAAACACGTTAAGCAGTTATGGGAAGAAGGAGACTTTGAGGGAGCACCGATTGATCTGCAGATCAATGCAAGGAGGTATCACGACAATGAGCTTTTTGGGGCATTGGCGATGTTGAAGGACGTGTTGAAGCTGCCATAGGACCTTAGGTAGCGAAGTAGTTGAGATTCAGACTGCATCTTCCATCTAGTATTTGGTCACGTGCGCACCACGCCGCCTTCACCATGTATGTATGTATCCGTGCACATGTGGTGCTGGTCCAGGCTCCAAGGCTGGAATTAATGGTTAAAGCCGTAAGCGAGTCTTGGCAGGCCGGGGGTCGCGTCTCACTCACAGCGGTCTTCCACTCGACTTCACGTTCACACGAGCATCGCGTGTGACGCTCACGTGCTCTTGCACCCAACAAGCTGTTACTGTACTCCTATGCCCATGTCCCCATTGTAGCATTGCATACAGCGCTACCAATGCGCGCTCAAGATGGAAGAACTACGCATTGCAGACCTCAGTCCTACCCTGCCAGAGTTCGAGTCCAAGCATTTCAGAGCCTCCGTCATTCTCATATGGCCCTACTCCTCATCACAACGCCAGTTTTCCCTCCTCCTTGCCGATCCAGACTTTCGATTGCGCCGAAGAAACGGTCAGGTTCGTGTCCGCTTCACTGGCTCAAGCGCAAAAGCAATTGCGACAACCGGCGCGGGCATTGGTGATGAACTTTTACTCAGTCTTCGTGGCGCACAGTTCGTAAAGCAAGGTGCGATCCAGACACCGGGAAGGAGCATTGATTGGGAGCTCGAATATGAACAGACTGTAGTAGTGCAGGTCTTCCGCAATGGCAGCCAGCTTGCAAACCTCGAGCTCAATGATGTTGCCCCAACGCCTGTATCGAGGTCGCCTTCCCATCGTGTGTCGTTAGGAGGGCCAAGCCCCAGCCAGCAGTGGTCCTCACCTGCCGTACTCAAGCGCATACGCCTTTCAGATGGCCTTTCTTTCGAGGCGCCCTATGATCCTTTGACGGAGGATGTTGAGCACGGTCATGTCAAGAAGAGGCGGAGAAAGTCGTATCGGGACTGGAAGACTTGGACATATAGCGCCAGAACCCCCTCACCAGAGAAGGATGATGAAATAGAAGAGGATCTGGAGGATGATATGGAGCACTCACCTATACACATGCGACAGTTGCCAGATACGCCTGTGTCTCCAGCAAAACCCGAGTCACCCTCCGTCGTGACAGCTGAGCAACAACCGCAAGAAGTCCGGCAACAAGGGTCTTCATCTCCCGAATCAAAAGCAGACGACGGCGCAAAGCAGCGTTCCCGAAATAACGTCGAATACCATGAGCTATACGCTGGACCAAACGACTTCCCGCTAGAGGAGTCTCAATACGCATTTGGAGGCGATACTGAGATTGACACGGAAGAGAATACCGAAATAGAAGATGCTGGAAACGAGGAGCCGGAGTTTGTTAGTATGAGTACAACGGTGGCCAATACCGAGGATGAGCATGTGGACGACCAACTTTATCGTAGCGAGAACGATTTTCCTGAGTCTCGCGACGCCGATCTATCCAATGTGACGGCTGGAAAGACTACAAACACCACCGACATACCTGACCAGATTGCAGGAGGACAAGAACCGTTGGATGGGCTTCTGACCGCTCAAAATGCCGCAAATGCAAGCAATCCCCCGATCACAACAGAAAAAACAACGGCAACGGACCGCACAATGAAGATCACCATGCTCCCGCCGACCTTCCCAACCTTGCAGATAGATACTGCTGCTCCAGTCATTTCAGACCTCCTCACACCGGTGGGTAGAGAACCCTCGAGCCCAAAATTAAAGCCGCTGGACTCTTCTACACTGCCCCTTCCATCGCCATTTCCCGGCAACATTGACACAGACATGGCCTCGCAAGAAGATTATTTTGCCTCGAATCAAGGCGCTACAATACCCGAAATCGTCCAAGATCAGAAGTCGGAGCTACCGAGCGACGCAGACTACATCATGGAAACATCCTTTTTCAGTTCGATAGGGTCATCAAAAGACGCATCTTTTCATCCTAATCACGAGTCAGCATTTACACCGCTAAGGTTCACATTTGGAATTGATGGTGGAGGGTGTTCTCGACTGTTGGACCTATCTTCGCCTGCACCAGAAGGTACTGGAGTTCAAGAAACCCTCCAGCTCGAGCACGACGATTCTTTGCGTGTAAAGGAGGAAGCTTCCCTAGCAGCGGATAAGAATGTGCCTTCATCACCTGGGATGGATGAGGCTAGAGATGAATCCAAGCATGCTGGCGTGGATGAAAATGCTGCATCGGAGCCCTCAAATGTTACGGAACTGGCGCATCTCGATATCATTGAATTGTCTTCTGATGCCGAGACAGAATCGGAAACCAGCGGCAGCGAAGAAGAACTGGAAGTCGCCGCAGCTGAAGACGATTCGGAAAACAGTGAAGCAGAAAGTGAGAGATATGATGATGAATATAGCGTTTCAGTCACTCAGGATACTGGAGCTGTATCCGCAATAATCGATCTTGGATCTCCTGCAGCCGATGATGTCCAGGATTCAGAGCTAGGCACCAGTCCGTCGCATGTTGAGGGGCACACACAACAAAATTTGGCCTTTGAAAGTCTCCAGGACATTGAATCTCAGAGTCAAGATAATCTTCTGCCAGAGGAAACTGAGAATTACAGTGAGTTTGTAGATCTGGATTTTGCGCCTGAAGCTCCAGGTCCCGCCGCAGAGACACAGCAACGAATGCCTACTCACACACCTGCCCAACAGGCACTAGAAAGCAACTTTGACACAGCGAATGTTCAGGCCCTGTCACAGTCGGATTCACAGTCGGATGACCAGCGAACGATTTTGGATGGGCCGGATAGAGGCATGCAGCATACATTATATGATCTTCAGTCGCATACGCAAGATGAAGGTCTACATTATCCGGAAGTCAAAATGGAGTCAATAGAAGAAGAATCAATGTTCGGGCTTTTGCACTCAAGCGAGGAGGGCAGGATACAAACACCAGACGGGCTTTCTGAAGAGCTTGTCATTGCGGTACCGGAGGAGGGTGGAAAGTATGGTGAAATGCATAACATTGCCGTACCAGCCACAGGACCTGCCAGGAATACAAGATCCAAATTAAGCATCACTGCTTCGCCCACTCAAGAGAGAGCACAGGCTCCAAGGAGGACCACACGGTCGACTCAATCTAATGCATCCGTAACACGTGAAACCATATCGCCTGTTGAGAAGAAATCTCGCGGGACATTCTCGTCGTCACAGGAGCGTTCCCATACTTCGCCGTACAGTATCCAGTCACAGTCCAGATTACTCTCGCCTGTCAAGACCGCATCTAATATTGCCCCAGCCACCGCTCACCACAATCAGCGCAAGCCAAGTTCGCAAAATGAAGAAGATGCAGGGGCTGAACCAAAGCATTCGCGCTTTGATGATCACCTCCTTGATCTGAGGATTTTTGATTCCTCGTACGACCCGAATGCCTCTCAAGGCAGATTTTCCAACGTGACCTACGTAAAAGACTCGGAAGAGGATAGCATCCGGTCTGAACATTCAATTTCCACTGACACTCAATTCGGTATGCATAGTGACCCGATTCAATCTTCTGGTCCGACTAGGCATGTGGACAGTCTGAAGCCGCCACCGGCGAGCGCTCCGGAAATCAAAATGAGAATCAAAAGCAGGAAAACTCCGATTCATGCTGTAGCACGAGTGTTGAGAAGCAGTAGTCCAGCTCAACCAACTGGTCCTTTCACTGGACAGTCGATGGCAAGTAGTCTCAGCAGACGACACAGCTCAGCAGGCTCAGAGATTTCCCTTTCCGAAGGCGAGACCAATATGCAGGCTCTTTCACCTGATCCCAGTGAAGATGGCGAGGAACCCAGAGACCAAACAACGCCCAGGCCTATGCCAAATCAAGCTAGCACCTCGCCTGGTGAAGGTGAAAGCACGCTGGACGACGGATTTCCTAGGCTGCAGCAGCAACAGGACACAAACGAAGTCATCAGTAGTTCGCCACCTCCAATTGTCAACACATCGTTTCTGACCCTACATCATCACCTAGCCATGGAAGAGAATACGCTCATCCCACCAGATGATACACAGCAGTACACCGCGAACTCTCAGCCCAGCTTCACAAACACCCAGCGCGACGACGACTCGCTCATCGCCCCAGATCTCACACAAGCCACCTCTTTCGGCCTCCCATCTTTTCAATTCAAAGCCGCCGACGATCCCGACGCCACCACTGTCTCTTCCCACAAACCCACAGTCGACCCATCATCCGATCCCTCCATCGACTCCACTCCCGCAGCGCCGTCAATCGGACTCTCTACACCCTTGGCATATTACACCCCACTCTCCTCCCTCCCCTTCTTCCTAAACCGCTCCTCACAATACCACTCCTCTGAGAACCCCGACATCCTCGCCCTCGTCGCTTCTGCCTCCACACCACCCGCCCGTGCAAAAAAAGGCCCAAAGCATTATTTCACAACCCTGCACATCACCGATCTATCCACCTTCCCGCGCCAAACTAGCGTCAACGTCTTTCGACCCTTTGAGTCTGCACTGCCCGTCACACACGCAGGAGATGTTATTCTACTCCGCGCCTTCACTGTCAAGAGTGTCAGAGGTCGGCCGAGCCTGACGAGTGCGGAGGACAGCGCGTGGTGTGTTTGGAGATGGGGGAAGCCTTGTTGGGGCGCTAAGAGGGGCGTTTTCGGTGAGATTAGGGCAAGGGAGGAGGTCAAGGGCCCGCAGGTTGAGAGAGGCATGGGGGAGTGGGGCGAGGTGGAGAGGATTAGGGAGTGGTATGAGAGGGAGATTCGGGAGGAGTTGGAGCGCATAGAGGGAGAGAGGAAGGAGCGAGTTGAGAAGGGGGAGAGGGGCGACGAGCTGGAAGGAGAGGAAAGTAGTCAGAGGGTGACGAGAAGTATGGATAGGATGGGGAGTGTGTGAGTGCACGAGGCTTTCATAGCATCATTCTCTAGAGACATGTCTAGAGATCATTCATCGTGTCCCATTTCATTCTATATGAACATCGTGTTCTTTTTTTGTAATCGTGTCTTCGTAGCCAAGATTCACTACTAAAGAGACTTGGTTCAGTGTTCGCCAGACACCAGCAACTCCATTGTCCCCTCATGAGGTCAACAGTTCGCCAACATCTCCAGCTACTACACTAATCCAGCTTCTCTGGCAGCAAGCCCTATCTGACCACGCCCACACTTCCTGGTTGCGAGCACGTAGATGGGGAAAAATCTACTTCTCGTAAACCCAGTCGTGCTGAGCGCTCTTCCAGCTCTGTACCTCACCCTCCTTGAACCAGAGAGCGATTTCCTTCTTGCCGTTCTCGACGCTGTCAGAGCCGTGGCAAACGTTGCGGCCAACGTCGAGGGCGAAGTCGCCGCGGATGGTGCCGGGGGCGGAGGCGAGGGGGTTGGTTGCACCAAGGATAGCACGGCCGGTCTTGACGGCGTCACGGCCTTCCCAGACCATGGCGCAGACGGGACCGGAGCCCATGTCTGTGGTAAGTGTGAGTATTATAGTCATGTTTGGGGGAGATGGGGGTTAGGGGAGTAGGGGAGGAGAGAACATACAGGCAATTAGACCGGGGAAGAAGGGCTTGCCGGCCAAGTCCTCGTAGTGCTTCTCAAGGTGCTCCTTGGAGGGAGTGACGAGCTTGATGGCTGCGAGCTTGAAGCCGCGGTTCTCGAAGCGGGAGATGATGGGGCCGATCAGGCCACGCTGGGAATGGTGTTAGTTGTATGTTCAAACCAAGGGTACCTCCCTCCTAAGTGCAATATCCGGCAACGATTCGGATGAGCTGTGAAAGAGAAGATGCCTGGAATGCAATTGACATACCTGAACGCCATCAGGCTTGATAGCAATGAAGCTAATAGCTCAGTTAGTATACCCTGTTCACAAAACTTTGGAGTAACACCCTCCAGACTTCTCGAAATGCAAGGTCTTGGATAGATTGGGGACGACATACGTCTGCTCAGTGGTCATATTTGCGGAGAGGTGACTGTTGATGTTTGAAGATTGATAGAAAGTTTGTTGTTGAGTGGGGAGAATGGAGACAACAAGACTTATGCGCTGGAAATTTTGGTGTAGTGGGGTAGAGATGAGCTGGTTGGCGCGGGGTTCATGGGAGCTAGAAGTTAAACATGTGCATAATTTTGTGCACGGTTTGTGCAAATGCCTGCATAACTTGGAACCTCAGGTCAGCTTCGCGAGGGCTTGGCTTGGACCCTGGCACGTTTCGTGGCATCTCAAGTGCACAGAGTCGACGACTCCACACTTCTTTTCGAGGCTGGCTTGCGAAGAAATTATTGCGAATTAGCTGCCAGCCATGATTACCATACAGCAGAGTTCCGCTCCCAGGTGGACGGGCTTACTGCTACTGTTGGCGTTGTTTGGTTGTTTGTTCGAGTCAGCTGGTAGGTAGCTCAGCTTCCCAGCTACCATTGCAGCATCAGCGTTCCGTGGAAAGACTGCAGAAGCTTCACATACTGACAGCATACGCTAGTTTCGGTCAAACACGAGAATTTCAAGACTTGTGCACAGTCTGGCTTCTGCAGCCGCAATCGTCAGTTCGCCGATGATGTCTCCGCCGCAAGCTCCTGGGTTTCGCCGTATGCACTCGATGCCTCATCGATCACTTTCAAGGACGGCCAATTAGATGCAGTTGTGCTGAAGACCCTCAAAGATGGTCAAGAATCTGTTCGACTGCCGCTCACTGTCACGTTCCTGGAGTCTGGTGTCGCGCGAGTGACCCTAGACGAGGAGAAGAGGGCCAAAGGCGAGATTGAACTACGTCACAACAGCAAAGCAAGGAAGGAACGGTACAATGAAGCTGGCAAATGGGCTCTAGTCGGGGGTCTGAAAGTCGCGTCGGGCGCCTCATTGAGTGCAGAGGCTGAACAAGGCTACACCAAGGTCGTCTACGGCAAGGCTGGAAAGCATCAGGCTGTCATTCGCCACGCACCTTTTGGGATCGAGTTCCAAAGAGATGGAGAAACTCAGGTCAAATTCAACGAACGAGGTTTCTTGAATGTTGAGCACTGGAGAGTTAAAGTTGAAAAGCCCAAGGAAGAGGAGAAGAAAGAAGGCGAAGAGGAGAGCAAAGAGGAGAGCAAAGAGGAGAAAAAGGAAGAAGAAAATAAATTCGAAGAATCTGGTGAAGATGAAAGCACATGGTGGGAAGAAAGCTTTGGTGGTAACACCGACAGCAAGCCCAGGGGCCCTGAGGCTGTCGCTCTGGATATCTCCTTCCCAGGGTATGCACACGTCTTCGGTATTCCAGAGCACGCTACCCGACTATCATTGAAGACGACAAGGTACGTGTGCCGTGACAAATATCTATGCATATCCATTGACGCAATTCTAGGGGTGGTGACAATGCCTACACTGAACCCTATAGGCTTTACAACGCTGATGTTTTTGAGTACGAGATGGACAGTCCCATGACACTCTATGGTGCTATTCCGTTTATGCAGGCCCATCGCAAGGGTTCCACTGTGGGCGTGTTCTGGCTCAATGCAGCCGAAACATGGATCGATGTCACCAAGAAGCGCAATACTGCGAATCCTCTCGCACTTGGCGTCGAAGGCCACACTGATACTCAAACCCATTGGATGTCTGAAAGCGGTCTCCTTGACATTTTCGTCTTCCTTGGGCCAACCCCTCAAGATCTCACTCGCCAGTATGGTGAGCTGACTGGTTATAGTGCTCTCCCGCAATCGTTTGCCATTGCTTATCACCAGTGCCGATGGAACTACGTTACCGATGATGATGTCAAGGACGTCGACCGTCGATTTGATAAGTTCAACATCCCGTACGATGTCATCTGGCTCGATATCGAGTACACGCAGGAGAAGAAGTACTTCACTTGGGATCCCTTGACTTTCGTAAACCCAGACTCGATGCACAAACATCTTGACAAGAGCGACCGCAAACTGGTTGCAATTATTGATCCGCACATCAAGAACACTGACGACTATCCCGTCATCGATGAACTCAAGAAGAACGACCTGGCGGTGAAGAACAAGGACAGTGACCAGTACGAGGGTTGGTGCTGGCCAGGATCATCTATGTGGATCGACTGCTTCAACCCAGCCGCTATTAATTGGTGGAAGGGTCTGTTCAAATACGACAAATTCAAGGGCACTGCGCCGAACACTTTCATCTGGAACGACATGAACGAGCCATCTGTATTTAATGGACCCGAGACAACCATGCCCAAAGACAACTTGCACCACGGCAACTGGGAGCATCGAGATGTGCACAACATCAATGGCATGACCTTCCACAATGCGACTTATCAGGCTTTGATCGAGCGCAAAAAGGGTGAGCAGCGTCGGCCATTTGTACTCACCCGTGCGTTTTACTCTGGCAGTCAGCGTAGCGCTGCTATGTGGACTGGTGATAACCTGGCAGAGTGGGCTCACCTCGAGGCTTCCCTACCAATGGTTCTGAACCAGGGTATCTCTGGCTTCCCATTTGCAGGTGCTGATGTCGGTGGCTTCTTTGGTAACCCAAGCAAAGAACTACTCACCAGATGGTACCAAGCTGGTATCTACTACCCCTTCTTCCGCGGTCATGCTCACATCGACACTCGCCGTCGTGAGCCTTACATCGCGGGGTCCCCCTACACCGAGATCATTACCCAGGCTCTTCGTCTGAGGTACCAATTGCTCCCTGCCTGGTACACCGCTTTTCACGAAGCCTCAACTACAGGTGCACCTATCATCCGACCCAACTTCTATGTCCATCCGGAAGATGAGGCAGGCTTTGCGGTCGACGATCAGCTCTACATCGGTTCAACTGGTCTCCTTGCCAAGCCTGTAACAAAAGAAGGCGCAGACAGTGTATCTGTCTACATCGCTGACGACCAGCCCTATTATGACTACTTCGACTTCACCACCTACTACGGCGCTGGTCACCACACGGTTCCTGCACCTCTCGAGAAGATTCCCTTGCTCATGCAAGGCGGACACGTTATCCCGCGCCGTGACCGTCCGCGCCGTTCCTCAGGTCTCATGAAGCACGACCCCTTCACATTAGTCGTCGTTCTCGACAAAGATGGCAACGCAGAAGGGACTCTCTACCTCGACGACGGCGAAACCTTTGACTACGAATCAGGTGCCTTCATCCACCGCCGCTTTTCATTCGACGGGCAGCGACAAGTCTTCACGAGCACAAACCTCGACAACAGCCGCCGGACTTCGCAGTGCGAGAAGTACCTCAAGAGCATGTCGAACGTGCGTGTGGAGAAGATCATCATTGTTGGCGCACCAAAGGAATGGCAGAGCAGGGGCGAGGTCGTCATTATGCAAGAAGGCGAAACGGAGAGCAAGAGGCGAAAGCCAGTGCCTTTGGAGTGGCATGCGGCCGAAGGCAAGAAGACGAGCTATGCGGTAGTAAGGGATCCTAGAGTGTATATCACTAGGGGGTGGAAGATTGATTTTGGGGATGCGGGGCATGCGCATCATGGGCATGAGCATTGAATGTTGTCGTGGATCTGTGAGGTAGATGGTGGCACCCCTGTCTACTAGAATTTCATAGTTGTGTAGAGATGGACATGTAGAAGTATGTAGAAAATAGCATAATCAGAAAAAAAACTTTGTAGTTTGCTCACCCGTTCGACCAGAGGTTTTGCTGCAGAGGTCCTTGTATATTAATCTGTACAAGGCGCAGGGACGAGATTGAGTTGTTAGTGATGTTATTGCCATGTCCTGCCATCCAGAGATTAGCATTCATTACTGTTTCAATCGGACAGTTGACAGCAAAATCCGTCTTTTCGAAGATGATCGCGTATATGATCGAAAAGACGGATTTTGCTGTCAACTGTCTGCCCTAGAGTCGGCGGCGCTTTGTAGCAATATCAAGTCCGTGGATTGTATGTACGCTAGGTGTGAGTTTGTGACGATACTGCCAGGTGGGAAAATTCTCAACGGTGCGTGATCTTTTGTGTTTTTAAAGGATAGTATTCTTGTATCAGTGTGAGTGGCTGTTGTTATCTGGGTCGTTTGCTTTGTGAGTAGTAGAAGTATGATGGAAAATTTGTTACTGGTTTTGGCTTTCGTGGCTGTGGTTAGAGGAGGTGGGTGAAGCGCTGGATTAGGTAGGTGTAGTCATAGGCGGGGGGGTGGGGGGTTCTTGGGAGGGCGCGTAATTGGTTTGCGTGGTTGTCACAGGGTCACAGTTTGCTTTATTAGTGTTACTTCCCGTTCGGTACTTTTCTGGTATAAGAGGAATATGTGGACAGGCAGTGGAATGGTGTGAGTGTCTGTTTGATGTAGGATTTATTTGATTCATACTAACGACGAGACATTTGTATTCTGCTCAAGTAGTCGTCCGCCAAGTGTGTTAATACCTATCCCGTATAATTGTGTTCCTAACAGAGGCAAACACTGGTTTGATAGAATCCATATTCCCACGCATCACCTGAGAGGACTTGTCCAGCTCCTGTTTAGATTTTTCTCATTTCTCCTGCCATGGCGGTTTCGAAGTAATCGTGCCATCTGGCACAGATGCTTCATCGAGCTTATCGGAAGCTTTCTTCAGCCAGATCTCAGCATCAAAGAGTGCTGAGAGCCTTTTCTCAATCCTGTTGATTGCCGGGGGTATGGTTGAGGATTCGGTGATAGGCATTCTTGAGTAGACTGGTCCTTCGATGAGATCCCTTTTGATAATTGCGAGATTGCGGAATATAATCTCAGTTGCCTCATTGAAAAGGTCTTTCAGTGATTTCGAGCGGTCCGGCAAATGAGTTTCCAGTTCCTTTATAAACTCCGGTTTCTCAGCCAGGCCTCGTTGAAATGTTGCCTCCGCGACAGTAGCCCGTAATTGAGTTGGCTCCAGAGATTCATAAATCTCCTTGCTCAGTTGGGGGAAGTGGAAATGCGTGAGGCTCTTCCCACCGAGAGTTGCGGCCGTGAAGTATATGTGCATTTTTCTCCCGATGCCGGCGGATTCGGCCTCAGATCGTAATATCAACTTCAGAGCCATGATGACGTTGTTTTGCTTCTCTTCTGGTAGCTCTGGCCTACCATGTTCTATAAGACGGTGAATCTACATGATTTGGGTCGGATTAAGTTGAAGGATCGGATAGGATGTTGATTTGTGTGTCTATGATAGTGTAGGAACCGTTTGCTTCGGTCAAGTTTTGTTGCAAGAAGAATTCGAATACAGTATCATCTAACTTTAAGGCTCTTTATATATACATCAAAATCTCCAAGCTATCTCTTAATATTCTCCTGTCTGAGTAATAGCTAGACTGTTTTTTTGGCTAAAATCTTCTAGTCATTTTCGTAGTACTCGTGGCCGTATATTAAACAGTCACAGCCATCAATGTCATCAACTCATTCTGAGTCGCCAGACTATTAGTCACCACAATTGCCTACGACCCAATTTAGGAACCCGAGACTGTCATATCTAAAAGAAAGTGTAACCTAATATGTTCTCATGCTTTTCTTGTATGCAGACCTCACTTGTGGAAAGCTGTAATGGAGATTACACTCGCAATGTCGACAGTGAGTATTACATGCTTAGACCAAAGACTGGAGAAATACTCTTCTCAATCAGCTTAATATCCCGGAAAATGATCCGAAACGCAGATCACCAGATTGTATTACTTTTATCAAACTTAACAATAGGTCTCCGCGGATTGAGCTTATAGGAGCTGGGTAGAGTGTCTGAGATCTTCCACAAGACTTGATCTTGCCGGTTTAACATATTTACGATACGATCTGGTTATGTAGCCAGCTGTGCGGCCACTTTTTGGTAAATATTCTCTTTGGAGACTTAACGCCCAAAGCTGACATGCCTCGTACTTTATCGGATAAAATAATTCTTTACATATCTCCCGTGTTGTTATATGCTCGTTTTTTTGACGCTGTTGTATTACATTCCTCGGACTGAAATCTTACGGTCATTGTAAGCGTCTCCCCAGTCACAAGGGATTCGTTGAAGTTTTCCATGTTCAGATTCCCAATAAGTCTATAGTACCTTAGCACACCGCTCTCAACTCTTCGCATCATCAACTCAAAGAGACTCATCCTCCTCCACTGTCGGACAGCACTGCTCAGTGCGGGAGTTGCTCTTTCACTCTGGAATTCCCAGTGTTACGAGGAGAACGTGTGTATTTTCATCTTTTGCTTCACACCGAGAAGATGAGCTAGAAGGTTGGCCAATGTATACCCAAGCAAGTTTGACACATTTTGTAGCATAAAAATAGACCGTGAACAAAACTCAGTTAAAGAAGATGGGTCATCTGTCAGATTCCAGGGCGTAATGGAGATAGTACTGCAAGAAGCAGGGAAGTCATCCAAATCAGCATCTTCAATTAAATCTAATAGATCTCGGAAGCATCTCGCCAATCACCAAGCGCTCCTTTCTGCTAGATTAATTATCAACAAATAAAGCGGCGCTTCGTTGTTGGCTCCTCCTTTGAGATATCCACGCCACATTGCCCTACAGCTGCTTCAACATGCCCTGGATCCGACCCCTCATATTTGCCAACTGTGACTTTTCTGGCTCTGGAGGGAAAACGCCATCGTCCTCGGGCCGGACTTTCGACACATGGAGTAGGGCCATGTTTTTGCGAGTAAAGAAATCAGCCACCACTTGGTCGAGATCTTGCTGCTCGTCCTCGAGTACGCGGATACGTCTCTTCAAATCGTTGCGCGAATCTTCCCAGGAAGAAGGACTAGGCAGGCTCTCCTTGGAAGAAGAGCTGTCCGAGCCTGTTAGACGGCGTTTCAGTCGCAGGAGTGGACTGGAGGATCTTTCTCTTCTGGGACTTTCGGACCTTTCGGTCTTGATGAATTCTTCAAATTCTCTGCTGATCTTGTCTAAATTGTCGCGCAGCAATCTAATCTTCTCCCTAGTATCTAAAGCCAGCTGCGTGATATCGCCGTCCTTCATGTTGTGTCGACTCATGTTGCTGTAGAGGTAGGTATTCACTCTTTCGATAGAATCGTTGGTTTATGGATAATGCTGTATTTTTTTACAGGGAGCTGAGTGCACTGACTGATGAGATAATTGTTCTTAGTTGTTTTGATGGGGTTAATCTCGTAGGATAAAGAAAGCTTTATACTCTGGGATCTCCGTGATATTTCGCGACTTGACACTATATAGCATACCCAGGGATCGACAGAGGGGTTTGACTCTAAGAAAATTGTACCATGTACCACAAAGTCCCGGGATTCACAGTCCGTGATGCTTGAACCTCACTCATATATTGTTGACGGCCTTTGCGCGCATTGAACTTTTCCCCTCACCACTAACGGTAACAACGTGGTAGTGTAGCTAATCAAGTTAACAAGCTTTACACGCTATAGCCAATTGGCTGCCGTTCTGTCGTGTCACTGAAACAAGCCTCCTGGAGATTTTCCAGCCGACACTGTAATAAAATGACGTATGGCGGTCATTGCTTTGCGCACTGTCGCCGTGTAATCGCACTCAGATTCTGTTGAGAGCCTCCCAACACTGGATTCTCACTCTTCTAGTACGATAGTGTCTCAGTCACTGTCATGACTTCAGGAAGAGGATTCATCACTATGAGCCATTTTTACGACGTGAAGAATCGGTTCTGCAGCTTTACTATCACGTTGGCCGTGATGTCTCGACGCGTGTATGTAATAGATCGGACATTGTTGATTCCAAATATTAGGCAAATATTGACAACGCTTGCCGATTGATGGGGAGAAGAAGCGACGAGCCTAGAACGCTGGAGATTCAGCATTGCGTTGCCATGATTATTTTCGACCATTTCGCTACATTGGTGTTTGTCATTACCTTTCCGCAGTTCTAGTTATTCTAAATAGATCCTTTTAGTAGGATCTGACAGAGACGATATTTCGCCATTGATAGATGGAAAGACCAATTGCTAATGGTAATACACTGGCAAAATGCTGCAAAATATCATTTGATCATTCCTTCCCCTCCATTCTCTGATGCCTGAAGATGGAGACATATTCCTGAATTGCCTGCCTCAAGCAGAGATAACCACATCTTTGATGCTAACCGTTGTGGTGGTCAAGTAGTGCTTTCGAACATATCCATGACCTTTGAGTTAAATTTGGCATGCGCACTAAAAAAGCTTACATCTTCGTACGTATCAGATGTAGAGAAGTTATTCGTGGTGAAGATTTATCATGGGTATCAGAACGTCCGTCACGCAGCAGTCAGAATGTTCAGCATTGTCTTAACAGAAAAATCTCAGAAAGCAGCATGGTTTTCAGACATCGATTGAGATTTCCATAGTGACAGTGGCTTCATGGCTTACGCCTATATGACTTATATCATTCTTTAGATTGACCTGATTTGGAAAGAGACCTTGAATCAGGAATCAGCCGGAGGCATACGCTGAAATATGTCCCCCAGCACCCCTAGACGCTCCTCAATGTCATTCAACTCCTGCCAATGATTTCTCTCCAGAGAGTCCGTCCAATCTCTCTCCGCTCTCTTTGAAGCTGCCGCTAGATTCTGCCTAGATCCCGACATAAGCATATTTCTATAATGCTCGACCGTTGTTGGGATGTTCTCTTCGAGGTGTTTGAATTCCTTCTTCATGTCTTCAAGATCTTTGGCCATGACTTTTTTGCCTATGGCTTCGAAGATATGGCCGATAGTGCCGGCTCTCATGGTTTGGGGATCCATGTAGCGCATCCAGCGCTTGTCGAGAATGAAGAGACGCTGCTCCAGTATAAGGAGCGCCTCAATCGTCGTTTCAAGGGGTGGAGAGCCTTCGGGTAGATCTGACATTGTATGATCTCTGAATGTTTGTTCAAGGCTATGTAGTTCTGCTTGGCCGGTTCTTCGAGCGCATGTGTATGTTAGCTTTGTGGTGGATATAGAAGGGGCTCACTGATCGCGAGAGATACTTGCCTTGAACTCAGCTTCGATGGATTTGTTTCAGAGGGGCCCGCGACAATGAAATTATTCTACACGTTGGTTAATGTGGCTACTGTTCTGCCACGGAGCGGACAGTCTTATATCCATTTATATACGCACCAAAGTCTAAGAAACTGAGTCGACGATGACATTATTACCATATATCATACTTCCTGGGACTCATAAGGGCATCTGACTCTCCTTTCAGTCACACGTGCATGCAATTGATATCACTTATGCCTTCAGGACGGAGACGTGCGCTGTTCAAGCCAACAGCACCTGAAGCTTCTTCCTCAAGCTTTCAAGCGTAAGATACTCTGTCCATCTAGTTTATGGAATCCTAGAATGAATTGTCGATAACTCGTAGTCATCCTTGTACGCCACTGTTCTGACGCACTGGAGGAAACTCATTCCAATCAACATTGTACAAGTGTCCACACAGCGACTACAATTATACAGCATTGTGCGTCCGTTGTGACAGTAGCAGGTATAGTTCAAGGTCTCGATGATGGATGCTCTCATTGCGTCGTGCACAGGTGCATGGTGACCACGGTGTTGTCCGGGCGTGCATCTAACCATGCCACGATGATACAAGCCATTCAACTTCCAAAGTAGAAGTTATGACTAGAACCCCAACGAAGCCATGACGTGTCGCCACGCTCACAATCACTACTATATAGAATCACACCTTTTTGCCCCATACAGAGAAAGCTACACACCATTTCCATCTTCAACCCCTTTCTCCAACCCACACTATTGCCAAACCACTACCCTACACAAAGCGCCAAAACAAAACACCTAGAGTACCCGAACATGAACGAACCAACCACACTCATTGAATTCCTCGAGAGCAACGCTCCCGCCGACTCCAGCCGTGATGCTGTAGCAGAATATCTCCACCGATTCGAGCGTCTCGCCAACGAGTTCCACCAGATACTTGATGACTACGAAAAAGAGTTGCTAGAACCTGCCATTTGTGAGGCTTGGGTCAATGACAAGCAACAAGCTAGATTGCAAATACATCTGGGGGCGTGTCAAATCCTACTTGAATATCAGGTGCCGGGGACCTTGGTGGATGTGTGTAAGACAATGTGGGATGAGTGTAAAGAAGGTTTGGAAAAGCATAAAAAGAATATTGAAACGTTGATCTGGGTGGACCAGGAAGCTCTGCGTGAGGGGGGCGCCTAGGACATAATTAGCGAATTGTTTGGTCCGGAGAATTCCTTTCTTACTTCACCTGCGAGGAATAAGTGATGGAGTGATGCGGGACTTGGAGATTCCAGTATTAGAATTGGATAGGACGCGGCTGTGCATGGTGTCAGTCTAGAATCACGGCTCCGATAAATGAGAAAGATTTGGAGACACAAAGTAAATGGACAGGCTTAGCCACCACTCCAGCGTCGTGGCAAAACCTGGAAATTTGCTTCACCCACCACCCACATACAATACACAACCTAAGACTACGGTTACGCCTATGCAGAATAACATCTAGTGTTCTAAGAGCGATATTACTTTCGGCTGCTACCAGCAATAACATAAATTTTCGCTGCAAAATCGCGTTGATTTTTACAGTTGATGTCGGTGTTTGGTGGCCACCCTCCATGAGCAAAATTCCTGGTTTTAACACGACGCAAGAGCACACCACCCCATCTACCACGACACTCCATAGTCATTGAAAATCCATGCTTCTGCATTCTATCCATTCTTCCCATCCCCGTATCCTACTCATACAAGAGTCTTAGTGCAACGTAAATGGAAGAGTACATTTCCCTAATCAATAATACAACAGACAATTACAACCATGCATCTCGAGATAAAATAAAAATCCAACAAAAACCTAGTACTTACACTCCATACACAGCCTTTCCCGGACTAAATCTTCTTCAAGAAGAGTTCAATATACTTCATATGTTGAATGGCACACTGGCCAGGCGAGCAACCTGGCCAAACGAATGGAGTTTCCTGCCAAAATAGCAAGGTTTTTTCTGGGGACAGGAGTCTGCGTAACCTAGTAAAGTCGCAAGAAGGGTATTGGGGCGGATGAAAAGGCGTAGTCGGGATTACATGGATAGAGAAAGGGATAGATATAAAGAATATAGGTACAGCTCAGACCGTGCTGTCTGCACTGGCGTCGTCCATCTTCAAAGTATTCATACATCCTACAGACCACACCGCAAACTCACAAACCCCACCCCCCAATGAATATCTACAACCAACCCCACCAATCCATGAACATGGCACATGGTACATGGCACATACACATGTCCAACATGACAAACCCCCTACCCAAAAAAGCCCCCTCTATTCCCCCTCACTCAACCCTACCCCCCACCCTTAACTCCTCCCTCCCCTTCCACCCCATCTCCCACCCCCTTCCCCCCCTCCTCCCTAATCCCATTTTCCACACCCGTCTTGCCCTGGGATTTACCTTGTGAGTCCGGTTCTTTGGATGTGCCTGACGCAGCCGCAGCCGCAGTACCATTCCCATTCCCATTCCCAGCCGCAGTCCCAGTCCCAACACCAGTCCCAGTCCCAGCCCCAGGAACAACCTTACCCTCAACAAGCTGAACGAGATACGTCCCGACACCAGCCGCCCCATCAATAAAGCCGAGTTTTGCGTCGAAGAGTTTGGCTTCGCGGAGTAATCTGTTGGGAGGGACGGGAGAGGGTCAGCGGATACATTCTAGATGAGGAGATAAGATTGGGTAAAAGTCGACGTGCTTCCAAGGTTTGCGAAAAAGGAAACAGGGAGATATTGCACGACTTCCGAGACGCGGGACAAAAATGGGCAGGAAAAGGAAGAAGAGATACGCCAAAGAAAAAAATGAAACCAAAGGAAAAAAGGAAAAAAAACTAACCTCTCCTTCCCCCCCAAACTCCTCACCCCAGCCTCCCTCACCACCCCCCCAACCTGCTCCCGATAACTCTCAAACACCGGTCCCATAATCATCCGCACCTGCATCTCCCCCAAATACTTGCTAATCACCTTGAACATAGTCACCGTATCCTTTGTCAGACTCTCCATCGCCGGGCTCACCTCCCGGGCCACCTCGGCCGCGGCATCCCAGTCAATCTTGCGCAGACTGCGCATGTGCACGCCCGCGCGGCCGGACAAGATGTCGGTGAGCTTGTCGTGGATTTGGTTTTGCTGGTCGTGGAGGAGGCGCTTTACGGATTCGAATTCGGCGAGGGCGGATTTGGTGGCGGGCGTGGTTGTGGTTGTGGTTGCGCCGCGGCGGCGGGCGCATTCGCGGATGTAGGGGAGGAGGGCGATGATGAAGGAGAGGGTTTGGCTGGCAATGGCGAGGTGTTTGGTGTTGATGTTCTTTAGGCCGGCGGAGTGCATGGCGCCGGCGCCGAGGATGAGTTGGCAGAGGCGTGAGTTGAAGAGTTTGAGGTAGTCGCAGAGGCTGGAGGATACTTCAGAGGTCATGCTGGGGATGGCAGAGAGGAGGATTTCAAAGCGTTCGATGCCGCGTAAGACGTGGGTGGAGGAGGTGGAAATTGTGTATGAGGAGTCGTCGATGATGGCGGGGACGGTGGTTTTGCCCTTTTCTTTGGGCTTATCGTCAATGTTACCATTGGTTTGGGGGTTCTGTGTGCCGTTGGTGGTATTGGCAGTGGTTGGTTCTTCGATGGTGCGAAGGACGTCGCCTGTTCCCGACCAAGCGGGAGGATCACTGTCCATGCCTTGAAGTATGCGTGCAAGCACTTCATTATCCGATGTGTCAAAGTCTTTGGGTTCCCAGCGGTCAGAATCCATGGCTTTGGCTAGTTCTTGCTTTTCCACGTCGCCGAATCTGGAGACGAAATCGGTAATATGAGTGTTGACAACCGCCTTGAGGGCAGCTCCAGATCGACCGGAGACGGCTTCACATTCGTCTGCAAAGAGTCTACACAGGTTGAAGTACCTCAGGAAGCGCTCAAGTGGTAGGTTGGCCGTTGCCTCTGATCGCACCTTGAGGAGTTTGGTGATTTGCGTTTGTGCCGCATCAACGGCTTGACCGAGCAGACTGGACATGTCGAGGGCTTGCATGAGCTCCATTTGCAGGTCGTTGCTAGTTGGCGCGTCATGATCATTTCCAATGTAGCCGTCGATGCTGTGCTGTCTGTACGGACTCCTAGGGGGCGACCGAAGCCCACCCGCAGACTGCGGTGGTGTTGTGACTCCACTTGTAACATCGAGCAGTACTTTTACTTGGGTGCTAAGCCGACGCAGCGCTTCGCCGATACTGGTAAAGATGTTGGTAAAGAATTCCTCGGCATCCGCAGGGTCCATTGCACGTAGGTTGCGCGCAAGTATCGAGTTCTTGTCTTGCTGGCTGCGTCCACGACCGCCTCGTGTAGACACTGATGTCATGGATTCCGTGTCATCATCCGACGAACTCGGCAAGTGTTTTCGAATGAGCAGTTTCATCTCTTTCATAACAGCCTCCCTGAATGTTGCACTGGCTTGGTTGGTAAATTGGGCGCCACTCAATCCATACAGACTTGTCCGCAGGTCTGCACGCAACTTGTCGCTTGTAGCCATGTACGTGGACAATGTCGTCTTCCCTTTTTGGTGGTTCCCCCGCACCTTCTGTGATGCCGCCACCCAGCGCTCTAGTGTGTCAGAGCTTGATACCGACTTGACATGCTCTCGTAAATCGATCAGGAGCGTATCCACAAAGCGCTTTTCGAAGCCTCGACCGACTCGAAACTTCAATTCGTGAATGCCCTCGAATACACCTTCCAGTGCTCGCAAGGGCCTTAGATCGATTAGCCGCGGTGGTATCCGCGAATTCAACCATGAGATGTTGGCCGAGTCGGAAGTGTCGAGGGCGCCAGTGATTAGTGTTTCTATTATTTCTAGTCGAGACATGGCCATCTCCAGATGACCCTTGTTGACTATCTCGTCGCAATGCGATAAGCCGACCATGACTCCTTGCAATTGATCCACCGCGTCGGCCAGTTTGCCGAGATTTTCCCGCCGTTGCCTCATCTCGACGATTTCCAGTCCTCCCACTGCCATTCGTTCATCCAATCGACGGAGATCCTGCCTCAATTGTTTGATTCTCGCTACTGACTCTGAGGCTTCAGTCTCGAGTTCGCGCAGCGACCCTAGGGCTGCAAAAAAGGACGTTGACGCAGTTGAAATGGCTGCTATCAAGTGCACTTCCACCGTGTCCATGTACCACGATAGCTTCTCCTGTAGAATCGCATTCGTTGCCAGAGCTTTCCTTGCCGGTGGCTGAGGAGGTTCTACTGTGCCATTTGTGTTGAATTCGTCATTGCTCGATGTTTGCATTGGCCGGACCACCTCTGATCTTTCACTGACGATGTCAAAAGTTCGTGGATTCTCAAGGTGGAAGTTTTGGTCAAAGTAGACGGCGGGTATCGTGGAGAGTGGAGTGACGGCAGGCAGGTTACGCTTCATCCCACTCGTTCGTCGCTTTGGCTTTGGCTTTGGGGTGCTACCAGGCATCAATGGGCTTCCTGCCAGGTTGGGTGTACCGGCTGACAGGCCACGCTCCAAACTCTCAGAGCGGTCGTCCTTGTCTGATCCTCTCCGTATTGGCTGGGCGGCATCTGCTTCTGCGTCCGCTTCTGCCTTTGCGCGCTGGAATGCATCGTACAGACGGCCGATTTGCGACAGGTACGAGTTGAAGACGGAGGGTTCGACGTGGGGTATGTTGACCAAGGTGACGGGTGGGATGTCCTTGGTAGAGGGCGGGCGGTGTCCAGCGGGGGCAGTGGCAGCTGTGTGGGGGAGCATGCCTGTTCGCACAATGGGCGGTTGCAGCAATGTCGAGATGGCTGAGATGTTGTTAGCCCCCCGTCTGAAGCCCCACGACCTGCCTGTAGTGTATATAGCAAAGAGTGCAGATGCCCACCATTTTGACTCTGCTCGTTCACGGCACCCATGTTGTTCCGGTAGCCGCTGTCCAGCACGCCGCCGACCGAGTGTATTGAGCTTGCGGTGGAGCCGCGACGTGGCTTATAGCGCCCGCCTGTGGAATTGGGCCTGTTTGCCCACTCATGTTGCGAGGGCGTGGGGAAGGGAAAGGTTGTCTGCTGCGGTGGGTTTGGCGACAACAGATCGAAGCTTTCGGTCGACCGCCGAGGAGATCTGGGGGAAGACGACATGGCGGCGTTGATCGGGGGTACCAACGTGGCCGAGGCATGGGGGCGCACACGGTTGTTAGGGGTCTATCGCATGTTTGGAGGAGGGGAGGAGAGATTTTGGAGATGTGGGCCGGCGTTGAAAGGGGAGGGCGGGATGACGGGATGACGTGCTGCTTGTCTGGATATTCGGAGTGGTGGGCTTGTTGGTGGTTGTTTGATTGTTTGCAGGACGGTGGATGCAGCAGGTGCCAGCCCAGAGCCCAGGTTCCGCGCGCTCAGCCATGATGCGCGGTGGAACCTAGCGCCGGGTCCTGAGCAGGGGTCTACCATTCACTAGTACCAGAACTATACCAACATGTACAACACTGGGTGAGTACCTACTGAGGAACAACATGACCGAGTACGTGCCACCATCCAAGAGCCCGAAAGGAGAGACATGTCTATAAAAAATGGATTCAATCACTCTATAACAGTTCATGAACGGCGGTAACACAGATGCAGGGAGGCATGTTGACCTGGAAGCCCAGTTATAACACTATTGCAAACCCCAAAGAACAAAGAAAAGCAGCAGAAATATCCATGTAGCAAGAGACTCAGCATCCAGGGGACCAATGGAGGATGATGAAGAGGGAGTGTTGAACACGAGTAGAGCGAGACCAGTAAAATACAATGTACCATCCGACCTTTCTTTTCCCCTAGTCTAAATCATCCATCCTAACCCCCCGAAAACCATCCCAAAACAAAGAAAACGCCCTCCCAATGCTCATAAATGACATGTATACATGATCCCTCCAATCCCAGCCCCTATACACAAACACACCTAAAAAATCCAATCCAATCCATCCCCACCAGCCTACCCAACCGGCCGACTCCGCTCATCCTCGGGCAGTCTCATATACGCATCAATCGCCGCACTAAACACCGCAAACCCCGCACATCCCACCGCAACCGCCTGGGGCCCCGCCTTGCGCGCCAGAATACCGCCCGTGATACAGCCGCCGGCGACACCGTTGTAGAGGTCGTTTTTGGCGCGCAGGCCCTCGATGGCGCATTCGGTGCCGGAGAAGATGGCGCCGACTTTGGCAAAGTTTTTGCCGCTGGAGATGGAGGAGCGGTACATGTCGCGGAAGCCGTGTTTGAGTTGGGCGCGGAGGGGGAGGGAGGTTAGGGGGGTGGCGGTGGCGGTGGCGGGGAGAGCGGCGGAGGGTGAGCCAGACGAGAGTGCAGCAGAAGCTGATCCAGACGACAATGAGCTGGACACTACCCGCGATTCCACCGCAGTTGTAGTCTTCGCTGCCGCACTCGCCGTCGCAGTCGACGCCTTGGGGGTCGCATCGACAGGTAACGGCTGCGACATGGGTGTATCATAACGCATCTGTGCCCAGTTAGCCCAACCATCTTTTCCTTCCTTTCTTCTGTCTTTTTTTTTCATCCACCCTTCCATCCACCAAACACACAAAAGAACTCTCCAACATACCGAAGCCATAAACAACCCAAACATCGCCCCCAACCCACCCCCCATAACCCCCGACAACACCGTCTTGCCCACACACGACTCCATCCCCATTTGCATCTAATCTGCAAGTCAGCAAACATCACCAACACAATATTTCACCCGCGCTATCTCGCTTGGACAACAGTCTCGTGCGCTTTTTTTTTTCTCTTCATTGTATTTTTTGAGGTGGAAGTAGTGAAGGGGTGTCATACCGCTTTCACCATCTGCTGTTCCTGCTCCGACATACCAGCGTTGGGATTCATGGCGGCGGGCAGGGCGCCCGGACTGCCTGGGAATGCCATGCTGAGATTTTGTTTGTCGAGGGGGGAGGATCGCGCGAGAGAGTGTGTGACGGCGAGTGAAGTTTGTTGTACTGGTGGTACTATGTGAGTCTAGGAACTTTTGCGGAGTTTGGGGGCGGAGGACGGAAAAAGCCGGCGCCTCGAAAGGCCCATGGCTTGGCATTCGCACAGCAGGCAGTGAGAACTAGATCTCCACGTTGCAGTTGCAAACTCCGCAGTACATCAGTATATCAGTACAGCGTACCAGTGGATGAAACAGCTTTTACAAATTCATTGATTCTCGCTACATGCTTCGCTTCTATTAACAGTAGATTTCGTTCCCATGCCAGGTCGTAAGTCCAGCATGTCCCAATGCGCCCTTTTCAACGCCATTTCATCATCTCCAATACGGCCTCGCACAATAAACCACCAGCCACTAACATCTTCCCCTAAATAAAATTGCACATGGTGTCGTCAGGTATAAAGCGTCCGTACAAGTCGTTCGTTCGTAATCAAGGAAGTCCAGTAGGAGAGCCGGATCGGCCAATGTAATCACCGTGAGTAAAGTTGGAGGTCCTCGACTCGGGTGGGGGTGTCAGTTGCTTTTCCCATTCTTTCATGAGGTGGGAGGCGGTGCGCTTCAGGTTGTTTGGCGACAGCTTGGCTAGATCGGACCAGGGACTGGAGTTGCGCTTTGGGTCGCGTGGGCTGATCACGTCGTCCATGGGACCATTGTTGATGGAGGATGCCTTGGAGTCGTGGCGCTTGGAGTGGTACTGAATGCTTTGTGTACTTGTCCTGGAGCTCGCCTGGCCTGAGAGCTGAGAGGTGTGGCCTTCTGATTCATCGGAGCTGCTGTCGAGGTCAATCAACTTGCCGACGGTAGCCTCGTTGGGGGTGTCCCAATTATCCCAGTCTTCCTCTTCCTCCACCGCTTTCGTGGAGGGTTTTTGGGGAGTCTGCACGTTCTTCTGGTTTTGGGTCTTCTTGGTCACTGTCGTTGTTGTCTTGGGTTCACTCAATCCCATCTCCTTCCAGAAGTCGTCACCAAACGAGCCAGGCTGTTGCGTGGATTTCTTGGAGCTAGCTGCACGGTTCAGGGGTGGTCGGCCATCCGACGGCGGCTTACGGGTAGATTTGACCGAGGAGCGTCTCATGTTGGCAGATGCGGCATTGGTATCAGCGTCGTTGACAGCTTCATCCCCTACCGTCGCTTGCCTCAGGTCCTCGATGAAGGTAAACAAGCCAGTCTTGAAGTCGTTTGCCATTTGGGTGCCAGCGCGGATAATGTTCTCACGCTGGATATTCTGTATCCCGCCCAAGTCATATCGTTCCTCGATACCGTTGAGGAGCGGCCGGGAGAAATCCGACGAGGTGGAAGACCGGGGTGGAGCGTGCGATGGCTTGTCGACCGACTCTGCCTCGTCCTGACCATCGTGGGGTTGCGGAAACGAGGGGGGGAAGTGTCGGTCTGGAGACAGGAGCGACAGGGTGCGAAGGTGTCGGGAGCCACTGAAGACTTTGCGTTCAGGCTTCTTGGTGCTACTCAACAGCGCCTTTCTACGCTCCATCTCTCGCTGGAGGGACAGGCCGTCGTCTTCGGCAGCGATGGTGCCATCGTTGGCCAACATGGTGTTGAGTGGCTGCAGCTGGGCCACTTTGCGCCCATCGCCCCTACGTGCACTGACAACCTTGCTGGCCTCGTGTTGCTGGTAGTACTTTTTGAGCGTCTTGAGATCGACTTCGGCCTTGTTGAGCTCGTCTCTCAACTCGAGCACATAGCGTTCCTGGGCAGCGAGGACGGACAGGATGTTGACCTCGGAAGCGGGCGAAGGGTCTGAAAACGTGGTTGCGGTCTGGCCATTCATCCAGGACTGTGGGCGGGATCGCGGGCGGGCAGAGGAGGGGGCGCTGCCAGCAGCTGCCGTGGGGGTGATTGGGAACTGCAGGGACAGGCGCTTGCCTTGGCCGACAACGTCAATGTGCGACGCCGTCTTGGAACGAGCGTGGGAGGCCATCGAGGGCAAAGGGACCGAGGTGGAAGGCGCGGTGGAGAGCGCAGTGGAAGGAGCGGTTGAACAAGAAGAAGAAGAAGAAGAAGCGGTGGAAGGTGCGACGGAGGTGGAGAGGGCCACATCGGGACCTTTTGATGAGGCGTCCGCTGTTGCCCCTGTGCCGTGGTGCAGGGCGTGCATCCTCTGGGTACCGGACTGGGTACCGGACTGAGTCTGTGCGTGGTTGTCCATGACATGGGCTCCTCCAGGGTGAGAATGGGAGCCAGACATGGCATGTCCTGTGTTGAGGAAGCAGAAGAGAGTCGAGAGCGAGAGCGAGAACGAGAGCGGTAGGCGGCGAGCAAGTCGGTGAAGAAGAATAAGCGAACGAGTGGCTGGCGCTGAGCGGGTGTAGACTTCGAAACAAAGCGTTAGGAGCAATGCAGCCAATCGCCGGAGTGGCCAGGATGGCTGGTGGAACCACAACAGCCAAGTCTGGGTGATGCTCAGAGTCGGGCTGGCGGTGCGAGGAACCATGCCAGCCTCTGCTGCAGCAAAGGCATTTCCTGGTCTGAGAAGAGAGAGAGAGAGAAGGTGAAGAAGAAGAAGAAGAAGAAGAAGAAGAAGAAGAAGAAGAAGCGGATGAATGACTGTGATTCCGCGCGACTAACACTGCCGCCCCCGTCCTTGACTTTGTTTGTGTTGCCGTCAACTCGCCCCAGACGCGAAGGGGCACGCTCTCGAGTCACTATCCTCTCTTAGGGTTAGTCTTGTCCGTCTAGCACACGCACGCTAACCGTTTTAATTCTCGCCTTCCAAGGCAAGGCGGGGCCCTCAGAGTTCCTCTCGGCTTGGCACGCTCTCTCAGAAGAGAGGGGGTTGCTTAGTTGAGGAGAGAGGAGAGAGGAGAGGAAAGTAGTGGAGGGGAAGTCTATGTAGGTAGCAGGTGTAGATAGATGGATACTTTTCATTGAATACTTTTGTTGAGGAACTGTCTTGGATACTGCTGATGTCAAGGTATTGAGTCGCAGTCATTCATCGTGTACCACACACTCACTGACTCTGTGACCCCTACGACTCCCACGGCCAGACCAGGCTATTGACGTGAGTTGACAAGTACATACTATTCTCCTTTTTGAGAACATGCAAGACGTTGCTGCGACTGACTTGAACACAAACCAAGCTGCCTTTTCCTCATCTTCATTCCACACCACCATCCCACGTATACTGGTCGACGACCACGTGTACCTAGGAAAACCGAAGAGTGGCAAGTGGGTAATCTGGGGTAATGCCAGGCCAACACCATGTTAGTCTGCTGCTCATCTTGTATTGTTATGGCGACGCGAAAGACAAATCTACTCCAGTCCAACCATCCTGGCTTGGCCCATGCTCTCCCAAGTCTAATCATCACTCATCGCTACGGCCAATGAATCTTGCATCGACTCCACAGCCTCTGCGTAACGGCGTGGTGGCATGTCATATGACCATGGGTTTAGCGTCGGGCGACTTGGGCTTTACTCCGAGTGGTTAGAATATCCCTGTAGGTTCAAGTCCACGTCACAGCGGCAAATTTTCATAGTTATATAAACTAGCCTATAGTTAAGTATAAATTAGGGTAATTTAAGCAAGTAAACGCAGTTTTTGTTACTATCTTTTTTAAACGTGTTCTAAACCTGTTCTTAATAATATACAGGCGTTCCTAAATACTATACTAGAGTTTAGTATAGCAGTACTAGACAACGTATCTAAACTAGATAGTAATATTAGAGATAAATTTAGGCAACTGTATAAAGTGCTAGAGGAGGATAGTAGCAGTAGCGTTAAGGAAGTAAGTAAAAGTAAATAGAACAAGTTTAGAACAGGTTAGTAACACGTTACAGGGGCACAATGTATACCTTACTTATAGTAATAGTTAAGGACCACTACTTACACTAGCAATTATTAAGCATGCAGCTATTCTCCTAGCATACCCTTAATTACATAGCTAAGGGTATAGGTATATAATACTAGTTTAGCAACATAAAGATAGCTCTTACCTAATAAGAGAAGAGGTGCTTGTGCAGGCTACACAGGTAACACGTTAAGAACACGTTCTTAAATTGTTCTAATTCTAGCAGGTATAATACTCCTGCTAGTCTGTCTATCTTAATAGGCCTATAACTTTACTATTCTTTAACAGCTAGCTAGCAAGCTAGTATAAATACTAATACTCTAGGGTAAAAGCGTGTAAGTATCTTAAGAACACGTTATAAACGTGTTCTTATTACGTTGTTAATAACGTATTATATAATTAGATCTAAACCTTAAAAAGTGCAGTACCTAAGAAAATTCTACAAAGAGAACTATAAACAAGAAGCTATTATTATAGCCTTATTAAGCGCTTCTCTTTAAGGATTTGTAAGGACTACTAGGTGTCTTATTATCCTATAATAAGGACTGCAGTAAATTAGGTAGGGAGTAAAACTTAAACATGTTTAAAACGTGTTAACAATAAGTTAGTAAATTGTGGAATAGGCTTAACTATATATTAGCTATTAGAACTATAGCCTAATATCTACTACTAGGAAAAAATATTATTTTAGTTAGGTACTACTAGAGGTAGACTCTATATATCTACAAGGTCTTCTAACTAGGGAGATATTAAATCTTTCTAGTAGTCCTGCTTTATGTTCTGTGGTTAAGCCATAGTTAAGCTAGATAAAGAAGTGTGGTAGGCATATTACAACCTATTCCTAACACGTTCCTAATATATTCTAGGCGTTAATTATCTACAAGGGCAAGGATCTCTATTTAAAATCCTGTGTAAAGTTACCTTCTAAGTAATTATACTAATAGATATAGTAGCAATACCTTTTTTTACTATTATTTCTTTTGGTATATATATATATATACCTCCTCCTCCCTTAACACTATCTAATAGTAATATTAAGGAAGTAGTAAAGGTGTTGTAGCCTATGCTTACTCCGCAGCTTACGCAATGTAAGTTATTTGCAACCTGTTACAAACGTGTTCCTAACTTATTATAGCCTAGTTCTTAAACTTAACCTAGCTCTAAACCTATCTCTAACTTAAAGGTTTCTATTCTATTAAAGAAATATATATTAGCTTTGTAAATAAAGATAAAATCTCGCGTATTATAAAGCGTGAAAAGCTTCTACAGTTCCTATTTAAGAGTAGCCTTAGAGGAGTATACTATAAGTGGAGGATAAAGCATTAGGATCCTAAAACTATACGTGGTGTAAGAGAACAGGTTTAGAACATATTGTTAACACGTTACTACAGGCGTATATATAGCAAATCTTTATATTAAGCTTAGGTAACTTAATTATTTACCTTTTTAAAGAGTAGGCATTAATTCTATTAGATTAAGACACGTTCTAGATAGATATGTTATATAAGAGGTTATATAGGGTATAGGCAGAGATTCTAATAGTAATCTTCTACCTGCAGGAAAAGAAGCGTACGCATTAAGAACAGGTTTGTAACACGTTTCTAACATGTTGCAGTTATTATACTTAGCTGAATTATTATAGACAAGGACATAACTAAGATGTATTAAGTTGCTATTACTAACTTCTTTTAGAAGTGTAAAGCACTTATAAAAAGATAAGTGTTATAGAGGCATATTTACTTATAGGGATTCTATAGGACTACTATTAATATGTGTAATAAGTAGATAACAGGTAAGTTTTATAGCGCACTGCAACATGTTCGTAACGTGTTTCTAACTTGTTTCTAGGACTTAGGCGCTATCTCTAGTTAATTAATCCCTACAAGCGTGACTAGCGCTAGCAACTTTAATCTTGTATAAGATTTTGTTAAGTACATCTATAAAGAAGTATTTATAAAGCATATAAAAGAGAGCTAGATAATACTACCTCTTTACGTCTAAGTAAATTACTACAGGTATTAATAGTAGAGGAATACTTTTAGCTTGCTAACCTCCTCTTACGTAAGTAAACACATTCTAAACCTATTCTAAACATGTTCCTAACTTGTTCTTACATAATTAGAACACGAACCCTCTAAAGATACCTAAAACTAGGCAATCTATAAGAAAAACCTAGTAATTACTACTAGGATTATGCAATGCTATAGTAAAATATTAAAAGAGGCATAGGAAAAACTAGAATCTTATTTAAATGCAGCTAAGCAAGCAGGCCAGAAAGGATATAAAACTAGTAAGCATATAAGTATTCTTAAGGCCACTTAAAAGTAAGTTTATAACCTGTTCTTAACCTGTTAGAATTGTATAAGTAACATCGTGTAGTGCACACTAGATAGATCTGCAGGATATAAAAGAGTTTAAAGCCTAGAGCAAGTTTAGAATACGCTATAACTATAGAACTCCTAATAGGCTTAAGCAAAGGTACCTTAAAAAGCTTTAGAGGGGAGAAAGTAAGTCTTACGCTAGCGTTATGCACATTCGCTAATTAAAACGTGTTTAGAACGTGTTTGGAACGCGTCCTATAATAATAATAACACTCTAGATAATAATAAAGCAAGTCTTGCTATGTCTAACTTAACTAGATATATCTTAGTCCTAATAAGAAATAAAAGAGCATGCTTAAAAGCCTAAAGCTAGAGGGCAAGTAGTAGAGCAGTATTAGAAAGAAGTTCACTAGCCCCTTTTCTATCTTCTCCACTACTAGGCTCTTCTCCTCTACTAACAGCAACCTAAAGGTATGCTTTGCAAAACACGTTTATAACACGTTCCTAACTTATTATTAGTCTATAACTACAAACTTTGTAACAAAAGGCTCTTCTTAGTAATTAGGCTCTAAAGGAGAGAAAAGAAAAGCTAGAGGTAGATAAGGAAGAACTTGCATAGAAAAAGGCACTATTTAAATTGCAAAAGGCACAGTTTAAACTTAAGAAAGAGATAGCTGCTTTTTATATAAGGCAGGGTTAGTCTATAAATATAGTAACTAGTTCCTAACTAGTTCTTAATATATTCTAGTCTATTACGTAAGCATATATAAGCGGATAAATATATATTCTTTCTTCTTCTCTTTCTTCTTCTTTCTTCTTACACTGCTACAAGAACTTTTTATATTTAAGAGTTTAATACTATTTTACTATCTATCTTTCCTAATATTATTAGATATAACTAGTTAATATAGTCTATAAAGATCTTTTAAAGTTAGTATATAATAGAACGCGTTAGGAACATGTTGTGAACTTGTTCTAACACTAAGTAGGATTTATACCAGCGATATATTAAGCTTAAGTTACTTCTATCTAATACTAGGGCATTCTCTCCTATAATATCCTACCTAAATAATAGGTGTATAGTATTTCCTGGCGAGCTTTTCTACTAGGCTATTTAGGCTAGATTAGGGGTATAGGAACTTTGTGGAGTATATATACATGCGAGTTAGAACACGTTTATAATATATTAATAACTATTTTAGCGTTACTTCTCTAATAGAGGCAATCTTATCTACTACCTTAAGAGGTATTATCCTAAGGTTTAAATAGCCCTAGTAAACTATAGCAGAACCACAATACAAGGCACTATAGAAGCAAGGATCTTCTATAGGAGCTTAATAGTAAATGCTTAAGAACGTGTTCTAAACACGTTAATAATACGTTCTCCGCTAGTAGAGTAGACTACACTAAGTGCCTCCTCTAAGGTTTAAGAACCCTCTAAGATAGCTAGTCCACAATAAGAAGTGGTAGCTAGAGTAGAGGCTAAAGAGGAAGCAGAGAGTAAAGAAGAGGAGTAAATAGTTGCTCCCCTTTACACTGTAAATAATATTTAGCGAAAGTAGCAAAAAGGAGATATAAGTCTAGTCTCTTGAAACACGTTTAGAACATGTTAACAATACGTTATAGCTAGACACCTATAAATACTAGATTCTTCTTTAATCTAAGGGACTGCTAGAGCTTTATAATACCTATAAAAGTTAAAAGAAAAAGTTATATACTATTAAAGGACCCTATAAAAGTAAATAGTACTTTACTTTTAGTAGATAGAAAAAAAAAGAGAAGAGTAGAGAGTTTATTTTAGTAATTACTACTACCCCTTTAGGTTATATGCTATTATATATTGTTTATTAGAACCTGTTCTTAACATATTCTTAACGTGTTCCTACTTATTACTATTATTATCTCCCTCCCCCTCTCTAGTATCTTCTCTATCCTCCCTAGGCTCTATAAAAGCATACTGCAAGTGGAACTAGGCAGCATTCTAGCAGGAATTAGCAAGGTCCACACTAGTATTAAAGTAACAGTCTTAAAACACGTTAGGAATAGGTTAATAATATGTTGTGAACAACTTACTATAGCTAGGATGATTGTAAGCGCAGATAGCACAAGGAACCTAATAACCTTAAATCCTTAGTAGGGTAGACATAGTAACGAAGTTAAGCTGTAACAAGTTAGTAACGTGTTTTTAACAGGTTCTTGCAGGCTATACCTTATTACTATTATAGCTACTATAAGTCTTCTTCTAAATTATATTTAGGAGGGTATTAGTATTTATAGGGGGGCCTATAGTAGCTGCTAGCTAGGCTTAGAGAACTTCTATAAAACACGTTAGTAACAAGTTTTAAATATATTCTAAATAACTTATAGCAAGGAGTGTTCTAGTAATTATATATAACCTTTATATAGAAGTCTATATATATTAGTATAACAAGTTAAGAATAGGTTAATAACATGTTTACTCTTTGCCTCGCAGACCTCTATTATAGAGGGCTAGCTAGTCTTCTTAACCCTACTAACCTTATAGTAGGCTATGTTAAGCCTATAATCTTTTTTAGCATAGGTACATAGAGTGCCCCTAGTACCTAGAATAGCCTAAGAATATTAGAACCTGTTTAGAACACGTTTAGAACCTGTTCTTACTCTACATAAGGTGCCCTTATTATTAATCTTAGTATAGTAGTAGCGCTTTCTACTCTCTATCTTAACTACCCTATTAGGGCTAACTATAGGCCATGCCCTAATATTGTCTAGGACGCGGCTAAGGGCAAGGTACTATTAATAGTGCTTCTGTAACCTGTTAAGAACACGTTCTAAACACGTTTTAATCTACTTACGTAGGATAAGAGGGATACATTAGTAATAGGCATAGCAGTAGCAGCTTATAGTGTTACTAGTATAGAATATGTTTAGAACAGGTTTAGAACGCGTTGTAAAATCTTACGGCATAATGTTTGGTTAACCTTGCTTAGCTAGCTAGTGGAGCTTGGCACGGCCTAACCCCATGCCGAATACGAGTTCACGCAGCGCTAATTCCATGGTCATATGAACTGCGCCCTCGCGTAACGGCCGTTAGCCGTTGTCTCTCACTGTTGTTACACGGTAGGTAGTAAGTAGTAGGTAGGCAAGCTGGCTATGTATCATCCCCAAGTGGGGAGCTCATGCAGGGCAATGGTCTGGCAGTCCATGAGGCGTGAGGTGATGCCTGTCCTGGCTCAGCCTGGCTTTTTCTTGACATGCATCTTCTTGGTTTCTGCCATCAGCGCATGACTTGAAGACCAATCTCACCTCGGCGCTCTGCAATCTTGAAAACCCCATCGCCATCACCATGCTTTGACGCCATCAATCATCACAGTCGCAGTGCGGGGCGTGCTCTTTGTTGGTGGTCGATCCCCGCGCCCTCTGGTTGCCAGGGCGATGACGCGCCCAATGGACCCTGCGCGACCTGCTTAACCACTGTGAATATCTCGAGAGAACCCGTCTGGCAGTCCACGCCCACCTTGCAACTGCAACCCTATTTCTATCCTACCGACGCTGAGCCGTCCTCTTCTGCGCCGACGATATACTTTGGCCGCCTGGATCGAACCATTGTAAAGTACATCGGGGCGCCTGCGAATTTGTTGGTCATCGGTCCCAGAAGAATCGCCTGCCATGGCGGAAAACTACCAGGTCATGGAAGAGCTGGGCAGTACGTGCAAAATGCATCGAGCAAGCAACGAGAACGATGCACTGACAGACGCACAGGCGGCAGCTTTGGCAAGGTCTTCAAGGCCATTGATCGCAATACAGGCGAGACAGTGGCCATCAAGCATGTATGCATGGCCCTCTCTCCCTTACTCACCACCCATTTCGCCCGGTAGCCATTACTAACACTCGCGCATAGATCGATCTCGAAGACAGCAGCGAAGAACTGGCAGACATTCAGGCAGAGATTGCCCTTCTCAGTACCTGCCACAGCCCCTATGTGACGGAATACAAGACGAGTTTCGTCAAAGGCGTCAAACTATGGATTGTCATGGAGTACCTGGGCGGCGGTTCTGCAGCTGACTTGGTGGGCCACCTTCTTGGAATCAATACTCTCGGAGTCCCACGGCTAACTGTTTTAGTTGGCTCCCGGCCCCCTCGGTGAGGCGCACATCGCCATCATGTGCCGCGAATTACTGTTGGGCCTCGAATACCTCCACTCGACGGGCAAAATTCACCGGGATATCAAGGCGGCCAACGTCTTGCTCACTGACCAAGGCAGAGTCAAGCTGGCGGATTTCGGCGTTGCGGCGCAATTGACCAACATCAAGTCCCAGCGCATGACGTTTGTCGGCACTCCCTTCTGGATGGCACCCGAGGTCATACAAGAAGCAGGGTACGACTTCAGGGCCGACATCTGGTCGTTGGGAATTACGGCCATGGAACTCGCCGAGGGAGCACCACCCTACGCTGGCGCCCATCCTATGAAAGTGCTCTTCACCATTCCCAAAAACCCCGCCCCTCGCTTGCAAGGCGACCAGTGGAGCAAAGACTTCAAAGACTTCATCTCACAGTGCTTGATCAAAGACCCCGATCGGCGAGCTACTGCAAAAGAGCTTTTGAAGCATCGCTTTGTCCAGCGTGCAGGAAAGGTCGAAGCCCTGCGTGAGCTGGTGGAGCGCAAGCAAATGTTTGACGCTCAAAGGGAACAAGCCTCGTCCCATCCCAAATACTACGAAGAGACTATGCGGGAAATCTCCCCGCAGACCGAAGAGGACGACTGGGTATTTGACACTGTCAAAGCCCGCACCGTCAAGACAACACGTCAGACTACTAAGCGCCGCAAGGTGGCTCGCATACCATCTTCGGGACAGGACTCGGTGTCAGACAAGATGCAACAATTGGACCTAGATGCTGCTCCACTGGGCGAGGGAACAGACTCCCCACCTGCGCGACAACGAACATACTCCAGGAGGGGCTCTCAAGGTACCGCCTTCCGAGTGTCCTCGGGAACACCTACTGCCCGCCGTGTTAGCAACATGCCCAAGCAGCCTTTGGGTGTGGATCTCAACTTTGGTAATTCGCCTTCGACAGTACGACACTTCAAGCGAGTTCCGTCGGGCGAGCGTCGGGCAGCACTTCGTTCCAATCCTCCCACCACTCCGACCGAGCACAAAAATCAGTCGTTTCATCCGAACCCACACGCACCCACCTTCCGTCCATCGCCTTCCAAGTCGGCTCCTCCTCTGGAAATGAACAATGAAAATGCGCCGCCCACCCCAGAATACGAGCCTATGCCAGTCACCAAAGACGCTTTGTATGGGCGACGAGCTTACAGCAAAGTTCTCGATTCCGTCTTCCAAGAGGCACACGCTGATACGGCGTCGGCACATCAACGAGATGCTATTGGCCGTTTGGCTCAAGCATGGCAGCATCTTGATGAAGTGGACCCGCATGGCGAGTTCATGCTACTCAAGGCCATGGTCGACCGGCTCAAGAATGACACGAAACTTGCCTCCGCACTCGGCATCGAAGTCACCTCACTCCCATCCCCAATGAAGCACAACACTCAAACCAGCGATACCAGCCTTGGGGGGACCACCGTCGGTACTAACACCACGCGACGAGTGCGATCAAGCACTACAACAGCATCTTCGGCATCGAGCGACAAGTCTTCAGAAGAGTATGACCATACCCCAAAGTCAACGCCGTCTCAGACACCATGCGGGACTCCTTCAGGCAAGGCGGCCTCGCCACGAAAGGCTACGAAGCTGGTCATGGCGAGAAACAACCCGCATCTCAAGTCCCATCGTCGACGACAAAGTGCGTACGCTGTAAGCGAGAAGACGGATCGTCCTGACAGTGCTTACGGCGCCTTTGACGAGAAGAAGCTTCCCGGCTATGTTGAACCGGGTATGGAACAGCAAGGCCTTCTCGCTGATATCCTTTACGGTCAATGGATGCAAGGACTACGTACACGTTGGCCAATCTCTTGATTGCAGTTCTGTGCATACGTTCTGTCCTTGCCCTCGCATCAGAAACATGCCTTCTTTGCATAAACTGCAATTATTTCCATGTACAAATTTGTCCGTAATTGCGTTCTTTCTTTTTGATACCGACATTGTTTCTCTGTTTCTTTGTCCATGATTGCACACGACTGGGATACTCACAGACTATTGGTTTGCGCAGGAACATGGAGTGGCGTTTGAATTCGATGTGGATCACTGCGATGCTTGCGACTTTTGCGTGTTGCATGACACCCCGGCGTTGCAATTTAGAATTGTTAATATTTTGATATCAAATCATGCAGGAGATGGCCGATTGGGCCATTTGTGCTGGAGCCACAATTTGTCTTCTGATGTTTTTCATGATAGGCTATGTTCTCCTGTGTAGCCAGGATTGGTCTTGGCGCTTCGACGGCCTCTCTTGAAATCTGAATGGATTGATTTGGCTGTGATCAAGCGAGTAGAATTAATCCTGTTCAGGATGATCAAGCTTGCTGATTCTCTCTCAGGACAATTCGATTCGTTCTATTCCAGGTCTCGCTCTCGCCCGCAGAGCCACAAAGTCAACTCCCGAGGCCCCACCCGCATCTCAATAACCTCTATATTACATCCGCACCCAACAGCATCCGAAGATTTGGTTGCTGGAATTTAGCCATTCAGATAACAATGGGTAATCTGCCTTGTCACCACACCCCAGAAGACGTTCCTCCTACATACATCTCAGCCTCCCCTTCTCACCCCATCGTCATCACCACTCTCTCCATCACCATCTCCCCCCTTCCCAACCACCCACCATGCACCTCCCTTCCCTCCTCCCCCTGATCCTCCCCTTTTTCCCCTTCCTCCCTCTGACAACCTCCCAATCCCCCTTCGCCCCCATGCTCCGCTTCCAATGCTCCCAACTCGTCATCGACCGCCTCGACCCCCTCGTCTCCCCAGCCTCCATCCCCTCCCCCCACCTCCACCAAATCGTCGGCGGCAACTCCTTCAAGCCACACATGCCCCATCCCGCCCACGACCTCCCCTCCCTCTCCACCTGCACATCCTGCACCTTCTCCGAAGACTTCAGCAACTACTGGACCGCGGTCCTCTACTTCCGCGCCCGTAACGGCTCCCTCCACCGCGTCCCCCAATTCGTCTCCGACGGCCTCAAAGGCGAAGGCGGCATCACAGTCTACTACATCCCCGTCGTCAGCAACAACTCCACCAACATAACCACCCCCATCCCCCCCGTCACCGCCTTCCGCCCCGGCTTCCGCATGCTCGTCGGCGACGCCGCATCCGCCTCCCCCCTCCCCAACCACAAAGTCTGCCACCGCTGTATGCCGCGCTCCGGCGACGCCGCGCACATTAATTGCGCCGATCCCGATCAACAGTATTTCCCGCCGCATATGTGTGAGGGTGGGATTCGCACCGTCGTTACGTTTCCCACGTGCTGGGATGGCGTCAATCTCGATAGCCCGGATCATATGGCGCATTTGGCGTATGCGGTTGGGGCGGGGGCGAATGATGCGGGGCCGACGGGGAGGTGTCCGGATAGTCATCCGGTGGTTGTGCCGCAGGTCATGTATGAGGTTATGTGGGATGTGAGTGGTGTTTTTCTTTTTTGTAGTTTTGGGAGGTAGGAAGGAGGTTTGAAGGGAGGGGGTTTGCGGGGAAAAACTGACGAGTATAGACGCGTGTGTTTAACGATGTTGATCTTTGGCCTGAGGATGGGTCACAGCCTTTTGTGTATAGTACTGGGGATCGGTGGGTTTTCTTTTCTCCTCTTCCTTTCCCCTCCTCCTCCCTCTTTCCACCTCCCACTAACTCCCCCACCAGCACCGGCTTCTCCCAACACGGCGACTACATCTTCGGCTGGAAAGGCGACTCCCTCCAACGCGCCATGGACGCCCGCTGCACAGGCGACACCTGCTCCGTCCTCGAGATGCAGAGTACCGAGGAGGCGCTCAAATGTAGGGTGCCGCGGGTTGTGGATGAGGAGGTGGATGGGTGTAAGTGGATTTTTTCTGATATTTTGTTAGGTTGCTGTTGTTGTTCTTCCCCTCCCTGGGAAACAGATAAGAACCGGGGACGTGCAGTTTCAAAGCAAAAGCTAATTCCCGTCCGTGTATAGGGCTGCAGGAATTGCCGGGAAGGCGTGAGATTTGGTGAGGAGGGCGTGCGGCGGGGGTTTGAGGCTGACGTTGGGGTTGGGGGTAAACAGTCGACGGTGGAGAAAGTGTGGACAGTAAACAATGTCGACTTCTTAGACAGCATCACACATGAGATTCCCAGTAGACCCACACAATCCCTATCCCAGCACCCCAGACTCCCATACCAGGCACAAAGACGCAAATTCCACCCTGCACATGCAGGAGATTTAAAATCACAGACGCGCACTTATCCATATACACCACAGTCTCTCACGTTGTACAGTAATCAGTCATGTACACTCCTTCCTACCCCTGACGCGAAAACCCAACACAGGTGCATGCATAATGTATACCCTGGATCACTTCACATTTATCTACAATGCAGGATCCCATGCAAGGAAGCAGGGCTTTGCTTTCCCGTCCACTGTGTGTATCGTATAGACGGGATTGGATGTATACTTTGGTTTCAGTGGCGGCGCTTTATGGCTGTTTAGCTTATAATAGGTTAGGGAGATTATTTGGCTGTGTTTGGTGGTGTGGGTTTAGTGTACGGATATTGGTTGGTCTGGGTTTGAGTTTGGGTTTGGGGGGGACTGCTCTCGCTGTGGATTGCTTCAGTTTAGATTTGGATGTTGTGGTAGCGTAGCTGCTGTGTGTTTGTGGATTTAGGGTTTTGTTTAATGTTAAAGGTTTGCGTAGGTTCTGGGGCGAGCAATTGAACGGTATAGTACAAAGAGGGTTGATTGTTAGGTCGTCCCCTTCAAGCGAAAGAAATACTTAGAAGTTTCTTTGGGAGGGTGTTGAGATGTTCTGAAAGATTTAGTCTCTTGATGTTGTAGGCGCTACTAAAGAACTAACAATTGTCTAGCCATTACTGTATTGGAGAAAAGAAATTTTGGGTTGTGATGATTATATGTGCCTTCACCACGCACACATCTTCCAAAAGAGGTTACTTTAATTTTAATTAGTTATCATGCAGGTTCACTGATCCACAGAAAGAGAGGGGCGTGGAGGTCTAAGGGTGACAAGGATGTTTGAAAGCTTTGGAGTGAAGAAATAGGAACTTGATGGTAATACGATGGATCTAGTAGTTAACCCAAAAACTCAGATAGTAAGAATACATCAGAACTATTTACGGCTGCTGGGTATTTAGTTATTTGTAGTCATTTTCATTTAGTGCTATGGGCATGTAATCTGCAGTATGAGTTATTGGTATACCTACAGCGGACTGAAGTTGCACTATTCCAGGATACTGTTCACTCAAAACTCACCGCATAGTGCGCTAGGTTGGGATTTACTTGATAACGTTGGTCTTGGTCGCTCTACACGCTGTTGGAAATACGTATGCAAGATGGGATATGGTAGTAGAGCTGATACGGGATATATCCTAAGATGAGTAGAGAACCACTTAGCCGAATTCCAACCTCTTCAAGGTAGCGCTGTGCAGAGATGATAGATCTATATCACTCTACGGACATGACGTCCTACGCATTTCCACTTAGCGTCGTGCCTAACACAGGGGTGAATACTGCAAGTCTTGACCTAGAGGATAATAGTAAGGCAATGGAAAGCATGTCGAAATCTCACATGCGTACTGGAAAAACATGCCGTTTTCTATTGCGAGGCTTACTTGTCGTCAGGGATGGAGCACGCTAAGCCAGATACAATCGTCCCGGGCTTGTCCACCCCACATGATGACCATCACGCGTCCAGAACTACAACGGCTTGAAATACACCGAAGCTTATACTTCAATGCTTGGCTTTCGAGAAGTGGTTACAGTTTCAGTAGCATAATATTACCGAGGGTATAACACAACTTGATACCTAGCCTACACTCCTGTCTCCGACATAGCTCAGGAGTAGCATATATGGTTTAGTAGTATGCCTACTTTGTACAACAACACAATCTCAACAGCCCTCTTAGACAAACTGCTCCCCTCCCTCGGTCTCGTACGGAAGATCATGATGGACATCTCTAATGCGCCATGAGGTCATATCTGACATCCCACTGATCTGCACCGCAACATGGCTGCCGCCGCTAGTTCATGTACCCCGCAGTCATCCGTGGAAACAATGCAGCACCGTTACATTCAGCATCAAGAAGCATTGGATCAAGGCATCACGAGAGGATCATGGATGTGATGCTTTCACTTCTCGGTGGCACTACTAGCACATGCTCGGCATGCAGCAGCAACTTGAACTACCGTCACTTGCTACCAGGACATGCATTCAATACAAGCTCCTCCAATCCCACGCGGTGTCCTAACTCTCGAGAGTTTGCAGTCTCCACCCTCATGGCATGATGGTGTTGTCATGTTACACGGTGAGAATACTGCCCAGTCGGCTATATCTCGGCAGACGCCGTTCATACGGTGATGTAGGAATGTGAAGGTTAAATAGACATTGGGGGGGCTCACAGCGGACGCGCCCTCTATGGTGCTTCTCCCCTTCAGCCGAGTTCCAGTGTTTCCTGCTTCTTTTCATCTTGGTCAGAGGTCGCGATGCCTTCATTCAGCATACACATCTTGGCCTGGGTATTGTGGATACATGTAGCATGGGCACAAAAGTCAGCCTTTGACTATGTAGACCCGTTGATTGGAACAACAAACGGAGGTCAGTATTACTAGTAGAAACTTGTCTCCATTTGAACTGACAAGTGCAGGACATGTATTCCCAGGTGCTACACTTCCATTCGGTGAGCATAAGCGTACAAAAAACCACCCCGTTCGTTTTTTCTAATTCTCTTACCAGGCATGGCGAAAGCCGGTCCAGACGTGATAGGCGAGAATCAGGGCGGTTTCTCCTCTTCCGATGCCCCTATATACGGTTTCTCCCACATGCACGACTCCGGCACAGGTGGATCTCCCTCCCTAGGGAACTTCCCCATCTTTGCACAAGCAGGTTGCCCAAATGATGATATAAATGCCTGTTCATATCCCATGTACCAACGAGCAACAGCACGTGCTCCAGGAAAAGTCCACGCCAAGCCAGGATACTTTGATATCACGCTGGAAAGTGGAGTCAGGACGGAAATGACAGTGACAAACCACACTGCCTTGTATCGCTTCACGTTCCCGGAGCGCCCTAAAGCGAGAAACACGACACTCAGTCCCCACATCTTGGTCGAATTGACTGATTTACCGCAAACGAGAAGTGAAGGCAGCATTAATGTCTCTGCTGAAACGGGACGAATGAGTGGCACAGGTGTCTTTTCCCCCTCTTTTGGTATAGGAACATACCGGTCCTACTTCTGTCTTGATTTTGATGGCGCAAAGATTAAGAATGCGGGTGTTTGGACTAACTCGCGGGCATCGTATGTAACCAGCCTGGATATCAAACCAGGGGATGAGCGACAAACGCCTAGCGCACGACCTGCGGGTGGATGGGTGCAATTCGAGAAACCGACAGAGAGGAATCAGATTCTCGCAAGAGTGGGCATGAGTTTTGTGAGTGTGGCACAAGCTTGTGCGAATGCGGAGCGCGAGGTACCCAACCGGGCCTTTGATTCACATGTTGCTACCGCGGAGGCTGCCTGGCGCGCTAAACTTGATGTCATTACCATCCAAGATGGCGGCGTGAGAGATGTGTTCCCGACGGCATTTTGGAGTGGGGTGTATCGCGCGATGATTAGCCCACAGGATTATACTGGCGAAAACCCATTCTGGAACTCTGGAGAACCGTACTATGACTCTTTCTATTGTATTTGGGATTCGTTTAGAAGTATCCATCCTTTGCTCACGTTGCTGGATCCACATAGCCAAACGTTGATGTTGAGGAGCTTGTTGGATATCTATCGACATGAGGGATGGCTGCCGGACTGTCGAATGAGTTTTTGCAAAGGCAAGTGCTAGCAAGCAGGAGTCTGTACATAGTCGCTGAATACTAACATTTCGTATCCAGGAAACACGCAAGGCGGTTCCAACGCAGACATTGTCATCGTAGACGCCTACCTCAAGAACATCAGCGCAGGAATCGACTGGAACCTAGCGTACGAAGCGCTCGTAAAAGATGCAGAAGTCGAGCCAGCAAATTGGGATGTCGAGGGTCGTGGAGGCCTTGCCTCTTGGAAATCCCTGGGTTACATACCAACGGAGAATCTGGACGTCGATGGTGTGGGCACGGAAACACGGTCCGTCTCTCGCACTGTGGAATATGCATACAATGACTTTGTCATCTCTACGTTAGCGCGCGACCTGGGCCATATGGATGATGCTCAAAAGTATCTAGCTCGCTCTGGACATTGGAAGAACATGTTCAAAGCGGACCAACGGAGCTACTACAACGGTGTCGACAGCGGGTTCGAAGGCTTCCTCCAGCCACGCTATATGAATGGCTCGTGGGGCTACCAAGATCCCATCTTCTGTTCTCCGTTGATGAACTTCACTGGATGCTACCTGAACCCTTCTGGAGGAGAAACCTACGAGGGACCAGTATGGCTCTACACATTCTTCGTCCCAGGAGACATGGCAGGTTTGATCGCCACCCTCGGTGGCAAAGAGCGATTCATCGAGCGCCTGAACTGGCTTCATGAGTCTGGCGTCCTCTACCTGGGTAACGAGCAGTCTTTTCTCAAACTCTTCCTATACCACTATGTGGGTCGGCCCGCGTTATCCGCACAGCGCGCACACCAGTACATCCCCTCGCTTTTCAACGACACCGTAGGCGGCATACCGGGCAACGACGACAGCGGCGCCATGGGCTCCTTTGAAGCGTTCGTCATGATGGGCTTCTTTCCCAACGCAGGACAAGATGTATACTTTATCATCCCGCCGTTTTTCGAGAGCGTGTCCATCAAGAGCGGTCAGACTGGTAAGACGGCAACGATTCGAAACATTAATTTCGATGCCAGGCACAAGAACATCTATATCCAGTCTGCGACGCTGAATGGGGAGCCCTACACGAGGAATTGGCTACAGCATAGCTTCTTCTTGGATGGCGGCGTGTTGGAACTCACGCTGGGTGCGGAGGAGAGCACTTGGGGTACGAGGCCGGAGGATGTACCTCCCAGTCTTGGACCGACGGGGAATACAGATGGGATGATTACGATGGAGAAGAAGTGGCTTACAACACCAGAGGACTGGGGCTTTGCTGAGGGCTTGTGAGGATCTCGAGGGCTGTTAGTGTAGCACAATTAAGCTCGCTGCAGACGAGAGGAATGATTCGTTGGTGATGATTACACTATCCAACGAGTCTGAAACACACATGATCAATCTACTGGCGTCGTACAAAAATCAACAACAACCGTGCTATTCCCGCACTCTGGCCACGACATGATGCACACTCAGATCCAAACCCCCTATGCACTGGCGTCGAATAGCAATTAGTACATCCAGAGCACACATGTAACACCACATTCCCAGCGGTCAACGCAAGCATACACATGAGTAGGTACTGTATGTACATGCTACCCTACCCACGTTTCAAGCAGCCAGACAATCCCACATCTGAATGAATCCCTTTCCTCGAATCGCACCACTCTCACGCTTAGCCGCCGTGCCTGAAATTTCCCCGCCGAAAGAGTAAAAGGCAATGTCCTCGATGATTAGGGCCACGATGCCCAACGATTTTTCCATCGGGCCTCCCTGCATACGAAGCTGATGCTGATGTCGAGTCGTGCGTGCACAGATGCGAGCACGGACCGATCCCACCGTAAGAAAAAAGAGAAAAAAAAGACAGGTACGGCCGCTGTCATGTTTAAGCGGTGAATAAATTGATGGGCTTCAAGGTTGGTAGCTGGATGTTAGCATTTTTTTTAAGCCGGTGAATGTTGCGATTGGTTAGAGGGCATGGTGATATACTTGGGCGACTGTGTGGTGTGTGTGTGTGTGTGTGAATCGATCGACGTTGGTTTAGAGTTGATATGGATCCGCAGCGGGATTTTCGGTGGTGGGTGCATGCGAGAAATGTCTCATGTGGTGGTGGAGGTGGTAATGGCTGATTGATTTGGTTCATGGTGGTTTGATTGGGTTTGATGAGTATGCAACAGTGTACATGAGGGATCTAGCATGACACTCTGTAGATGTTTGAGAATGCATCAGGCCTGGCATGTGTTGTGGAGGTAGTGACGGCTCTAGGTAGATATCTACGTCTAGCAAGCATCCGGGTTGCACGTGTTTCTTACGCAGTACCTACTGGCATCTAGTTAGCCATGCGAGGGACAAGGGATAGAAATACAGCACGGGCAAGACAGCATGGTATCCACAAAGTACGACAGTAGGCTCAAACAAAAGTGCACGAGGTCGACCGAATGCCTAACAATAAGCCCGTCCAACCATAGCCAAAACCTCACGATGCATCGGATGCGACCCAAGTCTTGGCTCCAGGATGAAAGGGAAGGTCGCTATTGTCTCAGATACTGTAAGAACAGGGCCGGAAAGGAGAACGGAACCGCAAAGCCGAAATTTACAAATACAATACTGGATAGAGCCCATTTTCAGCGGCCCCGCAATGTGGCTGTACCTACCCGCCTACCGCGAAGAGTAAAGTAAGGCCCGCTTAACGATGACCCCCTCATTTGGATCGCCGTCCCCCATGACATGAGATGATGAGAGAGGGTTTCGAGGCGTCCTGTGGAGCAAAGCGTATGGCGGGAACGGGATGTGTGTCTTTTGACATGGTGACGTTTCGGCCAGTACTGTAGTATGGTAATCAGCCGGTTTTGTTTGTACGTAATGCGGGGCTTCTGGACCATCTTGGTCAAGAGAGAATGAAAGACATCGAGGCTTTGCATCGAACGGGACTGGCTTCTAGACATTGCAAAGGTGGAAGAATAGCAGGCGTGTTTGGATGCAATCGTCCGGTGAGAGATGGGGTGGTGGGTCGGGTCGATGACGATGGGAGAAAAAGACCGCATGCAGCGAAATGCACAGACATACACACAGAGGACCTTACGCACACCACACACTGACACAGTACTACTGTGTAATCCGACTCCACTACAGAGGATTCGAATTTTTGTCTCTGTTTCGGACCTGTTGTGTGGATATTCTACTATCTGATGGCTGTCTGTATGTGTTTACTGTAGTAGTACGGTAGCCAAGTACCCTTGGTCTCGGCTTCGAGCGGTTCAGCCGGGGATGCGCCTACTTGCAGATCGAGCAGTCTAGAAAAGGCTGTTTGGCCGTCTCCATTTCCTTGCATGAGCGGTAACGAGTTGGTATGCAGAAGTGCTGGGCCAGGGTAGACTCTGCCATGGCAATGTCTGGTATGTGCGACTGCGTGCCAGCAACGCGGTGCCAACTCGAGATCGGCAGGCTGGCAGCTCTGCCTTCACAAACTTCGGCTGCGTCCAGAAGTCTCTCGTCTTGCACGCACACAAAGGGTTGAAATCCAGTGCGGATACGAGGGAAACCAACGCAAATTCCAGAAGCATTGGCGCGGCGTCCGGCATTGTTCACGGTGGGGCACGGATACCGACCAAGGCAAGGGTACCGGTACCATCGACACTATCGTCATATCCAACGCGAAGAGCGAATCTTGCTTTGTGTCATTCGCCTTCAGGAACAAACTATCGGGCAATGGGCCTCCCTTGTAACGTGGCGAAAGCTGAGGAGCCGGCTGATGCAAGCACAGTAAAGGGGGGGGGGGAATGGTCATGAGATGCCACTTGTGTCCAACTTGACCAAACTATCAGCGTCACACATCAGCTCGGTACCTATCGAGGGGAGGAGTTCCACGACTTCGATCTGGCAAGACATACTACTAGCCAAGCCAGTACTACAGTACCTTATGCTATGATACCACGATATGTATGCTAATACCAGGAATGTACAGGCTATAGTATCCCATCCATAATGCGTGGAGCTCTAATCGGCCTGGTCGTGGGCCTTTCATCACACCGCCAAATCGGGCAAAGCACGAATGAAAAAGGCTCCCCCTCGGAAGTCTGGGGTAAAGCCGCAGGTTTGCTCAGGGGCAAGGTGTAAAAATGGCGCAAGTCTAGCTGCACCGGCTGGACCAACATCCTTACTATCCTGTACTGGCCATTCGATGCCGCCAATTACGATGCTTTTATGGGGCTGATCGAGATGCATGCATCAGGACGCCCTGTGTCAGACTTACCTCCTCACCGCGCGATTCGTGCTGTTTCTGATTGTGCGGTGAGGCCTTTGATCGAACGGACACTGCGGCAACCCTTCCCTTTTCCTCATCCGTCTATAAAGCGATCGGGCCTGCCCACTCCCAGCGAAGCAAAACATCAGCAAACCCCCAAGCTTCGCCTACTTGACCGCTCAATCTAAGCTCATAGCAAGACGGGATCGACGCCAGAGAACTATCATCATACAAACCACGAACTACACACGACAGTCTCCACAACAAACACCTACCTACCCATCAGCTCCCACTACAACAAACACAAGCCTCTTCCTTCAGAGATCATCATCCTCATCCTCATCATCATCATCATCATCATCATGCCTGCTCTTCCATTCAACTCATCCACTACCTCGTCACCTTCTGCTTCTCCTACTTTGTCGCCTTCATCGCCTACGCCGTCCATAGTTCTCCATCCCGCATCGGGTATATTTGATCAACCATACTAAAGCTTTCAGTCTAATCTTGTAAACAGGCGCTGCACCAAAACTGGAGCTACATAAGCCCAAAGAGGATCCTGCCGCAGCGTATCGTCTACGCTACGCGCAGTACCTCGCGGCCACATTTGGCTTCTCGTTGCAAGCCGCGTTGGCCGAGGCAGACACCCAATTGGCTCCCCGCCGAACCTCATCGTCGAGTCAATCCGAGGCTGAGTCGTTACGAGAGATCTAGGTCGGGTGTGGCTGAAAGGGGGAGAGGCGTCTACGATGTTATGAACACTTGCATGGAAATGGTTGCTCTGTTTTTTTTGGTGTTCTGGGGATAGATAGTTAATACTCTCGCGCACACCTTAGGTGTCGCAAATGGAAAAGCTCTTTGTTTCTGTGCCTCGTTGTGAAGAGGGGCATCATGCATTTTCTCTGCCACGCCTGTCCTTGTCTGACGATCAGGAAGTTGTACAAACATGGTGCCGTTTCTTCCGAGCCGAGTGTACACCCAATTCTTCCCACCTGGAGAATCCCTGATCACAACGGAAGGCTGTTTCCGCTGGTTGGCGGTTGAGGTATGTAATGCCTAGCCTACTCTAGCAGGTGTGGTCAGAGGAGAGGCAGCTGTCATGGTACTTAGGGTACGGTAGGAGGACCGGCAAGGCTTGTCAGTCGGGGAGGGTGACAGGTGTCCAGTTGACGACCATGCCACTACCGGCATTCACGCCCCCAGCTCACATGGCGACGCCTGGGCCACCTCTCCACGTCTTGCGGCTCTTCCCTACCCGCATCGATTATCAGACTCAAATTCAACGACATCGGAGAAAATTCTCTTCCTTCTTCGCCTTTGCTTGCGTAGTATTGGCAACCTCCTTGGATTTTGCTTGGAGGTAGGCCTCGGTGCATGACCCCGCCGCAGAATATCATGGCATGCATCGCGTACACCGGCCACCGGCGGTAGTTCTATGTCCGCAGCAGTCACATTCCCCCGGATCATCATAACCCCGCAAAGGCATGTCTGCTTCAAGTGCTGCCTGTCTCCGCTCCAAGACCAACACGTGTAGTAGACATTGTACTCTAGGGTAAGGTTGAGCGTTCATTGGCGCTATTGCATTGTGACTTGCCGACGTTGTTGCGTCGAGACAGCAATCATCATGCCAGTTTGAGCCATCATTCTTGCTCACGCAGACGCAGTGAACCAGTGACAGCGCCTCATGAACTTGGCAGAGTCCTGATGTGCATGCTTAGCGTAAGACCAGCGTATCAACCTTCTCTATCTAGAGGGCAGACAGCATCGACTTCACACTTCGCGCACATGGCGCCCTACTGACATGGCGCTGGTGTGGCCAATGCCAGACAGCCGAGCCATCTCGGCACCAAGCCTGTGTGCAACCATATATCGATCAAACGATCCGGGAAACGGCAAGATGTTGTCTTGGTACCGTCAGCCAAGATTCTTATCGTTCTGGTCATGAGCACTCGGATGGGAGCCACACGATCGGCTGAGCCTCACCGCAATGAGGCTCTGCTGCCCTATGCCTCCATATACCAATATCCCCGTACAGGGTCAGACGGTGGGAAGAACTGAGAACCGTTGTGGAAAGAAAGCTTCATGGACACACATCTGGGCACACATGTCGTCTTCAGCGGAGCGAACAAGGAGGCGTGAGTGATAAGCAAGCCCAAGCCACTTCATGCTTGGAGGGACCCACGTCGCATGTTAGCGTGCCTGACCCCGCCAAACCGGGGTACGGTGAATCGACTATAAGGCTCCCCCCGCGTGCGCCTCTATTCTGCTTCTACAACCAAAACACTCCAAGTGTTCTTACATATTATTGAATGGGTGAAACCGTCCTGCCTGCCGTTGAGGAATCTTCTCCTCAAGCTGAAGAGCCTCCTATATGTGGTTTAAATGAGCCACGTATAAATCCAAACAAGAGGCAACTCCAGCCCACCCCAGGCGATGGCGACACGCCACCAACCCTCCACGCTCCGCACACACTCTCCTTCAAAGAAGTTGCAGAGGAACTGCGCGTGGACATCGAGTAGGAACCTCAGTGTGCCTCCCCTTTTTGTACTCGGCTAACTCACTCCCCCCCCCCTCTCTCTAGCCATGGACTCAGTCATGCTGAAGCGGAATCTCGCCTTCGGCTCTATGGGCCTAACAAGGTTAAAGGAGCTGAAGGGCTATCCATGTGGAAAATTCTGTTAAGACAAGTGTCCAACAGTCTTACCTTTGTCCTCATCATTGTCATGGCCATAAGCTTTGGCATAGACGATTACATCGAAGGCGGTGTCATCACTGCTGTCATCTGCCTCAACATCGTGGTCGGCTTCTACCAAGACTACCGAGCTGAGAAGACTATTGAGTCTCTCAAGAAGCTCACTGCCCCCGAGGCTACTGTTACTCGCAATGGCACAATGGACATCAAGGTCAAGGCGATTGACCTTGTACCTGGTGATATTGTTCAGCTGTCCGTTGGTAGCATCGTCCCGGCTGATATCCGTCTCATCGACGGCGTCAACGCCTTCACCAACGAGGCCTTCCTGACTGGTGAATCTGCTCCCGTCGAAAAGACTCCGTTGAAGATTTTCGACGATCCTGACATGTCCACTGGTGACCAGACCAATCTCGCGTTCTCTGGCAGTGAGATGACTTCTGGTCGATGCCGTGGTATTGTAGTCGCCACCGCTATGAACACTGAAGTTGGAAAGATTGCTGCCATGCTTCGTCAGAACAAGGACAGCAAGGCTCAATCCAGCAACTTCTTTGTGCGAGTGGCTCAGAGGATCGGCGGTGCCGTCAGGACTATCCTTGGTCTTGTTGGAACACCACTGCAAATCACCTTGAGCAAATTCGCTCTCCTCCTCTTCGCTCTCGCTATCCTTCTTGCCATCATTGTGTTCTCTGCCAGTGAGTGGGTGATTGGTGGCGAGGTCCTCATCTATGGTATCTGTGTCGCTGTGGCGGTCATTCCGGAATCGCTCATCGCAGTGCTCACCATTACCATTGCAGTGGGGGGAAAGGCAATGGCCAAGGCGAACGTCATTACTAGGGTCCAGTCAGCCATCGAGGCTGTGGGTGGTGTGACAAACATCTGCTCCGACAAGACTGGTACTCTCACCCAAGGTCGCATGGTCACGAAGAAGGCACTCATTCCAGGCGCCGGTACCATCAACATCGATGGCATTACCGACCCCTACAACCCCTTGACTGGGATAGTCACACTCAACGGTGAACGTCTGGACTTGAACCAGCACAAGCCAAATGGTGCTGCTTCCCGCTTCCTCCGCACCATCGCACTGTGCAACAACTCCAAGGTTCTTCCCGCCCATGATATCGGTGGCAACTACGCCAACAACGAGAAGTCTGGCATGGATCACAAAGAGAATGACCGCGACACCGATTCCTCCACCATTGAGTCGTTGTCTCGCCCACCTACGGCCATCATGGAAGGACTCATGACCGCAGCATGGAAGGCACACGGTGAACCCACTGAAATCGCTCTACATGTCATGGCCTCCCGATTTAACATGGGCAAGGAAGAACTACTGAACACGCTCCCCATCCACCTCGCCACCGAGTTCTCCTTCGACTCGACTGTCAAGAAGATGACTGTCGTCTACAAGGACAACCAAACCGGCAGCATGGACGTGTACACCAAGGGAGCCACTGAATTCATGCTTCCTGTCCTCAACGTCACCGAATCCGAGAGAAACACCATCCTCGAGCAAGCAGAGAGCATGGCCAACGAAGGTCTTCGTGTTCTCTGCATCGCTCACAAGTCCCTCGCCGCCGGTACCGACATCAGCAAGCGAGAGGAGGTCGAGGTCAACCTCAACTACATCGGACTCGTCGCCATTTACGACCCTCCTCGTCTGGAAACCAAGGATGCCGTTCGCGAATGTAAAATCGCCGGTATCACGGTCCACATGCTTACTGGTGACCATCCTGGCACAGCGAGAGCTATTGCCTTGGATGTCGCCATTATCGATGAACGTACGCCTGCCTCTGCCGTCATGATCGCTCGTGACTTTGATGCCATGACTGAAGATCAGATTGACGCCATGGAGACTCTTCCTCTTGTTATTGCTCGATGCAGTCCTACCACCAAGGTCAAGATGGTGCAAGCGCTTCATCGCCGAGGTCGCTTCTGCGTCATGACTGGTGATGGTGTCAACGACTCACCTGCTCTGAAGCAGGCCAATGTCGGCATGGCCATGGGTACTGGATCCGATGTGGCCAAAGATGCAGCTGAGATGGTTCTTACTGACGACAACTTTGCCTCGATTGTGAAAGCAGTCGAGGAAGGTCGTCGCCTCTTCGACAACATCCAAAAGGTACGTTCTACATGCCCTCATCCCATCTGTCAAACAATACACTGACAACGCACCCAACCTCCAGTTCCTCATGCATCTCCTCATCTCCAACATCGCCCAAGTCATCCTCCTCCTCATCGGTCTCTCCTTCAAGGACCGCGACGACCACTCCGTCTTCCCCCTCTCTCCCATTGAAATCCTCTGGGTCAACCTCATCACCTCGTCCTTCCTCGCCATCGGCCTCGGCCTCGAGGAGTCCCAGGAAGACAGCATGTACCGGCCCCCACACGACGTGAAAAAGGGCGTCTTCACGACCGAGCTCATCACGGACAAATTCATCTACGGCTTCTTCATGGGCGCCCTCTGTCTCTTCTCCTTCTCCATCGTTGCCTACGTCGGCCCCGGCGGCGGCGACCTCGGCTCCGGCTGCAACGAGGGCTGGAACGAGACGTGCGACGTCGTATTTCGCGCAAGAGCTACCACGTATGCAACTATTACCTTGTTACTCCTCTTCACCGCTTGGGAAGTCAAACACTTCTCTCGCTCCCTATTCAACATGTATCCCAATACCCCGACCAAGGCTCCCCCCGGATGTTCCATCTTCCCCACTCTCTGGCGCAACCGCTTTCTCTTCTTCGCTGTCATCGCGGGTCTCTGCATCATGTTCCCTATTGTCTATCTCCCCGTCATCAACGAGAAGGTGTTCAAGCACGGGGGTATCACATGGGAGTGGGGTGTCTCGTTTGGTGCAGTGGTGATTTACATAGCGGCGATTGAGAGCTGGAAGGCGATTAAACGTCGCTTTGGCATCTGGAGCGGTGCTCATCGTGTTATTTCTCGCGAGGATGCGGAGGCGAGGGCTGGGTTGGTCGGCGCGGTTAGACATGTTATTCAAGAGAAATGATCGTAGGAGGGGAGAGGATGTGGTTAGTAGGGATTAAATTGCTTATGGGGATACAAGGAAGTGTTGAGGTTCAGGGGGGGTTTTATTTTGGATTGACCCTTGGTCTGTCGTTTTCGATTATACATATATACGTATATATAGTTCTCTATATATATGGATACGCCATCACGAGTTTTCTAGCCACATTCATTTGATAGTCAGACTAATCAACTTGCTTTTTGCAATGGTGATCCAACTGTATTCCACTAGCTTGATTGACATTCTCATACATGCTGCGATTCCACTGTTGAAGTAATAGAATGTGTGGGTTGGTGCGTACAATGAAACTCCAGTCCCCATCTTAGCAATCACAGTCAAACCACACGCCCATACAGCACAATCAACCATCATTATGCCCCGTATTTACTCCCACCCCCACCCCCCAGTTTCGTTACCACCCACATGGTAAGTACAAGATCCAGCATCCAAAACCCTCCTGCCCCAAGCCCAACCCCCACATGAACAAACCCCAACCTGACACAGCACATACACACGTCTGGTGAGAGCGCAATCTGTCCCTACAAGCAAACAACGTCAACAACCCATGGGGCGGGGGAAAATGCGGGGTATGGGGTATGCAGTATAAAAAAATACAGAAAGCAGTGGTTTGGTGCAAGATGCGGGAGGTGAGGGGAGTGAGATGGAGTGGTATGTCCAAGACTCCATGGAGTGGTGGGACGCAGTGGTTGGGGTGAATGGGGGACGAGCGTGAATTGTACAAGACATGACTGCGACATGAGAGATGAGTGGGGAGATGTCACATGGTGTGATGATGGTAAGAATGGTGTGGGGAGTGAAGCTTGGATGTAATTCAGATATGTAGGGAGGCGGAATATCTCGTGGTAGACGGCTCTAGGTGGGCCTTTGTCTCGCCTAGGCTGGGTCAATAATTTTCCTGGGAGATAGCCACGTCGGAAAGACATGGTGAAATCATACATACATGCTGAGTTCCTTTCCAACAGACGTAGAATTGCGGCAATGGTAGGTGCTGAATAGGCCTGGGCTGGCATTCAAGCTCCTGCGGGGCTCTATTTGAATCTAGCCAAAGTTTCCATGGGTCCAAACCTCCGCTCTTTCGTATCCGTATTTGCATAAGCAACTAGCTCGTACGGTGGTACTTTTCTTCATGACCCTCAACGCCATTAGTTCCATTGGTATCCTCGTCGCCATCTTCCCGCTGGCGTATAGTTCCGGCCCCAGGACCCAGCTCTTGACCGCCCAGGACTGTGCTTCGAAAGTTGCCATTTTCGTCTACATAGTCATCCATGTTGTCCGCGGTGATCCATCCCGATGCGCCAGGTGCGGATTCGTCGAGGATATCGATATCCTCGTCGTCCTCGTCGTTGCCATGGGGATCAGGGTGTAGATCTGCGCACGTGTTCATTGCGGTAAATATGTCTTTGATGCATGCAGTCTCTGGGTTTGAGTCGTATGAGGGCGGGAGGACGGTGAGTTCGAGGACTTCAATGTCGTCTTCTTCGTTTACATTTTCGGTGTCGTTGAGGGAGAGGCTCATGTAGAGGGCTTCGGTGGTGGATTTATATTTCATGGTTGCATGGAGGGCGATGCTGGGGTAGGGCACAGAGACGCCGGTCGGTGTGGGAGAAGTTTGGAAGAAGATGAGGTTCCTGAAATCAGATCTCAGTATAACGTTTTGTTTGTACGTTCAGATCGTAAACGTACTGTGAGCTCACCCAGATGGCGACGTTTTTGATCAGCGCGTTTTCGCCGTCGGTCTCACTGTCGAACTTGGAGAAGGCGACATTTTGCTCTAGCTGTGAGGGAGGCGCAGAAAGGGTAAGTCCATCGTAGTGTGCGTATAAGACAGGGTTTGCGCCGAAGAAGGTGGTTGGTGTCTGCTGTTGATGCTCTTGCAGCGGGGTGAAGTCCTCTGCCTGGGGCGCCGTGTCGATGTGACGGAGAGCCATTGTGGTATGATATCAAATCAGGCGCGATATATTCTGCTGATTGTTGCGAAAAGTAGAGTAGCCGATATGAGTTATAAGTGAATCTAGAACGTTGTGGATTGTGTTGTTGTTGTTGGTGGTGTTGGTGAGTCGCAAAAGATCAAGAAAGTGTCCATCGAGTCGACGACGGGTCCGCACATGACGCTAAGCTACCAGCTACCTATGAGCTCTAGAGTAGCCCCGCCTTGTCTTGGCAGGTACGAGCCCATCTCAGATTCTGTATGCATTCATCCCTCCAACGTACAGCAACTATAAGGATGGTAATAACAATTGATCCGTTGAAGTGAATGCTTCAAAAAGGCAGCTCACGAATAAATCTCCTCCGCTTCATCTCTTTATAAGCATCCATCGCATTCCCAAAACCTACTCCATAATGACTTAACCTCCTTCTCTCACCTGATTGCTACAATCACCCTCTCACCGAATTGCGACAATCACCTTCACCCTCACCCCAACACCCACGGCGCCTCAAACCCAAACTTTCCAACCGCCAAACACCATGTCCGCCTTCCCCTCAACCCCCATCGCCCGTCTAACCGGCCACAACGGCCCCGTCCACGCCGTCGCCTACTCCTCGGGCTCGCAAACCTACATCCTCACCGGCTCCTCCGACCGCACAATCCGCCTCTTCAACCCGCAAAAAGCACCCCCGACATCCCCCTCCCAAACCCCAACCCCAGGCCTCGTCACAAAATACACCGCCCACGGCTACGAAGTCCTCAGCCTCGCCGTCAACACCGCAAACGACAAATTCGTCTCTACGGGCGGCGACAAGACCGTCTTCCTCTGGGACGTGCAAACCGCACACACGATTCGCCGCTGGACCGGTCACGCCGGGCGCGTGAATCGCGGGGTATGGGGCGGCGAGGACGACGGCGTGGTCGTGACGGGGAGTTTTGACGGCTCCGTCAAGGTGTGGGATGTCAAGAGTAGTAATAGCTTCAAGCCGATTATGACGCTGGCCGATGCCAAGGACGCCGTCACCGATGTTGCCGTGCAGGGGCCGGAGATTGTGGCGACAAGTGTGGATGGGAGGGTGCGGTGCTACGATGTGCGCATGGGCAGGTGCCAAGTCGATGTCATAGGGCCACCGTGTACATCCCTCAGTCTGAGCAAGAAGGGGACCGAGGTGCTGGTGAGTAGTCTGGACTCGAGCTTGCGGCTCATGGATCGCACCAGTGGCGAGTGCTTGAAGCGGTACGAGGATCGGGCGTTTGTAAACAAGGATTTAAGGGTGAGGAGTACTTTGGGCTTGAATGACAGCGTGGTCGTTAGTGGGAGTGACGATGGCATGGTGGTGGTGTGGGATGTCCTTGGTGGAACATGTTTGCATCGTTTCAAGCATGGTGATATGCGCGAGGTGGGAAGTGCATATGCGGGCCAGACGCCTCAGGCCAAGGGGAAAAAGGAGGTTGTGAGTGCAGTGGCATTTTGCCAGACGAGAAGAGAATGGTGTAGTGCAGGTGGTGATGGCAATGTAGTAGTTTGGGGCATGGGAAAAGGAGATCGAGCATGATTTGATTTGATCCTTAGCATGTAAAGCGTTTTCATTCATGATACCCGGAATTCAATCTCCCTCTTCCTTCCTCATAGAAACTTTTACCAAGACCAACCCGTTAGCCAGCCGAAACGCCCATCTAATGCATAGGAAATATATACTCATCCTTCCCCATTTCGTCTACTCTGACAACCTACTGCAACGCCCAGCCTATCTATCTCTTCCTAGCATTAACATTCTTCCCGCCCCCCACCCTAACCCTCCCACTTCCCCCCGCACTCCTCTCCCCCGTCAACAAGCCCGGCAAGAAATCCCCATCCATCCCATCCCTCACCCGCCTCCTCTTCTCCTCCACCATCTTCTTCTCGAACTCCTTCTGATCCTCTGCGAAAATCAGCTCTCTACCCCACCCACCCTTGCCCCCGCCCTGGCCATGCTTCCACTTGCCATTCGCCGTACCCGCAATGGGTTTCGGCACGCTGAAGCGATCGCCACGCTTGTTGTACTGGTAGTTGCGACTGAGGTGGATGGTGAAAGCGCCGTTTGCATTGGTGCTGCAGGAGACGCGGGTCAGAGAGGGTTGACCGCAGCGGGGGCAAAAGGTTTTGGCGGTGTCGTGGCAGATGAAGAAGCAGGCGTGGCAGCGGAGGACTTTGGTCTTTATCGTTTTGATGCGTTGGAGGTTGGTGGAGAGGAGGTGCAGGTTCATCTGTAGGAGCACGTTTTGCATGGCAAAGTCGATGGTCATGGTTGCCACGTCAGTTTGGGGGGTGGGGGTTGTGCGGAGGGAGGATGCGAGGATTGAGTCCTTGACTTGGTGGACCGGAAGGTTCGAGGGCGTTATCCAGTCGCCGTCGGAGTCATCCGAGGCGTGGTCACTGTGGGGTGGAGTGGGTTGTTGGGTGGTGATGGAGGAGGTCGCTCTAGGTGCGACGGGGAGCGGGTTTGCTGTGTTGTGAGCGGCGATTTCTTCCGCCGTGGCGATGTGCTCTGGTTCAGCTTCGGAGTCGGAGTCTGTGGCGTCGTAGACTTCTTCATAATCAGGTTCTGAGAATGGTTCTTCTGAGTGTTGTTCTGTGGCAGCGGGCTGTGCTTCTTTGACTGTGGGCTCAGAAATGGTGGTAGCCTCCAATTGCTCGGCCAGATTGTCTGCAGGAGCGTCTGTTGATTGTGGCTCGTTCGTGATATTCTCCGATAGGATAACCGTCTCTGAGTTAGCATTGACTGTATTCTCCATGTTGGCCTGTACGTCTGGTTGTTCAACTGTGTTCTGCTCCTTGAGGGTCTCCGGGACGATGGCAACGCCATCCTGCTTTCCAGTCGCCTCGGCAGCAGTACCATCACTGATAGACTGCTGATCCTGGACCTCTTGCGTCTTCGAATTTTGCGCAGCTTCATACTTGAACTTCACAGGCTTTGCCGCCCTAGCCTTCGTAGCGCGCTTACCCTTTGGCTGCTCCCAACCCTCGTCTTCCGCCGGTACTTCAGCCGCTTCTTCCTCCTCCTTCCCAGCGACCTTATTCCTCCTATTCCTCTTCTTCTTCTCTTTTGGTTCTTTTTCTTCCTCGGGCTCTTCTTCGCCCTCCCTTCTCTTGATCGGCCCCTTAGGTACAGCCCGCAGTCCATAATCACCACCATTCCTCTCACAGTGCACTTCGTACGCCAACGCCAGGATTCCCAAGTCCTGCCTACTTAGCACTGGGTAGTCACCCGTCTTCTTACTGAATGCTATGACGGCGTCATAGCTTGCAGGACTGGGGTTGCGGATCTTGAGGAACGGCACAAGTGTCGTTTGGACACGTGATCGAGTAGCTTCATCGCGAATTTCTGAGAGAATAGCTGGGGTGGTATAGAGTTCTTCTGCGGCGTTTATGATGGTAGATATTGAGACGGTATTCTTGATCAATGGGCCCGTATCCAGGATAAGTGAGTGGATGGGCTTCTTTCCAGCACCAGGAGTCGCCATGTTTGTGGATAGGGTATATGGATGTGAGTGTGATGCGTCGCAATTAATCATGCGATCCCGTTGCACTGGTGTTCTCTTGAATTTTCACTTGGAACGTGGCCACTAAAACTCCTAACAAATTTGCTTTCGAGCGTTTAGTGGTGGTCGCCGTTGGTCCTTTGATGGATTTTCCAGAAAATAATATTTCGCACTGGTGGCGGTGGGGTATTAGGCTAGTGTGCGCTGATTGGTCGGGTAACGTTATGGGAAAGCGTCACTGCTAGCCTCTAGGACGCCAGTACCATTACTTACTCCATGGAATAAAACCATGAGGTTAATTGTATCCATCTATCATCAATACAACCCAGTCGGGCATATTTTATATATCACAGTGTTCCATCATATGTGGCACTAAAATTCAGATTTTCTGTGCCGATGGGATATAGTCGGCAGGATACTGGTAGGTAGACGGCACGGCGGCGGCCTACCGGTACCGTACCGGTATGTCTGACAGGCTGGCCATTCTGCCTTGATCTTGATCTTGGCACTTCTTTCAGTCAACACGGATTGATATTGAACGTCTCATATAATATGCGTTTTCTCCACCTGTAAATCCTAGTGTCATTCGTACCTGCCAAGTGTCGAGGACACAGTAATATCACATTTAACAATTGCCGATCTCCGTATACCGATGACATTTCCTGTCCCGAGCCCCCACGCGGGGGCTTCGAGAAAGGCTGCCTTAATCTGACGAGATGGCGAGAATGGTGTGTCGTAAGAAGGCCTGAAGCTAGACTAAGCTAGACTATCACAGTCAATGTACCAACCGACCGACGAACAGGAGCCAAGGAAGTCGCCGATTATACCTCTGCACACGTGAGCCCTCCAGCTCGAACTTGTCGACCCGTATTTACGGAGTAAGCCGCATTCACGACGTCGTAAGCCCAAAGTCAAGTCCGCGTGAAGGCAGTCACACCGATACAATGGGTACATCCTTGCACCTGCCTACCACAGCGACAATGGGCTCCGTGGCAGATTAGCGAGATCCCATGCATTATGCGGCACTATCACAAATTATGAGACCTGGTGATCGGTTCTTATACGAACCAAGGTAGTTGGGGGCCTGGAGAGCGAGCATCGTAAGGGTAACCCTCTACGAAAGGGCGGAAGCCATAATTCTAGAGCTCCGGATCAGCAAATGAGCCACGGGGCAAAAATGGCAGGGCGTTTTCGAGCGTAAGAAGAGGTGTTGTACAAGTATGGCATCTTTCGTCTGCCTCTAAATCGGTGGTATAACGCCTGTTGCATTCGCCGAATTAGTATATCTTTCACTATGTCGCAAAAGACGTTTCTATCACAAGTTCAGTGGCTTATAAGTTCTTTCGGGAACAAGGTGAGCGGCTTCCTCTGTCCATACGAATAGATCGCTAATGCCATGTGGCTAGCTTTCACGGTATGTGTTTGGTAACAGTTGCCCGCCACCACTGTTACCAGAGACCGAGACGTATCCGAAACAGATTGACTATCGAGACGAGATTGTGGCTCGACTTTGTGGCCAAAAAGTCATTGTCCCCAACCTCGATTATCTCTATGGTGCTTGGAAAATTGTTGTTCACCCAGACACCAATGATCTTCGTGAGAACCTTGAGAACTGGTTCACAGAGTGGGTCTTGGTCGTCAAGCAATGGCTGGTGTGAGTTTGCTGATTCCGTTAGATATGTGCCCACACCAGCTCAGCGCAATAAGCAGCGCAAGGTGGACAATGCGCTTTGTACGGGCTACTTCTTCCCAGGGGTCTCAAGAGAAAAACTCTTCATTCTCGGCTCGCTGATTGCATTTGTAAGTCACGATACAAGGCGGTCTCGTGGTCTCACTGATGACTTTGCCAGTTCTTTTTCTGGGATGATGAGATTGATTGTGGCACCTTGACCAACGATCGAGTTAAGACGGAAGCGTACTGTGATGACAGCATCGCCTTCATCAGGCACCACATGCAGCCAGAGCGCAGTATCAAGCCCCCAGCTCCTGGTCGCATGCATAACTCTGGTGCGTTCGTTGAGATTGGGAAGGCCATGCAAGTCGGTTCAGACAAAGGTACCTTCTCTCGGTGCCTCAAATTTCAAAACAATGACTCATAATCTTGTCGCAGCATCGCGAGATCGATTCACTGACGCCGTGTGTGGCTTTATCTCTGCCGTTCGATTATCCCAAGGCCTTTGGCTAGAGGGATGTTCCACGTATGAGGACTACACAAAGCGTCGAATTGCCACAGTAGGAGTTAAGCCGCTGCTCATGGTCCTACAATGGTCCTACGGCCTCTCTCTTCCTCAGAGTATCTATGACCACGAGGCCACCAAAGCCATGTTTCGTGAAGTGTACATTGGTGTTTACCTCTACAACGACCTGGTTTCTCTGAAGAAAGAGGTCGTCGATGGAGACGTAGATTCTGCCATTCCTATCATGGTCTGGCAGGAGGGAATCACCGCTCAGGAGGCTGTAGACAGAGTTGTGAGGATGATCGAGACATCGTGGGAAGGCCTGTTGGCTGCTGAGCAGAAACTGCTCAAGGTTGCACAGACGGATCAGATGAGACGGGACATCCTGCAGCTTGTGGCGGGCTGCAAGGATATCGTGGTGGGGCATATGGCGTATACTCTTCGTGCCGCGAGATACATGGCGGATGCAACGCATGATAAGTTCAAAGCCCAAGGTGGTAGCTTCAAGGTCGTGCTTTAGACCGCGGTGCTAAAGGGAATAGTTTGAGCGCCGAGAAACATGCTGGAAGATCTTGTACGTACACATCGAAGCGTCATATGCATTCTGTATACTGCCGTACGTGCCGAACCATAGCGCGATTATGGCTGATAATTGTGGGGATCCGAAGGACTCGTCGATCGGAAAGGTTGTGGATACCTGGGAACTTGGTGTTATCGAGCACGTACGCTTTCTGGCATCTTCACGTTCTCCAGACTGCCTGGTAGAGGAAATTTCGTCGTCGTGCGAACCTTTTTCAGGCAACCATTCCACACGTTGCCGGCGCGTGTTGATTGGTTGGATGTCTGGCGGAAGTCACCGACAGGCGGGCCTTCCGTCTACCTAGCTCCCGCTGGCAAGTCTTGTATCTCACCTTCATCAACACCTCGTCTCCTTGTTCCATGCCATCTTCTCGCATCTCCACAGGTAATGTTGGCATCCCAGTCCTGATTGCAAGACTACTACAATGTAGAAGGCAAGCGATACGTCAACCAGAGCTCCGCATCACGCCTGCTGCTTGAACTACCCCTTAGCTGATCCCTAGCTGCGCGGGCAGGCGCCTCCATTGGCAACCATTTGACGCTTCATTGGGCCCACTCATCTACTATGGTATTTCGTCTGTACAGGGATTCCTGGCAGGCCTTGTCTCAGACGATTATCCCGTCCGTTATGGCTGTGAGGCGTGGGCGGGTCAGCATACTGTAGCCAGATGGTGTCCAATGGCAGAACGTGCTGATCAAGTTCCCACATGCCTGGCTTTTTCACCTGAGCCTGAGGTCTCTTTGTCCAGTGTCATCAGCTACAACCGCTGCCAAGTTCGGGTGTACGAGCAGCATGGAGGCCGATTTGCTTTTTTGGATGTGGCAGACGAATTGTCCATGTGCTTGTATGCCAGGGGCGCCGCCCCCAATTGTCGTGGACGGCCAATCTCCATCCATCACTGCAACATAAGGGCCTTCGCTGTCGCTCTGAGAAGCACATGTGATCATGGCAGATGAACATTGCGACGGCGAACTATGGGGCACAACACCCAGAGGCATCTTACTCTTCAAGGACCTCAACTTCTGTTGCGGTTTCCATGTGAGTCGCTGTCATCATTAGCATTCGATCGAGTCATGTCCTTACGCGATTTGATGATCAAAACTTACAGCGGAGCATGATGTTGAGCCCAGGTGGTACGGCGTGTGCTATTGGCCAATCATACCCGCCACCAGTGGTATCACGCCTGTCCTTATGCCATGAATTGAGATCAAGTGCAATCTTCCCGCTTGGCCATAGGCTCGGCGCCAGCAACAGCGAGGGATCCGTTGACTTCGGCTTCAGACAGTACATCGCCGAGCTTGGCCGCAGAGGAACAATGGAATCAGCCTTATCAGTGCGCCTGAGATGGGGAGATGGTAGCACTGGGCCGATGAGTGGAGGAGACTCTTGCAGGGAGAGCTTCGCCACGTTCAGTGGCCGGTCATCCCAACTCATGCTTGAGCCCGAGTAGTGTGCGCATAACCTTCGTCGTATCGAACAGCTTCGAAATGCCGTTTACAAGCTTGACCGGTGAGCCGCTTTCCACAGCACAACTTGCTCGTATAGGAGTTGACGAAGAACAATGGGCGACAAGGATGGATTTCCGGTGAAGAAGATTCATACAAAACTGCATGCCATCCCCTGATCAACAAGCCTGTAGCCGCGGCATGGTGCCAGACGGTATGATCCGACCCAGCCGGAGGGTATATCAGGAGAAGCGCCCAGGGCCTCAGCAATGCAATTTTTTATAGCTGTCTAGCCTTTTCAAGGACAAAAAAGCAGGCAACTGTAGGCAATCGTGCATGTGGCCCTACAACACGTTGCCCTGGTATTGCTGGTGTGTCAAAGTGCGTCAGCCGATCAGATGTCGAATATTTAACTCTTACAGACCCTCGCCTCGACAATACCAACTTTTTTTTTTCCATAGCAGGTCTGCAACTTACCACTTGGATTGAGCGGACCCGCCAGCTCTCGTCTCAGGAAGTCGCCAAGGAGCGGTCGCTTCGGATTGTCAAAGAATACGATAAGCGCCTGTGGAGAGCGATCACGACGCCAGTACTCAGCTTATAACTAACCCCTCTCGTATGGAGCAGAGCCGCATCACATTCTTACCGCCGGAGTCGGCGCATCTATATCCTGTCACAATGAACCATGCAGTCTCTGGGTTCGTCGCTTTGGCTCTCCTGGCCGAAACGACTGCCGCCCATCTAAATGGACAATAGCGCTCATGACGGTTGTACGATCAAGCCCGAAGGATCACATCACATCCACCAGATCGAGGAAGTCATTGCACGCGCTACGACACTCGTAGCACATTCCCATTACAACAGCATCCTTCAGTCATAGCAGTAGCCTTGCGCCACTCTTCGAACGGAACCATATCTCCGCATCCCCCCACCAGCTGCTGTTGATAACAGCAAGTCGGGAAGAGATCGCTCACTGGGCTGGCCAACACTCGTACATTTCTGGGCAGGCGCTATGCGGGTGCAAATGGTTGGTCGGATGACAAGGACCGCTTGCTTTTGCATGCAAGTTTATGACACTACAACAGGCGTCATCCATGGTTGCCCGCCACAATGCTTCTCTTCAATGGCACATGCCGCATGCAGTGGCCACCTGAGCCAATTTCTCCCGGCGTGGTTCCCGAAAAATTATGAGCTCCTCACTTCGATGATCGATATGCTACGAGATGCAAGACTCTCCGGTCAGTCCCTTCGCAATAAACAACGTATGTATTGTCGTGTGAACTAGTCAGTCTCAATATGTGTCGATATGCTAATATGAACTAGGGCTATCAATGGCATGACACAGATGGGACAAGGGAATTTCGCAAATATCCTATCGTGTGTCTTTCTGCAGCTGCACCTCGAGCAGGCTTTCCACACACCACCCCCGTACTGGAAGACGGCCGGCTTATCACAAGCCGGCTTGATATGTCACTCCCCACTTCAATTTACTGCCAACTCAGTCGGCTGACTATCAGCACGACATGCCGTACCTACGAGCAAGTGACAAGACAGCAGAGCCGCATGAGGGCTGCAAGATAAAGGATAGCTGATCTTGGGAACCGGGAGGTCTACAACCAACTAGGCTCTTGAACGGCACAATATCGCCAGATGCGATCGTCGAACCAGGTTTTGCTGCATAGATCTGCCTGACGAATGAGCTATGTCGGTGTGTCTTTCAGTCTCTCGGTACATGCGGCGTTCTGACAATTGTGACCCCGCAGCCCCCGTACATATTCCAGATCAACGAGATCAATCGAAATCCGCGCGCAAAATGTCGATACGACAACTTCGGGAGATGGATGCCTTCATATGAAGGATCCGGTCACGAAATCTATAACATTGGCGCTACAGGGAAGTACTGGTACTGCAACGGGTCCCTCATCTACGAGGTACCAGCTCTTCCCAGCGGATCCACAGTATATAGCACGTTCTCGCTGTACTACGGCGGAGGACACGGCTTCTGGGTCCTGAAGGGTAATGCCATAAGGCCGCCGAGACATGATGATTGGCACACACTCAAATTCGACCACTCCCCCGATGACTATTCCTCCTTCCTGACAAATGCCGGACAGCACGACACGTTGCGCTGTCAACGAGATGACCAGACATGGACGCAGATATTGCTCCCCGACATCTATCACACGACTTCCATCAGCCATCATCGGGACCATGGCGGCCTCATTGGCGAACTCCCGATTCTCCTGGGTCTCATGGCACACACCACTTCACGCGAGAATCTTCCCCTCGTTATCCCATGTCTATTTCGCAACGAGGCTTGGCAGGTGCATACCTATAGTCGATACCGGTGTCAGAGTATGCTTCCCCTACCGGCCATTCGAGCCGAAGCAAGGACTGACCAGTATAGGAATTGAAAACCGTGGCGTCATTGTCACTGTGTATACATGTCCGGATTCCTGGGCCGGAGGCTCCACAAACGCCGACATCCTTGCTTATGAAGAAGGTGAATTTGGAAAGTATTTTTCGTGATTTGCCCCCCGGTTTTTCGCTATTTGACTGCTGAAACCCCACTCTTCTTCCCCTTGCTTTGAAACACCGATGACTATACGTTTTTGTTTTGAAATTGGATTTTGACAGATTACCATTTCGACCCGATCTCATCATCTATGATATTTCTTCGACGACCCAATTACCATACGTATTTTTTCTTAGCTGTTCAAGGTCCTACGCCGCCTTTGCTCATGACACATCACGATATCTCTTCATTCAAGGCCGTGCCCTCCTGTTGTATCTCATTCACGACCCCGATGTAACGTGTTCAGCAAATTGTCCCATCTCTTACACAGGAACCGCAGATATATTTATAGTGTGGTATGAATACTCTGTTCGTTTTTTCTAAGCCATGAATAACCAAAAACGATACCGGGCATTCTACATGTCCTTCCTTGTTACGATGATAGTTCTAATATATACATATATATCGCAGACCGTGTCGTATCGCGTATCCAGCGTTTGAAAAGACACGCTGTGCCTTGGTGGCGTGTAGGAGACCATGCAGCAAACTGTCTGACCCCATGCAATCCAGCGCTTTGGCATAAGCAGGCTTCGACGCTGGTCTGCGGCGTTTCACGTGATGCAGTATTTGTGCTGTGGAGACGGGGTGACGGGTTGACACGCTGACCGTTGTGGAACATGTCGGGTTGTTCTTTTCTTCCGCCTTGTCATCGTCTGTCTTGTGCATGCTGGAAAATTGCCATCTGGCAAGCTGGTTGATGTTTCCTTGGCGATGGGAATTGGAGTTGGTGAAGGATGGGAGATGCTGGAAAGGAAAAAGTGCTAAGGAATGGTAGATGTAGAATGAGGGGAGTAATGTGAACTTATTGTTGAGATGTCGCGAGAAGGGTGAATCAGGGTTGTTTTTGTAGAATTTTGATGGAAAGGTAGATAGTACATAGAGTTGCAACTCTGATCCGTTCATCAGCACCAAGTTCTTTGGAACTCTCCCACCCCTCGTCACAGAAAATCATGACAGAAAAAGTCCTTGCATGGTCGTCACCGTGGCCATACCCACCCTCTTCCATGGACATTCTTCAGTCCCATCCCCAACGCAATCATCCCAGCTTTCCCCCAACATCTAGCCCAAAAACGTATAATACAAGCCCGTCACAACCGTCAACCCCACAACCCCCCACCCCGTCCGCGCAACCGTCGTATTCTTGAAGCCGATACCAGCATCCCAGAACAAATGCCTCACGCCATTCAAACTGTGGTAGAAGAAGGGAAACGCAAAAAAGGCCTTGGCGCCGACTTTGACGGCAGCAGGCCAAGCCGCAACGGCGGCCACCATGCTCGCCGTCTCGAGGTGCCAGCCCGTATAAGGGGCGGCAAGGTAGGCGATTCCGAAGAGGTAGAGGGAGCCGGAGAGTGCAATAGCGGTGACGCGGTTTAGCGCCGAGCCGTACCAGGTGATTTGGGGTTTGTAGATGCTGAGGTGGGGGGAGACGGGGCGGCGAGTGCGTTGTTTGGCGAGCAGGGCGGCGGCATCGTTGTGCGAGGTGTTGTGGGTTGCTGCGAGTCTATTGGGGGGGCATTGAGTGATTAGCATTAGTTGGAGGGTTTATTGGGGAAGGGTGGGTGGTGTTGCGTGTGTGTAGGAGGGAGTGTGACGTGATGGGTAGCATACCTCCTCTGAGCAACACTGCGCACGCTTATTCCCGGCACGGCGGCGCGGCGCAGGCCGAGTTGGAATATGCGCTGAGAAGCCATTGCTGGTGAATGGTCGCAATCGCGGGGGTGTGGGGAGAGTGAGCACCGACAGTGGTGGTGGTGGTTTTGTTGGTAGTGGTAATGGTGATGTTCGACTATGGTGATTCAAACTCGCTTTCCGCCAAGCCCTTTCTATTCATTCCGAATCCCGAGGTCGGCCATGAGCCAATCACATGTCTATCCTTACAAAGCCACATCGACCCGCCTGTCTGGACCAATTAAAGCGAAGCTTGGACGCTGCTTAGTCACGTCTCGATTCCCCTCGCACCCGTCAAATTCTCGCGCGTCAAGACTGGGCGGCTGCTTTTCTCTTCTCTCTTTCACGAACCTCGATGTTGCTGCCGATGAGCGCCTGCATTTTTTTTGGTGCAAAGCGCGCTGACTCGTTTGGGCAATGCGTCCTGTTTGTCTGCTGGCGTTATGTCAGTGGACTGGGATATCGTGAGGGATCCGAGAGGGAAATAATGGCCAGTATTAATCGCTCGTTTGTCTGTGTTTTGTTGTGGCTGCACGAGTTTCATATCAAGGCTACATTACTTTTTTTTGTTTGGTGCATGTTGCATATTGCATGTGACTTTGCTAGATACATGTCTGTTACAATTATGGCTTTGGATGCTGGATGTTGGGCGCTGCCTTGATAAAGCTCAAAAGGCTTGATGGGTGCTCATTGTGGCCTCTTGTTTTGAGGCTTGGATGTTGTAACATGAGCGACGTCTCACGACACCCAGGGAGATGTCCACACGTCACGTCATCAAGTAAAGTCTCTAGATTATCAGAACTCGTTCGCAATTGAACGCGATGATTAGCACAGTGATTGCATGCCGAATGTCGTGGTGCAAAACTTTTTCTTCCACCTCGAGCGACCTTGTCCCTTCCACATCTCCCATCGCCAAACCTTGACCCTCAGCCCATAACAACGCGTGCCAGCTCGTGGATCCTGAACATGACGTCTCTCACTCCAAGCTACAGCACTGACACTGGGATTTCACCAAACCCCTACATCTACCGCATCATCTCAACCGCACCTCGACAAGACGGTCTACTCTTTTCGCCAACCGACCAATTAGCATACATTACCTCATCGGACAGCCTACACTTCACCACTGCCAACTTGACATCAGATGGTCATGTCCAGCGGGTGCATGAAAGCGTCACCTGTCTCGAACGGGCGAATGACGTGTCCAGCAATGTAGTCATCACAGCAGGAAGAGATGGATTCATCCGGTTTTGGGACAAGCGCAGCAAAACCAAAGCCCTCGAGATGCAATCACCACATAAGCTCATCTCATCAATCGTGTGCGACGCAGCCAACCATTTCGTGGCAGCTGGGATCGAAAATCCGGAAGATGGCCCTCAAAGCTCTCCCATCTACGTCTGGGACCAACGGAATCATGCAGCACCAATACGGTCTTACGTCGAATCACACACAGACACCGTTACTTCACTACAACTACATCCTGCGCATCCGACCCTCCTTCTCTCTTCTAGTACGGATGGCTTGATCAACATTTTCGACACTTCTATTGCGGAAGAAGATGACGCGCTGTATCAAGTCATCAACCACGGCTCTGCTACCGCGCACGCAGGCTTCATGTACCCGAGCACAGACATGTATGCACTCGGTACTGATGAGACTGTGAGCTTCTACGCTCTGCAGAGTCAGAAGGAGGAGGAAGAAGAGCCAAGTCCAAAGGTCTTGGGCGATGTAAGGGAGGCACTAGGATGCGAGTATCTGGTAGACATGCACTGGATGGGTAGGCAGCCCTATGTCGCAGCTGGCAAGCATAGGTATGATGTAGTTGATTTCCATGGGACGTAAAGAAGAGCTGATGGTGTGACAGTGAGCAAAAACTCGACCTCATACCCATCACCAAGGGCGACAATGGACCGCTGGACTACAGCTTCAACCTCCAAGGCAAGATGCAACTGCCCAACGCACACGGTGAGGAGATTGTTCGTGATTTATTCACAGATACACACGTAAGTGAGACATTCGCCCTGAATAATAATTTTGAAGACCATCATTGCAGATTCTCACTAACGCCATGACTTAGACACATACGACCTATACATGTGGCGAGGATGGCTCTGTTCGTGCTTGGAAGGCTTCAGAAGATGAGGATATGGAGGTCGCTGATGACGAGACTGAGCCCACGAGGAAGGCCAAGGACAAGGATCGAAAGGAGAAACGGAAGGAGAAGAAGAAGGAGAAGGAGAAGGCGAGGTTCAAGCCGTACTGAGCATGGCACGAAGAAGATGGTCTTGATGAATTGCTTGTAGCCTACTACCTACCCAATGGAGTCGCCATCGCGCTAATTGAGTGACACGTGAATTCGCGTCGCGGCTAATTGGCGCGCCGTTCTTCGGCTGAAGCCGCGTGAGACAAACGACTGGGGTGCCACTCAACACCAAAGTCTGGAGAGGGGTTTGAGCGAAATAAGCAATTGCTATGGCAGAATCGCAGCTGTCTACTGTGCTTGGAGAGTCGTTCTATAATGTAAGTTGTCAACTTGGTCGCACTCCAACAATCCCCCCCAATTCGGACGCACAGACAAGAAACCCTGTGCCGATCATGATGCCTCGTCTCCGCTCACGCAAGCCACGGCCTCAGGACCCATCTCAACTATCGCAAGCTCTCCAGGAACGAAGTCTGGGCAGTGAACAAGGCCTGCACTTCACCACCTCGTCTGAGAGCCACGGCTGCTCAGGCATCATCATTGCTGCGGACCCGACAGGGACCCCCGCGGTCCTGCAGCCTCTAGAAAAGGCCACCACAGCCCTGCAGACAATACCATTCGTGGTACCGGTCGTCGCGCTTCCCCGACCCGATCACGCTCCTCCTCTTGCCCCTCTTCCTTCATCACGACGAGCGGCTGCGACGAGAAATGTCAAGCCCACCCTCGCCAAGCACAACAGCGCGCCCACCAGCACAACATTCACCCCCCAATTCGCAGGCGTCCTGAAAATGCATCATTCCTTCGGCGCCACGATGGATGCGCCCGGCGACACGCAGCCCGACAGCCAAATGCACAAGCAATGGACGAGTGGCGCGCTCTCATCGGTCCTGGGGCGGGAGAATCAGATGCCGCCTCCCAAGTCCTTGTTTCTCGAGCATGACGACGACGAGGACAACGAAAACGACGTGGCCAGCGATGACCTCGAGGTGGTCGAGTCCAGTCAAGATCACCACGATGCAAACATCACGAGCCCCACCGTCATCGATGTCGAAGACGATCAGGGCGAATCGGCGCAGGATAGCGTAGCGCAAACCAGCCCCTTCAAGTTCGACACACCTGCATTGGCCGGCAGAAAGAGGGACAGCTCAGGCCAGCTCATGAGCTCTGCGGCACGTACAAACACCACGACGCCTGGCACAGTGGCGTCCGCCTCAGCCTTTGGTACCACTTTTGGCACTGTGGCTTTCTCAGGAGGTCCTGCCATGTCTCTCACGCAGATATGGAATAATACGCAGGCGCCTACCTCTCCGGTTGCAGGTGGGGCAAGTGAGGATGTCGTCTTCACACGGCCTTCGCCAAATTTCACAAATGTACGGCATTCGAGTCCAGGCCCAGCCTACTCTAGTCCCATCAAAGGCCTGCGCCTTGACACTCCAGCGTCTGAACCAATTTTACGCTCGTCGAGCGAGCCGCGCACAGAATACGTCACCATGAAGCAGTCGCAAGAGAAGCGCAGGGGATCCAATGGAGAGGAGATAACCATAATTCCTCCACAAGACAGTTGGGAGGATCTTTCGCGGCAAATGCAGCAGAGGATGGCTAGGAAACAACTTCATCAGCAAGCAGCCAAGTCACTTTCACACATCTCAGCCCCATCAACAGTGTCAAGAACACCAAGAAAGCCAAAGGTGAATGCAGACTGCTCTTCTCCAGACCAATCGCAAATCTCGCGCACTGTGATTGGCAGCGATCTATGTGATGTCGACGATGACTCCATGAACCGACTTTCACCTCCAGAGGCGTTGGATTCACACAGTAGCAATCACCAGCGCGACGGACTAACCACTGCACGGGCCACTGCAGCTCACAATAGCAATGACAATAGGGTACAAGTGCCCAAGACTTCCTCACATCCACATCGTACTCCCTCTGGTCCAGCTTCTCGCAACTCTTCACAGCAACCAACACTATCTTCACAACCTCAGCGAGAATCTCGACTACAAGCACCCGCATCACCGTCAATACCGCAGGCTGCCTTTCGGCCACGGAGTACAGCAGATTCCATCGCCATTATGGATTCGCAACCTGATGTCCTTGCCGATTTCGACAGTGTACCACCGCCCAAGCAGCTACGTTTCCCGTCGTCACCATCACAGAACCAGTATAGTATTCACCGAACCACAATGGCGACTAAGACTGGTTACACAAGCCAGGTCATCTCATCGTCAATACCACCCATGCCTCCAAAGTCGAGTCCGGACGAGGTGGTCGCAGATAACGAGGAAGTGATCACAGCAGAAGATGGGCGTGTGCCCAGCAGCCCACCAATGATGGCACATGATGACGATCTCGTGTATGATGAACATGGTTACGATGAGTATGCCGAAGGTATTGTGGATGGAGAAGCTGATGAGCCTGTCCTTGGTGGCAGTGATGGAGACAATGACGATATCCTCATGCAAGACGAAGATGATCTGCCTGTTATCAAAGAGGAGCTGGAAAAGGCAATGGAAGATGCTAAAGAAGATGAGAGTGAGGAAGAAATGGATCTAGTGCAGCCTCTGAAGGTGGATCTAGGGACTGACCAAGAGGTATCTGAAACATTGGAAGAGGAGGACAAGGCGGAGGAGACACGTCAGGGAGCCTTGCGTGACCAGACGATATCGGGCAGCCAAGATGACCAGGAAGCGCCTCGGCTGGTACGCCAGGATACCATACCTGAGACCGATGCGCTAGACGAGACACAGCCTTCGGCCTTTGTAAACAACATGGCTTTGGACTCTCATGAGAACTGCAACGACTTGCCCAATCACTCCAATAGCACCGAACCTTTTCAGACTGCACAAGAAGAACAGTCCGATTACCAACATGATCCACAAAACCCTCACAGCCCCAAAAAGGCTAGCAGTCTCATCGTGGAGGCGGGCAAGCGCATTCGCTCGATCGACGACATCTACAACCTCCCAGAGACTCAGCAGTCAGCTTGTGCAGATGACTTGGAGATTCCACGACTAAGTGGTCTCGACGACGAAGAGGAAGGATCAACGATGCTGCTATCCTCACCTGCGCGACCATTGAAGAAGCGCAAGACAACTTACAAGACAAAGCGCAGTGTGTTTCGCAGTCCAGCAAAGCCGGCAAGCAGTGTTTTGTCCGAACCACCAGTTTCCTCTCCACCTAGATCAAGTGTGCCGGTACCAATAGCTGATACGCCCCCTACTGCATCCGGACAACTGAGAGAAGAACGCGGCGCGAATGCTGCTGCTCAGGCCCGAGAAGATGCCCAAGCTCTGTACTCGAGGCCAGCAACCCTCAAGGCCGAAACTCTGCCGAGGTCATCGAAGCTGCAAGCTGCTAGAGAGGGTGCTCTGAAACCAGTCTCTAGGAGCCTGTTGCAAAGCATGTCGTCGCCGGGAAATTCACCTTCTAAATCGAAAGCGTTTGTGATGGGCCGACAGAAGACATCGGTGACACCATCTAAGCCCCCAGCGACCGTGAATGACAAGCAGGGAGACCTTGAAATTCCTGATGTAGAGCACTCGCCAGATGAGCTTGGTAGGAGCACTCCACTAGCTGTGCCTCTTGAACGACTATTGGAACGCCTGTCGCAGGAGTCGGTACTACCTCTAGGCGAGGTGCTTGTTCCGAATCGAGTTTTTGCCTCATGGCCCGGCAGCCATTACTATCCTGCTACTTGCATCGGCCGGACTGCCTCGCGCCAGCTTCGTATTCGTTACGATGACGGTAACACCACAGCCATGGATGCGATGCATGTTAGATCACTGGACCTTCGTGCAGGAGATCATGTAAAAGTTGATGAACCTGGAATGAAGAAGCATACTTATGTGGTTGTGGGCTTCAAAGACAAGATTGACGACCTTGGTGGTGAGCAGTTTCCTGCCACGGACCGTTACGGACATGCCACGATTGTCTTGGAAGAAAAGCGAAGGGACAGCATACCAGCGGCAAAGGCAGCTCAGCCTACAGAACAGATTTCAGTGCCCATGGCCAGTGTTTATCTGACTACTGGACTCTGGAGCCGGATTCGTGACAGGAAGTTCAATTTCTCGCCGCCTGCTTCGCCAGCTAAATCTTCTCACATCGGCACGCCTGTCACTGAGGCGATGATGACGCCTTCATTCACACGTAGGGGTACTGCGATACCTTCGTTCTTAAAGAGTGTGACTGCTCGGGCTGCGTCTGTCGCTTCAACAACTCGTTCTGGAAGTGCAGTATTTGCCAACATGGCTTTTGTGCTGACATCCACTGCGGATGACTTTGACAAGGATTCACTCACAAAGACAATCAAGTCGAACGGGGGCATGGTCCTCGAGCAAGGCTTTCATGAGCTTTTCGACTACGAGTCGACCGATGCAACATCGTCGTCCCAAAGCCGACATCGATCTGCATCATTTCCCCCAGGCAATGTCGGACTCACCCTCAAGCCCGCATACAAAGACCTCGGGTTCGTAGCTCTCATCTCGGACTCGCATTCGCGCAGCACAAAGTACATCCAAGCACTCGCGCTCAACGTGCCCTGTCTCCACCTCCGCTGGATTCAGGATTCGCTGACGGCAGCCCGGGCCCTCCTTTTTGCAAAATACCTCCTACCCGCCGGCGTATCCAAGTTCCTCGACCCACAGGGCGTGGTCCGCTCCCGTACCATGGCCTGCTACGACCCGGCCGCCGAAGACTTGACCTTTTCCACCACCCTCCAAGACCGGCCCCTCCTTCTGCACAACCAAACCGTGCTCCTCGTGACGGGCAGGTCCAAACGCGAAATGGAAAAACGCCAGCCGTTTGTGTTTTTGACGCATGCCCTCGGCTCCGCTCGTGTTGGGCGGTGTGCCGATCTCGCGGATGCGAGTGAGATGCTGGCTCATGCCCGTTGGGACTGGGTGTACGTTGATCATAATGAAAGTAGCGTGCTGGATGCTGCGGCGCAGTTGTCTGGGACGCAGGTTCTTGGGTCGACGGGCGTGGTGGCTGAGGGTAGGGGGAAGAAGGGCGGTGGTGCTGGTGGTGCTGGTGGGAGGAAGAGGAAGAGGGATAGGGAGGATGCGGAGGAGAGGGAGGAACTTTTGGTTAGAGTGCAGGTTGGGGCTCAGAGCGTGCGCGTGACGTGTTCTGAGTTTGTGATTCAGAGTTTGATTCTTGGGGCGTTGGTGGAGGAGTAGATACGGTGGGTTGGAATGGTTGGGATGGTTGGGATGGGTGTTTGGATGGGTGTTGGGAGTTTGGATGGGAATTTGGATGGGAATTTGGATGGGAATTTGGATGGGAACTTGGATGGGTGTTGAGGGCTTGCATGGTTTGCATGGTCTGGATATGGATTGGGCGTTGAATGTGAAATCTTTTCATGGGGTTTATATGGGTTGTTGTTTTTTTCTGTACTTTGCGGAGCCATGTATACACCACACTTCTCACCGCACAGCCCACCCTTCCCCTCCAAAAAAAAACCCCCTCAAATCATAACATATCAAATCATATCATATATCACATCGCACCACACCGCATCACATATCCCTACTCCACACATTTACATTTCCTCGCTCCCACATCACATTTGGCAAAAATCCGCCCTTTGGCCCCGCACTAACTTTGTTCTCCTCGCTTTTTGCTTCATCGGGCTTGGATTGGAGTTTGCAATGCGACATGTGGTGGTGCTTCGGGTGTGCAGATGGTGAGGAGGAGGGGGATGGATGGAATGTGCAATCTTGACAGACGATGATGATGATGCGCACGTGTACCTAGCCCGTATCCGTTGTATCCGTCCTAGCCATACCGGTATTCCCAGCCGCACCGGAGTTCCCCCAGCCCCCCACATTCGGCACGCGCCGGATGCGCACGTGTGATTGGGCGGGACGCGGAGGCGGCGGAGGGAGGGCTGACGTCTACATGCAAACATGCATAGTATACATACATAGGTACATGCGTACGTCTGGTCTTTGCGGTATTCATCTGTTTATTCAATCGACGCTTTTGGAGCTGCAATATTGATTTGTGGGATTTGTAGCGTACGGGTTACGGGTCACATGAGACAGGGATAAGAACTTTGAAGGAAGAATAGGGACTGGGAATTGGAGATTGAGCAAGAGAAGAGGAGATTGAGGATAGGAGAAGAGAAAGAGGAGAGCGAGTTGAGAGTGAAGAAAGAGAAGCGGGGATTAAGAACTGAGAAAGAAAAAGATACAATGCGTACGCACATACTAGCTACGGCGTTGTACTGGGGGGCTGCATGTCGAGCGGCAGCTGTGGGATTCGGAGAGCAAAGACAACCGCATTATTCGGATGCGCTACAGAATATACTCAAGGGGACTGTGGGCGAGGGAGATCGGTACAAGTATCCTACGGATTTTACGAGGGGGATTGTTCCGGTGAGTTTGCGTTTTTGGGTTCTGTTGCTTTGCAATTGGGGAAATAAGGGGCAAGGGGTCTTGTGTGGATTGGGCATGGGGTAGTGAAGGCAGAGATGGAAATGGTAATACTTGGAGGGTTGATAATTCAAGTCTCCAAGCAGGACCAGAAGAGCTTTGGAAACAAAACATCTCGATACATCCTCGACGATGCAAAGAAGCCTATCCACTAACCCAACCCCCAACAGAAACCATTCCACAGCCACAACGACTACTGGCGCGACGTACCCTTCTATACCGCCCTAAGCCACGGCAGCATCTCCACTGAAGCCGACGTCTGGCTCATCGACGGCACCCTCTACGTCGGCCACTCCCCTTCCGCCCTAACCCCCAGCCGCACCCTCGAATCCCTCTACATCCAGCCCATCATCTCCACCCTACACCGCCAAAACCCCCAAACACCATTCACCCAGCCCGGCGAGCAAAACGGCGTCTTCGACACCTCAGCCTCACAAACCCTCTACCTCTTCATCGATCTCAAGACCGCCGCCGACGAAACCTGGCCTGCCGTCCTCAAAGCCCTCGAACCCCTGCGCTCCGCAGACTGGCTCACCACCTTCAAAGACGGTAATCTCCGCCACAACCCCGTCACCGTCATCGGCACGGGAAACACCCAGCTGGCCGACGTGCTGGCCGCCGAGCCCCGCGATGTCTTCTTCGACGCGCCCCTCTCCCAACTCAACTCCTCGCAGTTTGCAAACCTCTCCGAGGCAGTGGCACCCATTGCGTCGACGAATTTCGCACGTGCGTTTGGCGCGGTGCGTAGGCGTGCGTTTAGCGAGGACCAGTTGGATGTGTTGAGGGCGCAGGTCAAGACGGCGCATGAGATGGGGATCATGGTGCGTTATTGGAATGCGCCCGAGTGGCCGCTGGGGACGCGCAATGCGGTTTGGAGGACGCTGTGGGATGAAGGGGTGGATTTGCTGAGTGTGGATGATGTCAAGGGCGCGGCGGAGTTTTGGGAGGGGAGTGGGTAGATTTCTGGGGTTGTGAGGGTGGAGGTGAGAATGGGGTGGTTTGTTTCTGTGGGATCTTGGACGATGGCGTGACGGTGTTGCGCGATGATGGTTTGCGGATGGAGGGAGGAAGGCCGTTTTAGTCATGGGATGAACGGAGTGTCATGTTGGTGGCTCTGAGCTACATGTAGTATACCTTGACCATAGTCGCTGTACATCTTCCACACCATCCCATCCCCATCTCCCTATCTGTGACTTGGCCACAGCAAGAATTATATGTGCTCAATCATCGCACAAGCCTCAAGGCATAGCGAAACCCACTTTCCTCCAAACTCTGCCATTCCCCGGCTTCCCACATCCCCCTCCTCCTCATTTACCTCATTTACACTCAAATCATTCCCCCCCATCCCTAGTGACCCTTATCACCAAGCTGGCCTTCCACCCCCAGGGACCCAAAGGAAATAGAAAATTGGCAGTGTCGCCTCCATTGTCTGCTTTCTCAACACTCATACACTCACTTTTTTTTTCCTCTCGACCACCCAAGTCTCTTCCTTGCTGTGATCCCCATTCCCGCATAATCTTCACACACTTTTGCCTCGACGAAAACACATGATGCCAAAGTACTACCCCAACACCAGCAGTTCATCAAAAGCAACGTTCGATTCTACAGTGAGGTTTCAAAGAGGGCAGCCCAAGTAATGAGTAGAATTTCAATACAATTCGCCAAATCACGTGACTGCGCGGAAAGCCGCATGAGCTAGTCAGTCAAGGCGCGTCACCATCTCAATTTTGAATTTGCTCCCAACTCCCCCCATCGATCTTTAATCGTTCCGTCAGGCGAGCAAGATGTCGCACTCGAACACAGCCGTGATGATTTTACGCATATGAGTTTCTCGAGTTTCTTTACATATTTTGCAATTTGGCACAGTTTGCGCAAGCTCTACATTTGACAACATCATGATTTTTTTCCAATGCCAACCCCCAAGACGCTTCTTACCCAATGTTTCGAAATTTCTACGAAAAAGGCGTCTTTCAATCGTTGACGGATCACATCTCAAACGATTTCACCAAATACCTTGTGCACGGAGTTCCAAATTGACATACAAGTTACATCCCTTTCTTACTCAGGGTGCAGTACGTAGCATTACAACGGAAAGCAGTGCGGCTACCAAGAGAGCATTCATCCCATCCGCCGAGCAACAGGCCATAGTAGAGTTGTGTCGTACACAGAACGTTGTGGTCTCAGCCCGTCCGGGCGCCGGAAAGACGGCCACGGCGGAGGCCATCGTTGCTGCGGATCCAAACAAGCCCGTAGTCATCATAACGTACTCCAAACGGCTGCAACTTGATACCGCTCGTCGATTATCCGCATATCCCGGGAGTGGTACCTTCACGTTCCACGGACTGGCTCGCAAGTTTTTCTCTACCGACGTATTCAACGACGCTCTTTTGCGATCATTAAGGTTGAAGGGGAATATACCTGCTTGGACTGGTGACCCTTACGAGATAGTCATACTGGACGAACTCCAGGATTGTACCGACGATCTCTTCTGGTTGATCTGCGCCTTCATTTCAGCTGTAACGCAGGCAGCGGGTGGCAAGACTCCCCAGATCGTTGTACTTGGCGATGAACGACAAGCCATCTATGAGTTCAGAGGCGCCGACGCACGCTATTTAAGTCTTTCTTCCGCTGCTATGAGTTCTCTATCGCCTTATCCGTGGACTCACTTGGCTCTCAGCAAAAGCTTCAGATTAAGTCATCAAACTTGTGCGTTTGTGAACAACGTCTTTCTGGGCGGCGAGCAGTATATTGTCGGTTCGCACAATGGACCGAAGCCTTTGTACATATACGGGGACACATTTGATGTAAATAGCGTCAGCAAATACCTGCTTCCGCTGATTCGCAAATATGGTCCTGAGCGTACAGCCATCCTAGCACCTTTTGCCAAAAAGAACAAACAACTTGTCCAGCTAGCCAACTATTTGTCTGATAATGGTATACTGGTTGCAACGCCCCCCGCTGACGATGTACCGTTGGATGATAAGGTCTTGCAGGGCAAGGTCGCCGTGAGCACATATCATCAATTCAAAGGGAACGAGCGCGACTTGGTCATTGTTTACGGGGCTGACGCTGGATACTTTGAATTCCTCGGTCGAGACCTCCCGGACGATACGTGCCCGAATACGACATTCGTGGCCCTGACCCGCGCACGCGAACAGCTCGTCGTGGTGCATCATGAGCGAAACGGCCCCATGCCTTTTATGAATGTTGAGGAGCCTCACAAGACTGCCGACTTCATCAGTCTCAAAGGTGAAGAGTCGATGCCAGAACCGGTTCCTCCAGGCCGTCCGTTGCAATTAGGTCTGCTTCTCCCAGTCAGTGCCTACGCATCAGACATGTCTCGTCACATCCTCGATGAAGTGATTGAAAGCATATGTGCAAAACATCTCCAGATTCACCAAGTCCAGCCACGCCTTCCGGATAGCTTACATATCGATGCTCCATCGACAGTCGTCACAAACTCCATTAAGAAGCACCATGAGGCTGTCAGCGACTTGAACGGACTTGCCGTAGTTGCAGCGTACGAGCACGCCTTATTGGGTACTCTTACCACCCTTGCAGTAACGAAGAAATCGTCACTGCAACATTCTTTCCCACTTGGTACTGAAGCACAGGCTATATGGCTCTGTCGTGAAGCATGCAGATATGATGCGAAAGTCTCAGGGTACAGGTCCCGATATCTACAAATGAAGGGACATCCATTCAACTGGCTTGATGCTTTCCTCGATGCAGCTAGGACACGACTAGAAGCTCAATTCCCCAGAGCAGACATGCTGCAGTTTGAAGTCAAATTGGAAGAAGAGGAATTTCGTATGGCTAATCCCTTGGGAGGCGAAGACCAGACTACCTCTGTACGGGGACGGGCGGATATCATTCGTTATGAGAAAGCTCCAAGTACTTCGCTGCCGAGGCCGACGCGAAAGAAGAAAAAACGAGGTAAAGATGAAATAGATCTGGACTACGTCTCAATCTGGGAGATCAAGTTTGTTGCTCAGCTATCGCTCCAGCATGCAATACAGGCGTGCGTCTACGCCCATCTATGGATCCATAAGCACAATCGACCAATACCTCCGCGAATCATCTTATTCAATGTTCGCGATGGAGAGAAGTGGGAGATTGTACCCAGGGACGGTGTTGCAAGTCTACGAAGGGTGGTGGAGGAAACTCTGATTGCCAAGTACTCGACAAATGACATGCTGACAACGGACGAATTCTTGAAGAAATGCGCAAAGACCAAAGCAGAGGTTGAGAGAAGTTTTGGAAGGAAAGAGAGAGAGAGAGAGAGAGTAGGTGCTAATGTGTAGATTGATAGACATGAACCAAAGGAGCAACCCATCCACATCTTAGATCGCGGTCAGATTCGAGTGACTACCATGCATGATATGCATGATGTCAGACGCGCAGATTCGTATTGCCATTACGATCTTGGGCGATGGGTATTTCGCCGAGCCTGTTTGCGACGGCTGCCCACAGGCATGTCCACAGTATGCTCCGTGTACTATATATAAAGCATGCAAATGTCGACTACCGGTACTGCCAGTCTGAAGCCAGCACCAAGTCAGTGACAGGGCCAGGTAACCTATCCAAAGCCGCTGTGTGATGCATGTTTGTATCATCCAAAGCAGCATCTCAATGCGCCCTCCCCTCCCCCCTTCAGGAGACCTTCTTGGCTCATCCTTTATAATCGCCGGCGCGCACGCCTGGCCGCCAACGGGAGAGGCGGGTCAGCATCGACAAAGAGGCACTGCACCCCGCCATCAGCACAACTCTCCAAAGTTCAAACACAAAGCAGAGCAAGCGCGACGATTCGGCTGCATTGTCTCGATGTGGCCGCAAGGAAGCCGTCAATTGTCGCTCGTAATTACTCGGCCATCCTTCTCTTCCCTGCCAGTAGGTATTGCTGAGATCGTTCTGCCAGTGCGCACAGGCCCACCAAGCGCGCTCTGGTGTTTCATCCTCCTTTCACTCATTTTTGCCCTTGGCAGCAAGTTGCAACACCAGCAATGTGCCCCGTCACACTCCAAATGTCTTGTCTTGTTAGACAGCGATCGAGGTCCACCCACTGAGGCTGTGTTCGGCAGCGGCGAAGACAATGAACGCGTGTGCACATCGCCCGTCAGCCCTCCTCAAAGGCGCTCGCCCGCCAGTCGTTGGCGTTGTCGCCCCCTGACCAAGGCTGGGCGCGGCACTCTCAAATTCACGATCCATCTTGGCCTCTTGGTCCTCCGCCGAAGTGGCCATACTCCCAGCCTATGCCAACCTTCGTCGACTTGGCTTCAGACCGGCGATGGGGGTTGGCAGGTCCCACCGTGTTAGCATTCGGAGGCTCCCAAGAAATTAGGTTCTTCATATACGTTTCCTCCATCCCCGTTGTTGCGCAGTCTCTCAATGCCTTCCGCTTGATCATTCTCATCAGTGTACCTTTTTCCCTATCTACTTACCCGTCACTCGTTAAACCAGACAGTTTTTTGCGCTCTTCTACTTCTCTACTAATTCGTCTACTTTCGTTACCGTTGCAGCCATGAAGTCCGGTCTTGTGCTGTCTCTCCTGGCAGCAGCGATTGCTCCAGCTTTCGCCGGTGTCGTCCGTCGCCAGTCCAATGGAGATCTGGTCCCAGTTGAGGTTAGGGGCAACGCCTTCTTCGCGGGCGATGACCGATTTTACATGCGTGGTGTTGCCTACCAGCCAGGTACGCTGTCACGTCGAGGAAATATAGATAGACGGGAGTACTGACGCAATCTACAGGTGGTGCTGCAGACGCAAAGGATCCCCTCCTTGATCTTGAGGGTCTGAAGCGTGATGTTGAGAACTTCAAGACGCTCGGTATCAACACGATCCGTGTCTACACGGTCGACAACTCCCAGAATCACGACGAGGGCATGAAGATGCTTGCAGATGCCGGCATCTACCTGGCACTCGATGCCAATACCCCGGATTACTCGCTCAACCGTGAGACCGCTGCCACTCTTCACCGCTCCTACAACGACGTTTACCTCCAGAGCGTCTTCGCCACCATCGATGCCTTCGCCAAATACAGCAACCTTTTGCTCTTCTTCTCCGGTAACGAGGTCATCAACGAGAGGAACAACACCCACGCCGCTCCCTACATCAAGGCCGTCACCCGTGACATGAAGCAGTACATCGCCAACCGCCACGACCGCATCATCCCTGTCGGATACTCTGCTGCGGATGTGTCGGAGAACATTGAGCAGCAGGCACTTTACTTCAACTGCGGTGAGGACTCTGTCCGCTCTGACTTCTTTGCTTTCAACGACTACTCCTGGTGCGACCCGTCCTCGTTCACCGAATCTGGCTGGGACCGCAAGGTCGAGACCTACAAGGACTACAGCAAGCCCATCTTCCTGTCCGAATTCGGTTGCATCACCAACAGGCGTGACTGGGGTGAGATCGCTGCTCTCTACTCCGAGAACATGACCGCTGTCTACTCTGGTGGTCTCGTCTACGAGTACACTGTCGAGCCCAACGGTTACGGCCTGGTCGAGGTTGGCGACGACGGCAAGATTAGCCCCAACGGCGACTTTGACCGTCTCAAGGATGCTTACGAGGCCACTGCCAACCCCCGAGGCGACGGCGGCTTCAAGTCCACTGGCTCTGCTTCCGAGTGCCCTGCTCAGTCTGAAGACTGGGAGGTCGAAAGCACTGACCTCCCTGCCATGCCCCGTGGCGCGCAGAAGTTCATGGATGAGGGTGCTGGCACGGGTCCCGGTCTTGATGGCGATGGCTCTCACTTCGCCGGAGAGCCCAGTGAGGACACCGCTGAGCCTGGCTCTGGAAACCCCACTCGCACACCTACCCCTGGTGCTGCCAGCGGTAGCAACAGCAGTGGCGGCTCTTCTGCTGCCGCTAGCGTTGACATTCCTCTACGCTTCATGGGCATGGTCGCTGCGAGTGTTCTCTTTGGCGCTATGCTTGTATTTTAGAGGAACCGAGCCAGGCTCACCAAGCCAGTGGGCGAGTTTCGAGGATCCAAGCAGATGTTAGGAGTTGACATTTTTCATTTGTGGTTCTCAAGGCCTGCTCTGGCGTTGGCTCTGCAGCTATCCAGGTCCTTCTTATACCATGTCTATCATTGCCGGCGCAGGGCTTTCTTTTGATCTTGAGCTTGATGTAGGAATACATGCATGAACTTGATTGTGCGCACAATTTCTGTTATCCGTGTATCTGCCTCGTACTTGTGACTGTGCAAGGATGATTGACTGACCGTTTGGGAGATTTGGATGAATGCACCAACCGGTTAGCGTCATCTTGGGGGGTGGACCCTGGATCTCAGCGGCCGGCATAGAATGTTCCATGGTCGCTTGATATATTCTACTACAAAGTACACCACTCTTTTGCGGCGCGCGCTCTACTATCTTCCATCACTGTTAACTTTGTATATTTGCAATCTGAGAGTTATACTTCTCCTCATACCCTCCCCCGCAACACAACTTGTCTCCCCATCCATCAACGACCGGTACCGGTACCCCGCCATGGACCAAGCAGCCAAAGGTGATGCGGCGCTCAACGCGAACAAATATGACGAAGCTATTGAGCATTATACGAAAGCCCTCTCTTCGAACGCGACAGCCGTGAAGTACTACATCAATCGCTCTACAGCTTATCAACGATCTACCAAATATACCGAGGCTCTCAACGACGCTGAGACGGCCGTTGTTCTCGCGCACAAGCGTGCTGTTCGCGAACTTATCAAGGACTCACAGTTCAGACGCGCTGTGGCACTCTACCATCTTGGCCAATACGCAGATGCTCAGTTTGTCCTGGATATAGTGAAGGAACTCGACGAAAAAGACAAGATGCTTCCAATTTGGAGCACAAAGCTGGCAGCGAAGCTTAAGGACTTGTCTCCAGAAGACCTTGCAGCCAAGGTCACAGTCAAGAAGGTGCCGGAAGTAGAGATACCCAGCGCTACCCAAGCCTCCAAGCCAGCACCATCGACGAATACGACAAAGACGGAAGCACCAGCGGATACGCCCAAACCCGTCGTGCCTACACCAATCAACAAGATCAAGTATGACTGGTACCAGAACAACGAGAGTGTGACTATCAACATTCTTGCCAAAGGTGTACCCAAAGAGTCAACCACGGTTGAGATGGAAAAAGACTCCCTATTCGTCTCCTTCCCCGTCAGCGGCTCCTCGTCAGACTACAGCTATACCGCCGACCCCCTCTATGCCTCCATCGACCCCACACAATCAACCTACCGCGTCACGCCCAACAAAGTCGAAATCACCCTGCGCAAAGCAAGCCCCAGCACAAAATGGCGCACCCTAGAATCCGACCGCGAAATCGTCCCAGACGAAACGAGCAATCAATCCCCACTACAGTCACACATACTCTCCGACAAAACCAACCAGTCATCCTCTGCCCCCGCATACCCTACATCCTCCAAGTCGGGCCCCAAGAACTGGGATACAGTGGTGCAAGCAGATCTCGACGACAAAGACGAGATTGAGGGTGATGAGACGTCTGCCTTCTTCAAGAAGTTGTATGCGGGGGCCTCGGAGGAACAGCAGAGGGCTATGATGAAGAGTTATTCAGAGAGTGGCGGCACAGTGCTGAGTACGGATTGGAATGATGTGGGGAAAAAGACGGTGGTGCCGGAGCCGCCCGAGGGTATGGAGGCGAAGAAGTACTAGAGAATGGGGGATTTATATCCTCCTAGAGCAAAGGAAGTCATGCATGGTAAGCATGGACGGGTATGTGATTACGATGGTATGATACGGAGATGCGTAGGTTAGCTGTGTGGCTAATGCTTCTTCGTCATGAGCACCCGTGTTATACCCCAGATCTATATAAGCAGCATTATACATTTACATAGCATGGAGTTTGGGCGCGTCTGTGTATGGGTTATACACATACAAGAGGTCGAATCGAACACCAAACACTCGACCTCATATCACCTTTCCCTCGCCCCATCCATCCAACCTCCATTATCCCCCATGCGCCAAAAATCCAGTTCCTCACCGCCCCCTCCACTCCACCACCACACCCAGAATGCAAGGGCGAACTTCCAAACACCGCAAAACTCTCATGGTGCAACAGAGCGCATGGGTTTGGTGTAACGTGTAACGTGCAGCATGCAACGTGTTTGTTTATCGATATGCATGGTGGGTGGGGTTTGCTTGCCGTTTGCATGTATATGCATGTGTACCTACATCTGTCGTGCATGTCTGCATGCAGGGGTTTTTTTTTTCAGCCGGTGGGGATGGGTGGCTGGGGGGATTGCTGCAGGTTGTGCTACTGTTTGCTGGGGTAGGGTGGTTTCGGGGTGAATGGGTTGGCGGCGTAGGACGTGGTGGATGGTGAAGCACAATGGGAGGTGAGTATATTGTTAAAGGTGTAGAAGCGGTGCCACTGGCCTGAAGGTCAAAGAGCAACGTGAAATACTATACTTGCGCTACCAGAGGTCTCTATTGTCCATGTGCATGGACTGTCCTCGCACATTGGGCCATGTTTATCGATGGAGAAACAGTGGAGTGACGTTGTGGCACATTTTGTCTTTGCAATGTCGATCTATTCGCATTTTGCTTGCTTCTTTTTCGTCTAGGGTTGCATGGCTATACGGCTTCTATTTTAGCGACAATGGCAATGTTCATCCGTCCCGGTGGTGTTAAACTTCACGCTGTGGTGGCACGGATCTTATGATGACTTGGAGTGGCTGGTCACGTGCGAGGCGTGCTTGAGTAACGGTAGGGGGGTGCACTACTACTCCTACTGGTGGCACACACACACACACACACACAACGCATGACGCTTTCCTCATGTCCGATTGCACCGGTGTTGAGATTTGCTCATTCGGTTTCTTCCCATCTCGACGCTCTACCTACCTCTATAGTCCTTCACCGCAAGCCCCGGCTATAACGGCGTAATCGCCTCGGAGAAGACGAGGTCGAAAATGGGGCCTTGAATAGATAGATGGGTCTAGGCGCGGCGCGGCGGACGGTGAGAGCAGTGTGATCTGTGTCGCATAGCACCGGAGCCATAGGAAGTGCACGAAGCAAGCAGCTGAAATACATTCAGTATGGTCAGGGGTGAGCGGGGGGGGGGCAAATCTAAAAGAGAGCTATCGTTGTTGTCGCCTCCGCCTTTGCTCCCTGACCCCTACGACCTTCAGCTATAAAGTCGCCACTCGCAGCTATGTATCGTTCCTGTGTGACTTGTCCCTCTCCACGACAGCAGCAGTGGACATGAGGCTGGCCATGGTGTTCGCATACCAACATTGCAACCGGTTATTGTCGGTGGCGCCATGGAGACAGGCTATCAAGTATGTAGCCAAGCTCACATCAGCGCCGTGGAGAGCACTACCGCAGGTACAGCCGCGTACAAAGTTATCGACAGGTAGGCTTTGCAAGCTTGACTGCCCACTATCGTTGCTAATTTCGCTGCTCGCACGAGGGGTCAGCACAGGGGTAGGCCACTGGCGCTTAGCAGTTGACAGTAGAGTAAATTAGTCTTACTAGGTACTATAGTTGGTAAGGTACGTGCCGTAAGGATAACCCCTGTGACTTGCAGGAAATCAAGCCGAGAGGATTTTTAAAAAGCTTTGTATATTTGTACCGTGGTATCAAATCGTGTGATGATTCCCACGTAATCCAACTCATCCAACGTAATATGCGCATACATAGGATACTGTGCACAAGATACTGTTTGTTCAAAGTATAATTTCATGCCCAGAGTCTATATAAGTCGTATCAGTATGCAATCAAGAAAATACAAGCTTAGATCGCATCCTTTGCCAAGTTTCCTACACTATACACGAAGTCCTATACCTTTCCAGCCCAGCCAACATGAAATCAACCGCCAGCTTCGTGCTCCTCTGCCTTTCTGCCGCTTGCAGTGCGCAGATGAGAAACCCGAAGGACCGAAGGGGGGTATGTTCACCCTCTCCCTTTTCACCAACCCGACGTGGAGGAAAGACTGACACAGGGTAGCTCTGTAGGGTGGAAGACCCCAAAGACCCTGAAATCCCCCAGGGAGGCTATTGTCAATACGAGTGGATAGAAATCGATGGCTCTGAAATGTCGGAGAGAAACTACTGCGGCACCGTGAGTATCTTACGTAGGCTTGGGTGACATACCTAGAGACCTAAATCGTACACGGAGGAGGATGCTAACAGAAGCAGAACCATCCGTGTCCACAGGACTATTGGCCTTGTTATATGATGGATTATGGCAGGGCGTTTTGTGAATCGGGGATAGATAACGGTCCTAGACCTGCAACCAATGACATTGTACCTGCAGACAAAGGCACTGCACCTACCTGTATAGCTTTCTTACCGTGCAGCGTGATGAGGAGCCTTCGCTCAGGACCTATATTCTGCTGCCATTTGTACATTCGTAAACGTGATAGAGTAATACTATTTCGGCTTTCTCTCCTCGCGATCCATTGCATGCTGTTACAGCCAGATATACGTATATGCTCCCAGGTCTTTTTCCTGCTGCACACTTGTACATAGTGACTATAGTGCTATTGTGTGTGCCTTGGTATGGACTACATACAATGGTATGTAGGTAGACTCGTTAGACTCGTTAGTTTGCATCCTTAGTCTGATGGTCTCCGTATTAGCGCCGATGGACGAAGTTGTTATAGAACAGAAGATGATGACGATAAATTACAGATTGGTCCGGTCAAACTCGGTATAATACGGCAACTGGCAGGGATGCAACCCGACGTACCGTACCTGCATTGGCGCATACACTTTTCTCTTGGGTTCTGTGCATCCCAGCCATCTCTGGTTGAGCGTGTGCCATAGGACTTGCCATGCTGGCCATGCTGGGGATCGGTGTGCTGGTGGGATTGTGGCACGGCAAAGAAGAAGCAAATCGGATAGGTTGCAGGATGCTGTGTGAAGGTCACCTAGGCGGACCGCTGCGTTTGCCATGCCACTGAGTGCGCCTTGGGATGTTGGCGTAATTTGCTGGTACGGTCCGGCGGGTTGCACTAGGAGCAAGAGGACATGAGCTGGTGTTGTCTTGCTCACCGACTCACTGTTGACGAGAGGAGGAGATTGGGTACCTAGACTGCTTGGAGCATGGAGAACGGGGGGAAGATGTGCACCAAACACCAAAAGGAGACCAACGAGCCAAAGGCAGGCGACGGCCAACCAACACAAGCTTCTCTGCATCATCGATCACGCCGTGCGGAGCGATGACGCTCGGCGGCCATAACCGACGCCGCGTTCCATTGCGATGCGCCATTTTGAGTGGACCATGTGGTGTCTTTGGCAGCCAAAAGCGTAGAGTCGACGGTATGCTGGAGATTGCGATGCGGCAGACGCACGGGGCTGTCCACTCCACCTCCACTGGCCAGCCAGACAGCGCGCGGCAGAGAGGCTCGACAGCCGAAGCAGAGGAACGGGGATTGCGCAAAGAGGACGAGACGAGCAGAGAGGCAGGATTCAGTCGTCCGCGAAGAGGAGGGCCAAAGCCTCGACAGAGTCATCACAGAGACGACCAGACTGCGCGCGCGCAGAGAACGTCCAAAAGTCAACGGCTGCCGACAAAGGGACAGGGAGGCAAAGATCAGCCTGTATCCCTTGCTCCCTCACTCGCCCCCGTCTTCATCTTACCATTTCCCGTTCGAGCGGCTGGCTGCACCGCACAGCTGCCACCGCACGGCCGAACAGGAGGCGGGAAACAAGGGCCTCCCATGCCCCTGGGGCTCGTCCATGGTTTCACCTCTACCGATTCGAGCATTCCTTCATCTCCCTGAAAAGCATACCCTTTGGGGCCCTGGTGATAATCGCCCAGTTCCCCCTCCCTCTCTTTGCCCTTCCTTTTGGTCCCCGCCCTTGCTCGTGTATACATGTCATTCCTTTTACATTGATTGAATCGTCGCTCGTTTGCACCACCATCACCACCACCACCACCATCACCACCATCACCGTTCGTTATCGATTGCCCCCGTTGCTTACCGCAACTTCACCCTCCTTTTCCGTGTACACTGATTCAGGCGGAAAGAGGCCTGGAGGCTGGGAAATTACAAGTCCACTCTCAAATCCGATTGAAACCCTCGGCTGCCCAGTCGACTTTTCACACCGAGCAAAAGAAAGGATACCCAACTTTGGAACCTGCCTGATCTTGCACGCCCAACAACCTTACTTGACCCTCTCGCTCACAGCCGTAGCGACGATCGCCAACCATGAAGTCTGTCGCTCACCTTTCCGCCGCCGTGGCGCTGCTATCTGGTACCACCAACGCCTTCTGGCGTATGCCATGTCACGAGCGCACGGCGCTGCTGCGCCTTGACCCCATCGTCGACAAAGGAACGGCTTCTTCTCACGGTCATTCCATCTTCGGTGGAAGCAGTAAGTAGAACCATTCACCCTGTCCCGATTGCATGTTGTCCCATCTGGGGTCTCATGCATCGACCCAGTAGAAGACAGGCCGCCGCCAACGGCGTCTGAACTGTCGTTGCCATGTGGCTCATCGTCTTGAAGCAGCCTGCCTTCACTTTCGACCTTGTTCGCTGACCTCGAAAACCTAGATTTCGCCGAGACCACCACCTATGACATGCTCAGAGCATCAACGTGCACATCGTGCCAGTTCGGCGACGACAAGTCTGCGTACTGGACCCCATCTCTTCATTTTGTGCACAAGGATGGCAAGACCGAAATCGTTCCCCAAGTCGGCGGCATGCTTGCATATTACCTGCTCCTCGGCGATAACATCAAGGCATTCCCCAAGGGCTTCCAGATGGTTGCAGGTGATAGTCGTCTTCGCAACTTCACCCGCCCACTGCCCGATCCGCCAACGGCAGAATGGACGGATGAAGACAAGACGCAGCTCGCGCTCGGTCAAAAGGCGATTGGCTTCAACTGCATGAACTACAACCGGGCTCCTGAGGGCTCCCGCCAACGCCACGTCTTTCCCGACAAAGAGTTCCTCGACGCCAACTGCGCCAATGGTATCCGCGCCGAGATCATGTTCCCCTCGTGCTGGAACGGCAAGGACGTCTCGTCACCCGATCACAGGAGCCACGTGGCATACCCCAGCTTCATCGATGGTGGAGAGTGCCCCGAGGGCTTCCCCGTCCGCTTGCCCACGCTCTTCTACGAGACCATCTGGAATACGTACGCTTTCAAGGGCATCGAGGGAATGCTCTCCTGGGCCAACGGTGACCCCACTGGTATGTTCCCTAGCTCTTCCAAACATGACTTGATCTAACTGCAACCTAGGCTGTGGATACCACGCTGATTTCATCGGCGGCTGGGACATCGACGTCCTCCAGAGAGCGGTCGATACTTGCACCAACCCCTCTGGCCGTGTCGAGGACTGCCCTGTCTTTGCCGGCGACCTCCAATCTGAGGCTAAGCAAGCAGAATGCAAGATTGAAAAGATCCCCGAGATGTTGCGCCACGAGGACTGCGAGGGCCCCACACACGGCCTCTGCGGCAACGTGCCTGTCCAACAAGGCCCTGAATACGCGGCACCTCTTATTCCTGGCATCGGTGTCGCCTCGCCTAATGCTCCCAGCCCATCTCCTGCTGCTCCCAGCCCATCTCCTGCTGCCCCAGATTACCCTGCTGCACCACCGCCAGCTGCTCCTGCATCCTCGTCTGCTCCTCCACCACCTCCAGCACCTGTTGCCAACCCACCTCCCCAACCAAAGGTGGATCCAGCTGCTAACCCGGTTATCCCTGCCGTCGCCCCTGCCCTCCCCCTCGTCACACCCGCGGCGGACATCAAGGACGCAAAGCCCAACGACGACGACGACGACGACATCATCACCACCACGACTTACACCAAAGAGGGTGTCGTGTACGAAGTTTGCATCAAGGAAGTTGAAGTCACCGTCACCGTCATGGCGGATGACGAGCCAGCACCCTCTCCGCATCTGCGCCGCCACGCCCACCGACACCGTCGGAATGCCGGTCACTAGGCTATTCTACCCCTCTCACGCCCGTGATTGCGAGTCTCGTACGCCAACGTCTTCTGCTTCTCCTTCCTTTCTTGAACGAAAACGTACATTCTTAACATCTCTGTCGACCGGCTGGCACATGAAAGCAACGATGAGAGTTTCGGGCCCTGTCGCTCTCTCCTCGCTGTAGACAACCAAGTAGTAGTAAATGGAAATCAGACAATGCTGGGTTAGATTGTATCGTCTGTTTTTTTCTTGAGCAGAGAAACATGTAATACATCTAGCAAAGCCCAGGGGTACATATATATATAATTAGCAAGAGGTGGAGACTTGAAATTCCTTTTTTTTATATTGTTCTGTACCGAAATACCATCTTGACGTTTGCAGTTTTTTTGTCGATGTTTGTTTTCTTCCTCTTCTCTTGGAGAATATTTCTATACTAGGGCTTGGAGGTTGAATGGGTGGAAGACGGGGAGGGGTTTGGCGTCAAAGGCTGTGCCGGAGACTTGTGCGTGCATGTGTTGGATGGATGCGTTTTTGTCTTTTTTCTCTTCCTTGGACTTGCTGCTTTAAATGATGATAGAAAACAAAGGAGAGGTAGTTGCGTTGTTGTTGTACGAGATATCTAATGAGGCGTGGTTCTCATGAACGTTGATTTGCTTTGGCCGACCCGATGTGTGTTGTGATGTTGGCGCGTATGTTGTCATCGGGTGCTGTCATATATGTTGTCCTTGTGCCATTGCGAGACTGTTATTGGACTGATATCCCCTGATATCCTTCTTCACGCTCACTCACTCACCTTTTGTGTTACGCCTCAGTGAGGTTTCGTAAGAGTTTCTAGGTTCACGTTTCGATTCGCACACATCAATTTGCTTTGTTTCTTACTACATGCGCATCACTGCCGCGGTATCGTATGTATTCTCGTGATTTATCTTTTCTTCTAATAAGATCACGCTCCTTATATCTGTCGTGCTTATATCAGCTGTTATCGGCAGTTTGTCGTTTCAATAAGACTGTATGCAGTCCTCCCTGTTGGCCCACACGTAAAGAACCCATTTCATTGACCACGTCGACATCCCTCCATGCATCGCTCTCATACTATCAAGCGACTCTGGGGCCAAGTACAGACTTTCAGGTTATACTTTTGGTACAGAGAGTCAGTGTCACCGCATGTCCTGCGGAAGAGCCCAAAGTGCCCTTCACAATCTTCGATACTATGCATTATTCACAATGGGTGTTCCGGGCTAACGCTGTTGGCGGAGGTCAAACATGAAGAAGATACGTAGACATGTCACTCGGGTAGGACTACATATCCTGTCACGCATCTTTTTTGCATAAAAGGGTGACTCAAAGGCTGTCATTTGCCACTTACACCACTGCAAGGAAGCTAAAACTACGACGACAAAAGCTCTAGACAGCACGTTTATCTTCGTCTCTGCGATACGAAAGTTTCGAGAACTAAGGTGCCCCGTAGGTATACACCTTCCTCAGTAGCTCGCATCACTCGCTCCTTCTCACTCTTCTACAGCCCAGCCGTTCAATATCAAGTCTCTGTCAACCGCGTACCCCACTCGACCACGCTCTTCGCGTCCAGGCACTCGGCCGTGCTACTATGGACTTCTCACTGCTCAAACACATAGCCTTCAACTCCAGCTCCTCGAATGGCACTCTGACTCTGCCGTCCACAATACTGGAGGCGTTCATCCCGGGATACCAAATCTTCTCCCAGCTGTTCCTTCAAATCTTTGGATTCGATATGGGGTTGATCATATCTGGCTGCCTCATCGTCTTCGCAATCTCCAAGGGCATCTGTCTATTATACTATGAAGGCTACAAGTTCTTTGGGAGCTATTTGTCGTCCACAGTCTACCTTGAAGAATATGAAGATCTCTATTCCTTTTTCGTAGAGTGGCTCAATGCAGAAGGCTTCGTGACCACTGGCAGAACCTTGAAGGCGGTTTCTGCAGCTCCAAGTTTCTACCAGAAGAAGTACGCTGACGAAGGCGTGGACGCGTATGGCATCTGTAATTGTGCAGATTGGGAGAGCAATGTAGCCGTTCGTTTTGAGCCCTGGTACGGCGTTTACAAGTTTTATTTCCAAGGTCGGCTGTTCATCATGACGCGTATACCGGGAGATAGACGAAAAGGAGAGGACAGCCACATTACTATTCGATGTGCGGGTCGTAGCTACGAGCCCATCGCCGCTCTGCTGCAGCATGCACGATTGTTGTCCCGCTCAAAAGGAATGGATATGACGTTTGTTTTCCATTCAAAATATCTACAGTCCGAGTTTAGGTGGCAGCAACAGTCATACCGGCCCGCCCGCCCATTGAGCACGATTTCACTTGATGAGCAGAGTAAAGTCAGAATCGTCAAGGATATAAACGAGTATTTGCATCCTGCCACTTCACGCTGGTATTCTGAGCGAGGCATCCCGTACCGTAGAGGTTATCTTTTGCATGGGCCTCCCGGAACTGGAAAGACTTCAATGTCTTTCGCCTTGGCCGGGGTTTTTGGCATGAATATATACTGCATCTCGCTCAGTGCGGCCCAATTGACAGAATCGTCTCTTATGGACAATTTCAACAGTCTTCCCGACCGTTGCATTGTTCTGCTCGAAGATGTCGACGCTGCTGGTCTTCGTCGTGAAGATCTTCCCGCCGAGCCGGTTGCAGTAGAGCAGGAGTCCGCTTCTACAAAAGAGAGCGATCGACCGGGCGCTCACCCTACAAAGAGCAACGAGTCCAAGTCTCAACCCAAAAAAGAAAGCACTAGTAGGATCAGCTTGAGTGGCCTGCTAAATGTCATTGATGGTGCTGGTTCGCAGGAAGGACGTGTGCTGATCATGACTACAAACTGTCCTGAGAGTCTGGACGATGCATTGATCCGCCCTGGTCGCGTAGACCTCCAGATCGGCTTCGGATACGCCAATTATGAACAGACCCGGGACATCTTCACTCGCATGTACAACACGGAGAACCATAATAACCCGTCCACCAGCAAGCATAAGTCATCCGGTCCTGCAAACCAGGCGGCCAGGTTGCCACGGGACAAGGCAAAGCTGGCCAGGCTGGGGGGCGAGCACTTTCTTGAAATGGTTACTTACCAGCCTACCTTGGAAGTCGCGGAGCCGGGAAATTTGGCTGATATGGCAAGATCATTTGCTGTTCAGATTCCAGAGGGCAAGTTCAGCCCAGCAGAGATTCAAGGATTTTTGTTAACCTTGAAATATGAACCCCTGAAGGCGGTTGAGAAGGTAGGTGAGTGGCGAGACGCTTTGCTTGGAGCGAAGAAGAAGGGCAAAAAGGTCGTCGATTTTGATTAGGCCCCAAGATCCATCTCACCTGGTGTCTTCGCTGGTGAAATTGGTTTGGCGTGGGCGTTGGTGAGGTGTTGCAAGATGGTAATTGCTTCACCTGGTGCCATCTCTGCACCACCTAGCATATACCGGTACGATTACTAGATCCACCAAGACTGTCTAATAATGATAATGAATAACAAAACCTTCCCACAAATCCCATTGCCATGTCTACATGTACACAACAAAGCCCCTTTCACATCATCTACGTCATGAAATAGCCCCCAAACCAGCCGGGCGACTCGGCACAGTACCGGTACCCAAGGTCCATAATAGGCATCCAACTAAGTCATCCATCCAATTTCAGCGGCACAATGAACAAGGCGGACCATTAAAGTATTCCACATGGACGCCAATCCCGTTTCCACTCACCGGGTCGTCCGTAGCTTTTGGTTCTGGGTGGACCGTGCTTGACACGGGTGAGTTGGTGTCGCGTAGCTCAGACCAGAGGTAGTCCGCGGTACCGTACCGGTAACTAGTTACTTTCTCAGAAGCAATGATTTAGTTAGCATTCGCTTCTTGAGACATTTCCCACCGGTATCGGTAACATGACAAAACTGCACCATTTCCAAAAAAAAAAAAAACACCAGCGCGAACATGAATGTTACATCACAGAGCAAACTCTACTACTTTACATCCTTGACTTCACAGTGGCGCCTACACATACTTGAACATGGCCAGCCCTTTCCACGATTCAGCCGCTGGCGACCCGCATAACCGTGGTGCCTGGGCATCACTCCACTAACCCTGTCACATTGACTACACCACTCCATCTGATTTGCCCACAGTCCCTTTGACTCGGATCCGCCCACCTCACTGTGGCGCAATGGCGCGCCTTGCGAGCGCATAGGAAATGGCGTTTGCCTGAACAGTTGATGTTGTGTGGTCGACATGGACGGGTTAAGATGGATGGCTTTCCCACGCGGATCGGCACGACTTTTGCGAGTCTTGGTGCTTCTTTTGCTTTGCGCAAGTTGGGCTTTTCTTCTTCTTTTCTAATCACAGACGAGGGGCTTTGTTGGTGTTTTGGGAAAGTGGGAGAGTACGGGAGTACAAAGTGAATGCACGGCACATTGAGTGGGAACGCAAGTTACTGCCATGAACCAAGGATCGTACGCTGGATATCTTTTTCCACCAGCGAGCCATTTCTACGGCATCGATTTGTCTCACGCCGAATTGGCTGAAAAATCACCAAATTTCGGCTCGTGCTGCCTTCTCCATCAGATCGATTGACAATGAAGTTATCGCTGTGTCCCCTTGGGCTGATAGCCGTCGTTGCAGCACAGAGAAGCTCACTCGACCTCAACCAACCAACTCCAACAATCGACCTTGATCCAACAGAAACCCCCACCTCAATCATCAACATCGAGCCCACATCCACAGAAAGCCTTAGCACCGGGCCCATAGACCCTGGCACAGCTTGTGCACAGGTTTCCGAGTTAGTCTCGAATGACAATAATGAGTACCCAGTCGTTGCAGCGGAGCTTGCCCACGCCTGTCTACAGTCTATACCGATAGTCCAGGACGACGCGGCGCTCACAATAGAAGCAATTAAGAAAATGGTCGAGTTTCAATCCACAATCACCTATCTCAAGGATCCGCCAAAGGGATGGCCCAACGAGCCCGTGGACTTGCTTGCGGGACTGGACGATATTGGCAGAAGAGTCAACAGCAGTGAATACAGCAACGAGTACGATTTCGAGAGCGATATTGCTGCTTTATTCGTCAAGGCGCACGATGGCCATCTAAACTGGAACGGCATGGCGTACTCTGCCGCCTTCCAGTGGCGCAGAAATAGTAGGTTTGCGCTGATTTCTGCATCGCAAAATGGAAGCGATATACCGCAGGTCTGGGCCTACCAGGACTTCAACAATACGGGTAGTAGCTATGTTCCCTCGCCCGTTGTGCAGATCAATGGGAAAGACGCGGTGCAGTTTCTGCAGGACGAGGCCAACTTGAACTCGTACCATGATCCGGATGCGAGATACAATGCCATGTTCCTCATGCAGCCGGCGGAGAACTACGGATACTTTACCAATCCGAGGTTCTATCCGGGCCCGGTGACAAACTTGACGTTTGGAAATGGAACGCAGAGGGAATCGAGCAACTTTGCGGTTGTTCTACAGCCGACCTCGTGGGCGTACATTGACGGCCCAGACTCCTTTTATGAAATATATGTGATTCCCGACCCCAGCCGTACTCTGGTCAGGAAGAGAGACCCCAATGCGCTTCCGATGCATCTTGAGAACCCGCGAGACCACGAGTTTCGCGGCTCGTTTGCGCTACGACATGGCTCTGTGCCTGTGGCATATCCCAACCCCAAAGTCTCGCATTCAGCCGAACTCGTCCCTCTTGCCGGATACTTTCTGCATCTCGGGGGCCAGGAAATCGGGGTGCTGGTAGTGCAGACGTTCAACACGGACGATGTAGAAGGGGCACAAGAGTTCCAGCAAGTGGTGCAGTCGTACATTAGCGAGGCCAAATCGCGAGGCGTCGAAAAGCACATCATCGATGTACGCGCAAACGGGGGCGGGAAAATCCTCTCGGGATACGACATGTTTAGGCAATTCTTCCCCAGCAAAGAACCCCAGACACAATCGCGCTACCGCGGCCACGCAGCCAGCGAGTTATTCGGACAAAGCATTTCCTCCTTTCGCACCATGACCAGTTTGAACGCCGAACTCTTCACCAGCCCCTTTAGCAACGACGCCTACCTCTCGTCTGAACTCGAGGAATTCGCGGATTGGAAGGCCATGTACCCGCCCGAGCCATTCCACAACGACAAGTTCACCGCGCTACTCAAGTACAACCTCTCCGACCCCATGACGACAACCAACGAGCGTCTTGCCGTCGGCATCTCCATCACCGGCTACGGTGACCGTGCCAACTTCACAGACGATCCGTTTCGCGCCCAAGACATGATCATCCTCTCCGACGGCGTGTGCGCCTCGACCTGCAGCATCTTCGTCGAACTCATGGCCCAACAAGCCGGGGTACGGACACTGGCTGTAGGCGGGCGACCCCAGCCCGGCCCCATGGTACCCGTGGGCGGCACAAAGGGTACTCTTGTCCTCCCCTCCATCTACCTACAAGCCCTCTCCCTCTACATCCTCACGCAATTCGCGCAAGACAGCGGACAAGTCAACGAATGGGCCGCATTTCTCCCAACCCCGTTTGCCATTGGCGTACAAGACGCGAGCGTAAACTTCCAAGACAATATCCGTGCGGGGCTGGAGCGTGGAGGCCTGCCAACCCAGTTCCTCAATGATACGGCGAGTTGTAGGATCTGGTATCAGCCGGACATGTACACGAATGTTACGAGGCTGTGGCAAAGGACGGCGGAGGTGGCGTTTGGGGGGCAGGATGGCGGGTTGGATGAGGGTGCTTGTGTGGGTGGGAGTGTGACGAGTAGGGAGCAGCAGACGGGCAAGGGGGAGGATAATCCTACGAGTAGCAATGGGGATGCTCAGCGTGGGAGTGATGAGGAGGATGGAGCAGGTCTTGTCAGGCCGACGTGGACGGCAGTGCTGGTATGTGCAGCGGCTGTGATGGTATCTTGGGCAATGCTGTAAATTCGCGATGAATGAAAATGGGTAGTCTTGTCGTTATTTGCAAGGAGGCTGTGAATCGGTAGGGGGGCGGGGGGAGTGCTCTTTGTAATGGTGGAGATTGGAAGTCGAGATTGTTGATGAGTTGCAGGGCAGTCTTGAACTTGAAAGATGATAAAGCGTTGATCCTTTTGCAGACTGGCTACTGCCCACCATGTACCGTAGGGAAGCTGTCGATGGTTGTTGCCAACAGCCGTCCGTCATCATTGTATCGAGCCGCCGAGAGAAATAGTGGGCAAGACTGACGTGTGAGCAGGACAGCACGCAGCGCTTGCGATGTGGGCAGACGTTATGATT